TGAACTGACTGATGCCGAATTAACTGAATAACGCGCAAATTTGGCAGTAAAGTCTGTCCTGACATTTCCGCTGTTTCAGCTGGTCAGGTGTGCATACGATGCCACTTGGTGGTATATTGCCGCTACCGCCGTCACGTGTTCATAACTGCATACAATACATTGTAGCTGTGTCGGCATATTAATTACTCTGCAATGCGTTCTGCCGGTGTTTTACCCTGGTTACTGGTTATCCATCGTCAGTCAGTGTTGCCACAGCAGGTTCGTGTCCAAGTTATGGTAAATTATCATCACGCGACACGGCCCGCGGCACTACGTGGAAAAACACAATGGAATTATACGTTTTGATCAGCACAGGGTACTGTTTTCCACCTAACTGTCTAATTAAACTTGCCAACTTGGACGGTGAAGCGTGCCGTTCGGAGAATCACGGGTGACATTCGCATTCAAATAATGGGTTCTTCCGAGAACATTCCAAGTCATCGCCGCCACTTAAACAGCAAACTGGCTGCGGCCGATCCAACCCATGCTAATGGACGACAAAATTTATTTAACGTCCTAAAAACCGGTTTTGCGGCTTTAGCCAGGTGCGCAACGCAGACAGAGAACAGAGAGAACACGGTTGACGCGCTGACCGCTCAGTAAGCGGATATAGCGACGGATATGCGGCGCTCATTCATCGTACGCGCTGTAAGCCGACAGCGGCTAACGGTCCGGTGTTAAGTACATTTTGTCGGGCTATAACAAGCCGCAGACACGTGCCGTACCGCGTGACCTTGCCCGGAGCTGCTTGACCCAGCGCCAGGACTGCAACCAGCGCTGAAGAGTATAAAACCCCGGCGTAAAGACAGTCACACTCACATATCGCAGCGCAGTTATACTGTACAGTATTTGCCTGTGCCATTAATTGTATATCAACCGATCCCACCGACACGATGCATCCCGCCAGTGTGGCCCTGCTCGTCCTGGTCGGCTGCTGTGCCGTGCTGTGCGCCGTGGCCGACCCGGTGCGGTCGCGCGGCAAAGCCCAGGGGCCCCAACCACCGCGCGGCCCGCCGCCGCCGCCCCGATCCAGCGCTTCCGGTTCCAGCTCCGGCTCGGGCAGTCGACCAGCCCATCCGTCGTGCTCGGCCGGACCAGGATGCAGCGCCAAAGGTACATCCTGTACTCTATCCAGCGGGGGGACGGGAAAATGCTGTCCATGCAACGATGCCGAGACGCAGTTTGTCTGCGTTTCGGGCTAATTCGTCAACAGCTGATGGAAATGGCAAGCTGGCTGTAACTACTACCTGGTATAGTGGGTTAAATATGTGCTTACTGCAGCGTTTTACATAGGTTAGATGGACGGTGTGTGTTGTCGTTGGTCCTCTATGATTTTTGCGTAGTACGCTATTTGTAACTCTGCTTTGTATCGATACTGGGAACGTCGCGTTGCAACCGCGAAAAACGTGAATATTACTGGTGAATTCTGAAAGGTCAGATAAAAAGTTTGCAGTCTAAGAACTCTTGCATTTTGATTGATTACTCTGTATTACAGATTTACAGTAGTAGTACGGTCGAATACAGTGTTAATATAAAATCTATGATAAAATTACTAGGTATTCGTGTGTACAGAGTACTGTACGTATATACTGCATGTTGTGCATGGATATCTGTCGTACGTTCAAGTAAACCGGAAGTATGACGAAATGACCGATGCGAACCGCTGGGGAATACACGTGCACTGGCACATGTTCGAGTATGGCAATTACACAGCAGGCCACCACGTACCGCAAATTCCGCTGCTGCAAATATGTTGACGACAAAGCAAACACACACCCGCTGTGTGCCCATATGCAGTACGAATACAGTACAAAAGCACGGAAAACGAATGGCATTACGCTAGCTCCGGGGGAAGAAGGCAGAATGCTAACATGGGATGTCACATGAGGGCGCGCAGTGACCTTATCGCATATAGAATATCGCAGCAACATATATCCGGTATACGCAACGCAACCGGGCCATATTTATGTATATACGGTATATAATATACCTATAAATGTGTGTTTATTGGGCAATAGCCGCCATAACAACAAAAGTGCAAGCGCGGGCACACTACTTTACAGTTAAAATTTAAATTATACCTATATATGAACAACCCAAGAATTCGGTTGTGATCATGAACAAAACTGCGGTTTATGGCTCTGTAATTTTATGGTGTATGCGATACGGTAATTACCGACATTGAACCGGCTCGCAACGTTTGTCTCAGCACTCCTTCCGGTATTCCAGTACCGTCGATTTCAACCGTTGACCAACTCGTTGCGTGGCTGTCAGGACAGAGCGGAACGATCACCAGTCATCTCGCGATCGAAAAAAATATTTCTACAGACGGGCAGATTACGTACACAACTGGAATTTCAGGAGCACGGATGGCGGTGTACAATGTACAGCGCTCACAGTAGACAGACAGCTGTTTAATACCAAAGTTATCGATTACCACTACGTTTATGTTGTCGCTGCCTAAAACATTATACTTCCTCTCAGTCGTTTCCAGTTGCTTTCCCGTTTTTCCGCACAATCGTTTACAAACCAATGCACCGTAATAAACCTTGCACTGCAGCATATATACTGCGCTATAATCCACCAGCGGTCATTCTCTACTGTAGAGGTCACCTTTGCGACCGCCGGAAGTACGTCGCTTGACCGCGCCGATTAACGATGATGGCCGGTAAAGAAAAACCGGCATCTTCGACGTGCTCCAACCGCTTCATTCCCGTCGCCTATCTCCGTTGCATGCAGTTATGCGGCGTCTTTCCCTACTCCCTTACCGGCGGCGTCCACCTACCGGTCCTGGGGTGGACCGTCTTCCTAGTGGGCCTCATCCTCCTGGCCTTCATCGGACCCATCACCCAGGTGTACCTCCACGCCTTCCTGCGCAGCCTGCAGCAGCAGGAGCTCTTCTCCATCATCGCCGCCTCCTTCGCCTGCCTCCTCTTCCTGCAGTGCCTCCTCCTCATCCTCCTCGCCGCACCCCTCCTGCGCCACCTCCCCTCGGTAGCCGACGACCTCCACCGTCTCCTGCGCGCCCTCCTCCCGGACACCGAGGTCTCCCGTTGCCGGCGTGTCTGGCGGCGGATCTGGGCGTGGAACGTGGTGTACGTCGTCTGCGCGTACGTCTCATACTGCGCCCTGCAGACCGACCCCTCCCGGCTCTTCAGCTGGGATTTCTGGGCCTACCGCCTGCCCTTCCTGCCGGGCGGGGTCATGGCGCCGCTCTACGTCATCTTTCCGTTCACCGTCGGCCCGATTATGCTAAGTGCCGCCTGCGAGAGCCTGGTGCAGGGCTGCCTGGTGGCGCTGCTCAGCATGTTGAATGCCGGGCATGTTCAGGTGCGCCGGCTGCTGCGGGAGGACGTCACCACGGTCGCCGGGGTCCACCACGCCCAGTCAGCGTACCGACGTCTGCTGCTCTCCTTCGGGGATATCAACGCCATCTTCGCGCCCTTTATATTGTTCGGGTGCGCCCGGGATTTGCTGTCATTCGTGGCTATTATCGGGGCGGGATTGAACTCCGATAAAGCGGTCAACTACGACTCCGCCCGGATGGTGTTCATCTTTGGCTCGTTGGGATTTCTCAACGGAATGGCCAAAATCCTTTTATATCTACAACACTACGCTAAAGTACGCGTGTATATAAATGTGACCTATGTAGTTATGCACCATATATAAAACATATAATTATATTTTATTAAGTTCAAATCGTGACATTACAGTCATAATTCCATTAACTACGGCCTACGGCCATATATAAAACTATATTTGACCTTTCGGGTGACTGCATATGTATATATGTATTCATTGATTCTGTCACGCTGTGTGCTTGATGTATCGAGCAGCCGCCCTCGGTGGCTGCTGCTATAGTTTCCTGCATTTCCTGTGGAAATGATCAGTTTATTGCTTCCTTTTCTCCTTATTTCTGTATTTTTCCCTTTTTGGGCAATAAACTCTTCTTTTGTGGAAGACCCGTGTTCTTCCACACCCAGATTTATCTGTATTTCGAGGGGGTGTTAGACCTTCCTCCTGACAATTCATATATCAAGAGCAGTATCTTTTTAAAGTCCGCTATATATATGTACATGACCTTTATAAGTATGCGTCAATCGTCATAATTACACATATAAAATTGTACTTTATCTTTATATACATGTTTATACTTTATACACGTATATAAATAATTATTTAGCCATGACCTTGGGTGTATTACCATTGCGCCAGCTGCACTAGTATATATTTGTGATCTTTATAATTATGCGTCGCATATAAAACCGCATATACATGTTTGATTTTTCATGTGGCTGCTTATACACGTACGTACTTATATGAATACTGATTATTTATTCAGCGTAACTGAAACCATGCCCTTTATTTTATTGCGCTTGCAGTGTCCACATATATATTTCCGTGACCTTTATACTTATGCGTGATTTTCTACTTTATACTGTGATAAAACTTTCTGTGGGACCTTTCAGGTGCAAAGCGTGCAGGAAGCGGTGCAGCGGGCGCTGGTGCAGCACGAGCAGGATGCCAATCTGCGCCGGGAACTGCAGCGGTTTGCCCAGCAGTTCAGCGTGTATGACGGCGCGGTGTCGGCTTGCGGGTGTTTTGTCATCATGCCGGAATACGTCAGCACCGTGAGTGCAACCCAACGCGTAAAAGTAGCACTGTTAGCGCAACTGTGGCATGTGTCAACCGACGCTGTTGTTGCAGCTGTTCGGCTTGCTGGCGGCCTACGGCGTCGTGGTGTACGAGACGAAGAATCAGCAGAAGGATCTCGACGCGATGGAAGCGCGCCTGTCGGCCGTAATGTGCAACTGCAACCGATCGCTTTAACGTCACCCGGGAAAGAATCCCACGAATGCATTTTTGTATATCTTCTCTGCATTTTATTTAATAAATACAAAACACCGGATCGCAAAAAGACATAAGAAATTGCAAAATAAATGGAATAAACCGAAAAACTGTTACGTGAAGCCGGTACTGATAGACGAAGGTTTATTATTAACCGCGTCCGACTTGGGCGTGGGGTCTGCCGTCGGCTGCTCGCGCACGAGGCTCTTCATGAGGAAGGCGATGACCTCGCTCTGCTGGTGTATTCGCTCGGCCATCTCCTGCTGCGTCAACAGCAGCCCGCTCGTCATGTCGTGCAGCCGGTCCACCGCGCCGCTGTCGCCAGCGCCCCCGCCCGTGGGGATGGCGTTCTGGCTGTCGTTGGGCACGGCGAAGGCCTGAACCTCCTGCGGCGGCACCGGCGCCCCGGGGGGCAGCGCCTGCGCCGGATCCATCGGGTTCTGCTGCGCCGAGGCAACGCCGGTCATCATCCCCGGGGGGATGGGCCCGGCGCTAATCGGTTGCGCCGCCGGCATTGACCTGTATTGACACACCACGCATACAGTCAACAGCGTATGAACAAATATATATAAACACGTACGGCGAAGCGGGCGGCCGGATGACGACTTCCGATCCCTGCTGGGCGGGGTCGAGAGCGATGGAGGCCGGAGGCGGCCCGTTCTGCTGCTGCATGGGCGGTGCCATTCCGGACTGTTGCGGAGATCCCGGAGGTCCTCCTGGCTGCATGGGCGCCATGGGAGGTCCTCCCTGTTGCATTTGGAGACCTCCTCCCGGTTGCATCGGGGGACCTCCCTGCATGGACTGCGCCAGTTGGGGCGGTGGTTGCGGTAACGACTGCGACTGCTGCTGTTCCAGCGGCAGCGCCATCAGCCCACTGATCATGGCTTGCCGGGAAGGCGGCTCCACGGGAGGTGGCCCGTTGGGCGGGGGACGTTGCTCCGGGCGTTGCGGAGCCGGTTGGAGGGGCGGCCGGCCCGGGAAACTGTTCGCCTGGGCCTGCAACGGGGGCGCCATGTTGGGAGCGATGACCGGGAAGCCCTGGGGAGGGTGCTGCTCGAACTGCCGGCTGTTGGGAGGTTCGAACGGAGGCGGCGGTGATAAAGGCCGGTTATTGTCAAAGGTCATCGGCGGCCGGTTGTTATTGCCGGGCGGGGGGAAGGGGCGTTGGCGCGTCTGAAGGGGCTCGTCATCCATCAGCACCAGGTCCTCCGGGAGCGCCGGAAGTGCGGCATTCCGCTCGCTGAGGGGAACGAGATCGCGTGCGGCCGCGAGCGATACCGTTAGGGAAAGCAGCACGAACATGGCGGCGTGTGCAGCACACTAACAATGGCGGAGTGAACTAGTTAGTGTCGAAAAGTGGACTGACCGGCGGCAGTTGGCGGCGGTGAGACCGCGACCAGTTGACGGTGTGTTGAAGGCATGTTTGGATGTTGCGCCGGCATTGTTTGGACGACCGACTGGGTAAATAAACAGCCGGTGGAATCAGCTGCCAGCTGGTTTGTTATCACGACCACTGACTGCGTGTCGGCGTTGCAAATTGTTCTTCCGTCCACAACCCAACCGGCGTTACGCAACACACACTTTACAACAATTATTATTATTCTTCTTTAACGGTGCCACCGTATCTGTCGTCATGACACAACGTCCAACTGACCAATCACCGGCAAACAACGGTTTTTTAGGGTAGGAGCTCAAACAATTTTGGGGCGTTATGGAAATGAACTTGATCTCAAATGGAATTTACAAAGTGAATTTTATTGACCGAATATTTTTTCTGGTGTATGATATGAACGAAGCAAAAATGAGATATGAAAAAACCCTTATATATCATTTTGTCCAACATTTTGATAAAATCAGTTAAAATTTAATTTAAATTTCTAATTTTTCCGAAACGATCTGGAATGAAGCGGATTTGTAATTAAAATGATTTGAATATTTCGCGTGTAATAAACAAAATCACCACCGGAAACATTAAAATTATTACTTACTGATTATTACAGCGTTGTAATCGACCGTTATTCCATCTTATTTCATTTAGCCGGCATTTAGTTTGAACCGTTTTACCAGCTACAATTATTTATCAAATAAATTTAAAAATAAAGAATAAATTAAAAATTAATAGTAAATTACATTGACAATAAATTAAAATAAATGGAACAAATAAATAAAAAATACTGCAGTAATAAATAAATTCAAAAATCAATTACAGTTGAATTTGTTGTCATTTCGGCTTTTTTATTTGTTTCGTTTGGAATGCTGCCGTTCGATTGACTAACCGATTTAAAAGCGAAGCGTGAAACGCGAAAGGTTTCCGGTTGTGATTCAGAAACGCTAGTTTTCTGGACATCCGTACATTTTAATTTACGAAAGTGCTATGCGCCGGGAAATTTCCCGCAAAATTAAAATCTGATTGTTTTCAGGTTGTTAATATCACTTTACGAAGTACTCGTATAATCATAACCCAGTATATATAAAACTACAGTATTAGGTTATTAATAATTTCAATCCATAAATCTTGATTTCGGCGGCGAATTTCCGGGCGCACAGCAAATTGACTATGCGCCAAGAAATTTCCTGGCGCATCGAAGTGACCTTTAATTTAATCATATTTTCTGATCAGATCCAAACCGAGACTCAAACGGCACTGACTAGGATCAAACGGCACACGGAGAATAGAATACATAAATTACTGCACAAATCCGAATTGCGAGATTGCAGGAAACTGTCACAGTGGCAATGAAACTGCATTAGCGGCGAAAGTAGCGGCAAGGAGGGGACTTTTTGATTCAGAAGCGGACGGAATGGTGAGCGGGCATCTAGCGTTTGGTGCGGAGGTAGAGGAACATGTAGGCGATGCAGCGGAACACGACGATCATGACGAGGAGGATGCCGATGTCGAAATAGAAATCATCCACGTCGAAGTTCATGGCGTCCAGCACTTGGCGGCCGCTGCGCGGACAGGTGAAGTTGCCCACGCTGCAGGTGATGTTCTCCACGTGCAGCCACTGGTTGATGCCCAACGCTGCCGGCGAAAAGACGCCCGTCACCATCACACTCAATTACACAACCTTATCTAATTTATTCCAATATAAAAAAATTTATATTACTATTTAAACAGATACCGGCACATATAGTCTTAGTTACAAAATAATTATGTATTGTAAACTTTTTTCTTAATTATTTTGAAGCATTTTCTATTAATTTGGATTATCTGCGCGGCCAAAAACTTCTAAAAATGTGCACAAATAAGCCAACTTATCCGGAATTATAAATAATAATAAAGTTATACAGATAAATCAAATGACTGCAAAGTGACCACGTGTCAGATTTTTAACTTGCGTTAAAAATTTAAACAAAACTTGAAAACCTCAAAAATCTGCAAAATCTTGAACGATCTTATATGAAATTATTTATAAAAATCTGAATTATTTAGAGATACACAATGTTACCTTCGTTGGCGTAACGGAACCATGATAAGTACTGCAGAATAAATACCAAGAAACCTGGTTAAATCATCGTCAAAAATGGCCAAAAAATCAGCAACTGACCTCGATCCATTTCAACCAGTTGGGAATACTGGCCAGACTCATGAACAACCCCCCGAAGAGCGTGATGGGCAGGAGCAGCGTCATCCCCACGGCCAGCGCGGCCTGCGTGGTGGGGAAGGCGCAGGCGACGATGTAGCCGAAGCTGACGGCGACGTTGGCCACTAATGCACACAGCGCCCAGTTGGTGAAGAAGGCGCCCGCCGTCGGGTACAGGCCGACGATCCAGTAGACGATGACGATGAAGACGAAGGGGATCAGCAGGAACACCGGCAGGTCCACCAGCATCTTGCACAGGTAGTACACGTCGCTGCGGTACATGCCCGACTCGTGCTCCTTCAAAAAGATGGGCAGCTCTCCCGTGAAGGTGCCCACCACGGCGAACACGTTACCCATCGTCTGTATGTATAATTACAAAAATTAGGACACTTTATTTAGATAATTTAAAAATATTTTTTATCTTTATAAAACATTTTGTCATTTCTTTCTGTTATTATTCTTTCCAGTTTAATGATATTAAGTCACCAATAAATATTATCACTTCAAAAAAATTTATGAACAAATTTATGTTTCTATTACCAAGATTTTTCGTTATCATTAATAATCAGATAAAATAACAACAAAATAATGAATAATTTATTTAAAAAATATGAAAACATTTTTTTATTTTAATAAAACATTCTGCCAGTTTTTTTCTCTTTTATTCCGATCGATTTAATGGTACTATATCACCAAGAAATATTAATAATACTAAAATAATAATGAAAAAAGCTGAAAGAAATTCGTATTTTTATTAGCAATATTATTCATTATTATTAATAACGATAAATAAAATTAAAAAGTCAGGAAATGCTTCGTCCAAGATGCACCCACCATCTGCATAAGGAACATGTACAGAATGCCGTTGATATTCATCACTCCCTCGCTGGTCATGTCCTGCCGGTAGTAGATGAAGCCGAACATGAGGCCGACGACGATGGACTGGATGACGCGCACACGGAACAGCATCGGCTCGCGTTTCATCGTGGTGCGCGCGCGCCACAACACGGCGCGCATCTGCTCCAGCCAGCTGGCTTTGTACGTCCCCATCTTGCTCTTCTTCTCCCCCTGCAAAATCTCTTAAATGAACGCTCAGAATAAACGCCGGGAGAGCAGGATACGCACGGTGTCCTGCGCGTCCTGGATGAGCTGGTGCGCTTCGCTCGTCATGGTCTGGTGGCGCTCCGTCAGCGCGAACTGGTCGCAGATGTAGCGCACCTGCTCGCGGCAGGCCTCCTCCTTCCCGGGGATGATGGCCAGCACGTTCACGTAGAAATCCGCCGGGTTGTAGTCCTCCGGGATCGGCCGGCCCAGATTCTGTGCCACACGCGCAAAAATTAAATTATTTGCAATTAAACTGGTTTTAAAATTTATTACCAAAATTATTCTCGATTTAGTTTTACACTTTCAAATTATTTAAAAATTATTTGCAGTTAAACTGATTTAAAATTTATTACCAAAATTATTCTCGATTTAGTTTTATAATTTTAAAATATTTAAAAAAAATTTCTTTCCAATTTTCCCCTTTCAGGTAAGAATTCGCATTTATATTTCTCAAGTAGGCCGGCCCAGATTCTGTTTACAGGACCAGAAATTAAATTTTATTCCAGAATACGTATATTAAGTTATCAAAAGTATTTTTTTTTATTATTCGCAGTTGTATGAAAAATTTATTGCATTTTAATTTAAAGAAATTGTTTAAATTATATGAAAATGTAAATTAAATCGGAACACCTCCTGCTCACCAGAAAGAACTCGCCGGCCTCCTCCCGCGGCCCCAACCACGCCGTCCGTCCCTCGGCCAGCAGCAGCAGCGTATCAAACAACAGAAACGTCTCGGAGGAGGGCTGGTGGATGGTGCAGATGACCAGCTTGCCCTTGGCGGCCACCTTGTTCATCGTCTCCACCACCGTCTGCGCCATGAAGGAGTCCAGCCCGGAAGTGGGCTCGTCGCAGAAGAGGAGCGGCGGGTCGGTCAGCACCTCGCAGGCGAAGGCCAGCCGCTTCATCTCCCCGCCGGAGATGCCCTTGCGGTGGCCGCCGCCGATCAAGGCCGTGGCGCACTTGGCCAGGCCCAGCTCGTTGATCACGTCCTCCACGCGGTTGCGCCGCACCCAGTGCGCGATGGAGGGGTCCATGCGCAGCGCGGCGTGGAAGTGCAGGTGCTCCCGCACCGTGATCGTCGGCACGAACAGGTCCACCTACAACATTTCACAACAGAATTCTTATTATTTTTCTTACTGCTTCAATTCTCAACAATCACTCCGGTAATTTTAAACCAAATTAACTGCGACGACGCGGAAGAGTCAAACCGAATCATTTAATAAGAAAAATTTTGAAAATTTGAGAAATTTAATAATAATAATTTAACGGTAAAAAACTTGTAATTCAATCCACGCTCTCGAATGCCAGCAAAAGCGGCTGATTTCCCGGTTGACGGACGGAAAGCGGCGTAATGCCGCTGGTATGCACGGTATAAATGTATAAAGAAAAATTATTATGTAAAAGTACAGACGATGAATGTACAATTTAGCCGCTCCATTCAAGAGAAATTCAACCGGTTTGTCAGTGGCATTATGTAACCACCAGCAGATTTGCGTCGCAAATTCAACCTCAGTTTCCGCAGCTTACCTTACCTGCTGGACGTAGCCGGAAATGGCGGTGATGCCCGATGAGCCGATCTTCTTCCCGTTCACCGCGATACTGCCTTCCACCTGGATCTTCCCGCGACTGCGCCTGCAAGCCGCAACAAGCGCTGATGCTGTTTGTTATTCCCACACTGTGTGTGCGCTCGTCAGCTGACAGCATGTTACGTAATTCGCCGGTGAAGGGGCAATACTGTATTATTCAATTCACTGCGTACCCGTTGAGCGCGTTGAGGAGCGTGGTCTTGCCGGCGCCGCTGGCGCCCATCAGCGCCACGCACTGCCCGGACCGCACCAGACCGCTGAGATCGTGCAGGATGTGCTTGCTGGGCGGGCGCTCGCTGTTGCGACCGAAGGCGCACAACTTCTTCGCCGCCGGGATGAACACATTCAGATCCGTCCAGCTGCAACGCACACACAATCTTTACGTACGCTAGTCTGCTTCCATGCTTTTTCTTCTAATTTTATTCACGTATTTACAATTTTATTTTATTTACGTATTTACAATTCATTTTAATTATATTTATTCTATTTTATTTATTTTAATTTTATCCTGCTAATTTTTCCCGTCTGAATAGTGAATATCCGCAGCCGCCAACTTCCGGTTATCACGGCTTGAAGTAAAAACTAAAAACACTGTATCTCCTTGCTGTAGCAGTCTGACAGTGATCTTAAAGACATAAATGCCAGCATGATGCTGCATCTCCGAAAATTCCCTGATTTTATTGATTTTCAGTTTTCAGGTGAGAAGACAGTCTGCTGAAATTGTGCTGCATCACCGTCGCCTGAGAATTACATCTCAGCCTAATCTCGCACTACCTGCCACACTGTGACACTGGTATTAGACCACAGTCACTTAATCTGACTTGCAAAATAAATATCAAATTTTAACACTATTTTCCAGTACTATTATTTCAATTATCAATATACACAAATGTAAAACCGAAAGTTACTGTAAGTGCACAAAAGGCAAAATCAATAAAAACAATTACGGCAGATAACAAAGCGCAACAGCTCTGTGCCATGTATCAGTATGTATGAAATCTGCAGCCGCTAACCGGGAAACACCCATACCCGCCACACTACCAAAATCGAATCAGCTGACTACGCGCAGAAGCTCTTATCGAACAATGCGCCACTTGAAAACGGCTGATAAGGCGCCAAATTCAACAACCACCACATACCTCAACGTCAAATTGTCCAGACTGCCCAGATACTGCAGCTCCGAGGGCACACGGCGCGGACTGACGGGCGGAGTGAGCGCATCCAGCTCCTTGGCATGTTCTGTCAACGAGCAAGCAAATCCTTACCAACCCAATTTCAGCCTGCAGGCCAAGGACAAACATGACAGCAGTGCGAAGACAACCACCAACCCTGCTGCGCCAGCGGAGCCAGCTTGATATCGCCCATGGCTGCTTCGCTGGCTGTGTGATCTTCAAAAAAAGTTAATTATATCTAATTCTTAACAGCCAGCGGGAACGGGAGAAAAGCAGCCAAAACGTCAAACCGAAAATCTTGCTGCTCTCACTGATCGGATATTCGGATGTGATTGCCGAATGCGACGCACGCAGTAAACCGCGATCAAAGGGCGGTCAGTATGGCGACTTCCCAACCCAAGGCCGAGCCAGCGTAACTGCATGATCAGGACCATGGCCGAGCGTTTTAAAAGCAACGCGGCGGCGGCGATGTGCTGTTAACAGTTAATGTCTGTTCTGCTCCTAGTCACCTACTTCAGTAGACGGGCAAAAATGACGATTTCGGTTGTTTCTTCCAGGACCGAATGCTTATTTGTTTTCGTAGTTAATTAGTTCATGTGGTGAGTTAATTAATAAGCAGTGACCATTACGTACAGATAGATTCCACATACAGTACTTGTATTATTGTTTGTTATTACTGTACTTTATAGTTTATAGTCAGCTTTGCACTTCAGCTTCAAATTCAACTTCAACTGTAATTCCAATTTCACCAGTACTACCTGGCAAGAGAAGACATCCACAGTGAAAGTAAATAAAAATCACCGCCAGCACCGAACCGGTACATAACACGGTATTAACACCGTCGACTGCACTTTCGTCAACTCTCGCCAGTCATACTGTACAAAGCAAACTGCGCCACTCGCGGCAGACTGAACACATCCAAATCGATGAGATTCTCCATCGTCCACGCGGAGCGCGGCGGCAGCGTCCGCGGATCAGCACCGACATACTCGTTTAACACCTGCGCAGAAAACAAACACTGGCGTCATATGCCCATATCGCTTGACGGGGGACAAAAACACGGCCGTACCAGGAGAATGCCGAAGCAGGCGTCAGTATCCGGCGCGCTGACACACCGCGCCACCCACGCCGCCAGCCGCGGCACGTCGATCACCTCCGGGGACACCAGTGACCTTTCATACACCTCCCACAACTGCGCCAGGCGCCGCGCCGGTGTATCCCGCAGATCGAAGCGGGCAAAGGTCACCTGGGCGCTGGTGTACGTCAGCGCCATCTTGCAATCACGCCACACGACCACACTGCACGTCGCGGCCACCGCGGACAACCGCTCGTTGATCCACTCCAAATAATCGCCAAAATCGAAGTCCTGATCGCTGAAATCGCACCGCGACAGGACCAGCGTCGTGAAGCGCCGCGACTGCACGAGTGTCGTTAACAGTTCATACACGTCCCGCGACCGGTACGCCAGCTCCAAGGAATCCTCCAGGATGACGGTGTCCGTGGTGGGCGTGGCGTACTTCAGCAGGCCGCCCGCCAGGATAAACTGCTCCGTCTCGGCATCGCGGACCGTGTGGAAGGGATACCGGCAGGAGATCCACAGGGGGTTCCCGAGGGCGCCGGCGTCCAGCACGGCCTCCCACAGGCGGCAGACGCGCCGCTTCCGCACCCGCTCGACGCTGTCCAGCGACTGGAAGACTTCCGACAGTATTTCGCTGGCCAAGGGAATGCCGCGACTCGTTCGATGTGCCTCGGTGGGCGGGGCTTTGACTCTTCTCAGAGGGGGCACGAAGCGCCGGTTGATCCATTCCCCTTCGGGGCGCCCTTCCGTCTCGCCGCGGCCGCTGTTATGCGTCGACGGGTGTTGGATAAAGTAATCGAAAGTACTGTCCTGCAAATCAGAACCCAGTTAATGTTAAAATTAAGTAGCTATTTACGCCGCGAAAATACCGCTCCCGACAACAATTTACAATAACGATTTATTTTCTGCCTACTTTGCGGATTTAAGTACTTAACCCAACAAATTCCCATTTCAGCTCGCATATAAAATTAATACACCCCGTACAGAAATTAATACTCGTACAGAAATTTTAATGTCATTTTTATAACAGTGAAAAATAAAAAAAATTAACACAACGCCTGTAACGGGTAATCTTAATTAAAGAATATTTTATTTAAATAGATTAAAAAGATACCTAAATAGATAATACGGCAGTAATTATTTCCATACGAATTTTATAATGTAACAATTAAAAACTGTAACAATTTTAATGTCATTTTTATAACAGTGAAAAATAAAAAAAATTAACACAACGCCTGTAACGGGTAATCTTAATTAAAGAATATTTTATTTAAATAGATTAAAAAGATACCTAAATAGATAATACGGCAGTAATTATTTCCATACGAATATTGGCAACAGAATATTTTATCCAGAATAACAAAGAATTTTTCGCTGATGGAAGTCACCCATAACGGGCAAGAAAAGCGATCACGTGCAATGTACAAGCTGCACTTACCAGTCTGTCGGGTGAAATAGGCAGTTCATCGTGGCGCTGGAAATACGTGAAGCATTCAGTGCGCACGGCGATGCAGCAGGCACTAAACTCGCGGCCGAGCCTCTCCCACAGCCGTCGCGTCGCCTCCGGGGGCGCCGACCAGTATCCGCGGGGCAGACGGCATTCGCGGCTGACAAAACTCTCAGGATGCCCGCGGCGCACCTGCAGATCTTCAGGTGAAGGCACCCCGCGGATCTGAGGGAGCGGAATCAGCTCCTTCGTCTGCGCATCGCCCCACTGCACCTCCACCAGTCCGCAACGGATATCGCTGAACAACGCTTTACACAGCTGGGCATTCTCTGGCAGTATGAATTTGACAGGACACCACGTCCACGCGCGATCTCGCCCGACGCGCATTAAAGCTTGTAGAGGATGCTTCTCCGCCCATGCAGGCTTCTTCCAGGCATCCCAAGACCCGGGGGCTAGGTACGGACCGCTGAAGATGCTGTCGAACGTGGCAAACTCAGAGTGACGCTGCGGACAGTCGAAATCGATTAGAAGACCGCGGTTGGCGTTGTCACCAGATGCCAGACCGACGACGACGCCGTGTTGCAGCGCTCCGTTGATCAACACCTCCACCGCGTTCCACTGGTACATGTCGTACACCACGGCGCTGTCGTAACTGCCGGCGAAGAGGTGCATGTTGCAGGAACGGGTGGGCATACAGCATACCGGGGCAAATCTCCAGACAGCGGACAAATGGCTTAATATCGAATGATCGCAGGACAACATTAATCACAAAATTGATGACAAAACTCGTCCACGAGTCACGAGCAGAACTGAAGCGCAGGACTGCCAGACTGTGTTTGTTTTGTAACGAAACGCCCCTCGCAGGCGGCCGGCCGTAGCGACACACTCAGGCTGTCTAACAGTCTGGCTGCCACCTACGAGCGGTGGCGCGCTCATTGTTCGCCATTTGAATACTTGATGTTGTGACGATTTTCTCGTACTGAGTAGTTTTCTCATACGGAGTATTTGCGCCAGAGGTTCAGCATCGAAGTTCAACGTGGAAATGCGGCATCCATCCTGGGAACGACACCAGCCTCGGCTAATTTAGATCAAACGTTCTCTGTGATTCGGCCGCATGTCTCCGCTGTCTTTTGATGCTGTCACATTGCTGTGTGACGCTTGTGTGTGTTTGGATGTTTAAACTGGCTTAGCATAGTTAAATTGAATAACATATTTTCTCAAACTACATAGTACATACATACGTATATCTGTACTTTATATTATAGATATACTGTTGAAGTACGTCTACCTCACATTTTAATGTTCGTACTATTGGATCACAATAATAGTGGTCACCGTCGACAAATGCACATCGGATCTGCATGTGACAGAAACCGACCCATGAAAGCCTGAAAGCGCGCCCTGGCTTCGGCTGGCGTAGAAACGGAACTGGAACCTCCCGGAATCTCCCGCGCACGTACTGGCGACAAGCGACCGGACGGCGTGACAATCTCGGAATCTCCCCATGGCAAAGAAGGCCGGCACTGACCTGGGATGTAACCAGCCGCAGCACCACGACCTGGTCATATATCGCAGCGACTTCCACTCGTGTCAGAGCAGCAGCGCTATAGCTGACTGGTGAGCAGATTTTGACGAAATTTGTTCTGTTATTCGCTCGCCACTGCTTGTATCTGTACTCTGTACCTGTAGATATCGCAGTATAATTCGCTGTCATTCCATCCTCTGATGATTTAGAGGAATTCCGAGAAATGTATTACAGGTTATTAAGTCTACATGAGCTTCACTGTTAATTGAATCGTTGACTGTGGGTTCTAGCTAAGTTGTTATAGGTGCTGTATATCGTGCATTCAGTAATAATTATAATACTGTATCTCTATGCATTTAGTCGTTAAAGCACTATTAGTACGTAGTGACTACGTACTCGATACTCGATTATCGGAATTAAACGTTAATTGCAATGCTGGCTGCTCCGTAACAATTCCTTCAGAAAAACACAAACCGGCACGTAAGAAGCATTAGGTTGACATGATTACGTCTTGCATCATATAGGGTACTTATTCCCAAACGAACACTAAAGCAGTTACGAAGGAAGCCCGCTGTAGTCGAGTTAATTCCATTTATCTCGGCACTGTATTGTCCATGGATATTGTGCGCCCACACTCCACTACTCCCGGCCGCACATCAAATCTTTGACGGTTATTGTACAAAATACTCCGCTATAATACGTGTAATTGCTGCTGGAGTACTGCTCCCAAAGGTTTCTTCCGGAATCCCATTGAATTCCGTGTATTACAAATGGCTCAATTACTGAGTGTTCTTGACTGTATACCTGAATAGATAGTACATAAAGGAACGACCGAGACCGCCTCCATACATGCGACCTAGGTCGTATGTATGGAGGCCTACGCTTCGGTGTTTCTTCTTCGATTCTCTCCATTTAATTCTTTCAGTTTTCCAGCACAGCTTCGCAGGTCGTTAGACTTTTGCGCAAATTCACGTACACGACGAGGGTTTAATTTGCTCGTTGAGGCGGGGTTGGCAGCTGGCGTTGACCTTTGCTGGCGGCCTTTGACTGGCGTGGGAAAGCCTGCTCGCCGTTACAGCTACATCATGTGCAATCTGAGCATATGCTGCAGTACAGTTCGGCATGAATCCGGTCCGTGTGGAATGACGACGTCAGACGTCAATTAAGAGCGCCGCGCTCTCCCGCGGCCCGCGCTGCACCACTTAATTGACACTTGGCAATGATTAATTTGTCGTCGAAAAGCAACTATCTCCGCCGCTCCGGCCGCAGCTGCACGCCGTCGTCATTTGACAAATGTGCGAATTATGCAATTAAACCGCGTCCGCCAATCTGCGCTAGCTCTACACAATCCCAACCGGGATAGTTTTTTCTTCGCCGCAGTGTATCTGTAGTATACAGTGAAACATGCATATATGCGCGCAAATTATTATTAATTGCTCAAGCCGGCACAATTTGCGCTCTGGGTTATTTTCAATCTGCAGCGAATATAGTTTATGTTGACATTAGCCAACATGACAACACAATAAAATATCGTACCGCTGAGTGGCTTTTTTTAGCCGGGCTACCGACGTCACGGGGTGGTCATTTTAAGCTGATTACGGCAGATGCTCGGTGCCGCTCGTTAATTGGCCAGTTTAAAGCCGGCCTGAGCTGTCACAACGCATCGACATGCCTGGCCGCGCACATTGTGCAGACAGGCAGATCGGCTTAAACCGGCAACTGCGCTGGTCTGTCTGCGACTCTCTATGCCAATTTAGCGGCAATCCAGGCCTCGCTTTTACTATAGCCAGCGACTTAAGAGCAATTGATGGACGCGGCAAACAAACACGCGAAAAAACCCGCGACGCGGATTGAGATTGATTAAAAAATCTCTCCAGCCCAATCCCCGGCCTAACGCTCCCTCCATTTATCCCGCGCTCTTCCCGTTTACGACTGCAGTGTGTGCAAATATGCACAGCCACGCGGACGGAGTGGGCCCACCAATATTTTTTTCTCCCCGCATCGATTAGCCGTGCGCGCAAGTCAAACGATCACTTAAACAGTTGTTGTTTCCCTTTTCCCGGTTTTCCTCTTCCTGCCTGTACGGCGCCTGTCAGCGACCGGCGTCCGTAAGCGCAAAAAGCCGGCTTTGCGCGTCTTACGCACTCCGCGGCTATTCACGCGGGAATCCTCCGGTATAGGACTGACAGGCGCTGTCAGCGCCAACCCCAAAATTGCGCAGAGTGCCCCGTCTAATATTTCACGCCAACCGGAGCAACGTCCCGGCTGTAGTCATTCCTCTAAAAGCGCTTGCGTAAGCGCCGCTCTCCCCTATATTTCTTGATTAATCATATATAAAAAATGCTTCGTTTTTTATATATGCGATATCCCGTCAAAAGCGAGAGACTGGGTAAATACAGCGATGGCTTTTAGCCACTAACACTGTGTACTCAGCGACATAATGCGCCGCTGACGTCAGCGGGGCGCGCCGACCAATCACGCCGCGTCTCGCACGAAACTGCCAACCCGGCAATAATCGCGGCGCTGTATACCCAGCCATGACGCGGGCGTGTGTGGCCGTGTTTGTATTCTGTTTGTACAAGTACAATACTACAATATTATGCTGTACAGTATAGTACCGGGGAGGCTGTGCGGTGTTGATGCCGGCGTCCTGCTTCCCGTATAGGCGTACACACACACTCGGCTGGAGGAAGCGGCAAGCCGTATAATGGCCGGGCTGCCTCGGCGCTGTACCGCTGCACATTTCCGGCTGGCATAACCGTATTTGCCTAACCGCGTTCACTTGCTGGCGATAACTTTGTTGCATTTACAGCCCCATTACCGGTCACTGCTATTGTCTTTATATGTATACACGACTGACATGTATAGTCATTTATCACGGCGATGAATGAGTAACCGGGTTGTCTGCTCTTGATGTAATAATAATAATAATAATAATTGCCGGCTGCATTATGATCCCATCGGCAGCCCTCGCAAAAAACCCTGATTGATGATGTATATATTGTGGATTACATGCCTGCTGCTCTCCTGGTTGCCGGCGGGCTCCGGCAACACGGCCAGCTACACGCGGCCGCTGACGAAGGTGGTGTCCACCAAGTACGGGGTGCTGCGCGGGTTACTAACGCAGTTCACCAGCGATCTGAAGCCGGCGCTGCAGCCGGTGGAGGCCTACCTGGGCATCCCGTACGCCGCCGCCCCGGTGGGCAGTCTGCGCTTCATGCCGCCCACCACCCCCTCGCCCTTCGAGGGCGGCGTGCGTAACGCCACGCACTTCGGCCCGGTGTGTCCGCAGGCGGTGCCGGTGCGGAACAAGGAGACGCCCCGCTCCCGGCTGGACTATCTGCGCCGGCTGGATGTCTTTCTGCGCAACCAGAGCGAGGACTGCCTCTACCTCAACATCTACGTGCCCAGTGCATCGCGCGGTAAGTCGGGAATAATGGAATAGGACCGCGGTTCTATTTTGCCAGTGTTCGGAACTCACGGTAATGCTTAATAAGAACAAGCGGGGGCATTTGTATTGCGGTACTGTATAAGTCCCCGTTGAAGCGGGATAATTAGGAATAATGAAAAAGTATCTCGGTTATATTTTGCCGGTAATTTAATGATTAATAGGAACAAACGGGGGCATTCGTACTGCGGCGTTGCAAATAAGATCCAGGCAATAAAATCAGTGGCTGTAACAACTTCTTCGCGGATGCTATACAGTGCTGTCAGCTGATGAGGGGAAGTGTTAAGTGCTCTTTATCGCTTCGCACTGCCGCTAAAAATACACAACGGAACGCTGCTGGGAGCCGGTGCCGGGGCCAGTGACGTCACGTACTTACGGCGCATATATAATCGGTATAAAACGATATATATGTCGGGTTATTTAGCCGGTAACCGTAGCCGTCAGCGGCGATATAGATATGGGCACGCACGTAATACGTTAAATTAAATCTACGGTGAAATAGATCTAGACGACACTGGATATACAGAAGACCGGCAGGCCGATTTAACCTTTCGGCCGGCGGTGCAGTGTGCTGCTTTATCACCATCCAGGAAATGGATTCTGCTGATTAATGGGCTTTTTTACCCTTGCGTCGCACATATCCACCAAATACAATTTAATCACCGCTCAGCGCAGAGCAAAGCCGCAAATTTAATCAACATTGTGCGCCGCGCGCTTTTCACCGATCCAGCTGCTGACGAAACCGGCAACAGCAGCGATGGCCGGCGTTAATGCTTCAGCAGCTGGTTTTCGCATTTTCCCACCCGAGAAAATAATCATTATTTGCAAAATAAAATGTTTTATACATAAAAATAAATATTATACATAAAATGCTATATAATATTAGTAGTTTCCTTATAAAACATCGCTGTAAAAAATTAGGAGTCTGAAAAATATCGTGGAGATAAAGCGTTGTAAATTCTAATTTTAATCTCCATGAATTCGGTGAACGTACGGTGTATTAGCAGTGGTGTTATGAGACGCGTGTTAGCTCACATTAGCTAATTTGACACGTCCAGCCGGAGAATAACAGCCGTCCATCGAGGCGTGCCGTTCGTATATACACTTGTCGGTAAGGTTGGGAATTTTAAAATAAAACCCGGCGTATATTCCGGCTTCCCTAGCGGTAGTGCAATTAAAACAGCAGGAGCTGCTTGACACGCTTTTAACCCCGACCAACACAACGCACTCGCTAGCATACCCATTGTCGTGGTGGGTATAATGCGCCGTACGACCACTGGTCAGCGGCAGTGTTCCGCCACAATGGCAATCATCCCACTTGTCGTGCTGTGTGGATAGTACACTACACTATACAGTATACATGTTATGCTGGTTAATGCGATCGGTCTTAACTGCGCCGGCACGCCTCAGTGGAGGCTGTGCGCTGACATGCGCCGGCTGGCCGCTGGAGCGTGCAATGCAACGACAGCTTGCAGGGCTGCCTGCTCCTGTCCTGTTGCCAGCGATTCCCGTTCCGTCCCGCTCGCAGCCATGATCAATGGCCGTGTTTTCCTAACTGGCTACAATCGCCGTGAACACTCCGTCGCCGATTCGCAGTGGAGCGGCTAAAGAGCGGCCCTTCCGGTGGCGTGCGAAGGGGGCCACTTCAGGCGCGCCGGGCAGCCGCCCTGGGAAGCCGGTCCACTGCGCTGGCTAGTTAACAAGCGCCAGTGACTTTCGCACGTTAACCGTGAAGCGCAGTGAACGCGTGGTCCAAGGTAGTACCATGTGATCTATAGTTATCATTTGGCCAACGCTACGTAGTACACTTTCCAAGGTTCGAGTCCTACAGTGGGCAACGTTTTTGCAAAATTTTTGTTTATTTTTCATATGGACAAGTTCAAATCGCGAACATATTTAATAAATTTTCATGTAGTTCGTAACACGGCGCTTGTATTTGCCTTGCCGGATTAATGCTTCGGTAAATTGTCATATTTCCGGTACAGCGTGCTTATTGCTAGGTTTACCCTGTCAATTTGATAATCAAAAAAGTGTAGTGTAGTGGCACGGTTCTCAGTAGTCAGTCCACTTAGCTGGCTTCCTATGGTGGTTGCCCGAGCGCCCTTGTCCATCAAAGAAGCGAGGCCACTGCTGCACAGACAAAGGTCACCGCGCTTTCTCCTTTGAATCTTAGGCTGCCGGATGTAGAAATTGTTGCAGAAAAAATGTTATGCAAGAGTGAAGAGCGGCCCGAGTGGCTGCAGTGCCTTGTCGCGATAATGAAGGGTGCGCGCTGAAGTGCACTGCGCGCTATGATTACAATCGGGCCCCGGCATGATGCAATAACACGGCGGACGCTTCCCTCGAACGGCAGTGAGCGCTGATCATATTACCGGCGTTATGGCAGCCAGCGCGGCCAAGTGTTCTTCACCCCGGCAGCGGCCAGTATCGATCCTATATAGGAGATATTTCCCTCTCGATACAATCTAATCTATGCGCAAGAAACACACGGCGCACTTAGAGAGGAAATGGCAGCGCATAGTTATTGTAATGCTGTATTTGGCGGATTGTCATATTTCTCCCGAGATGACAGCCGGCGCATGGCGTCCACCGGATGGACGTTAATTGTGCAGATGCTGCAGCCTCTATATATGTATAATCGGCCGATATTTCCCCTGGTCCGTAATTTCGTGTATATGCCTGATAGATAATAATTGACAACAGACGCTTAGCTGATGGAGTGTAATGCGGACAAATTGATCAGTTTAACAGCGGCGACCAGCGCGGCTCTATCTTGATTTGACATACTTTTTGTCATTGTACAATCATGTAAGTTGTATTGAGAATTGATTAAGAAATTTGTTTACCCAGGGGAGGTCCGTTTTGCACAACGCCAGTCAGCGCGGCAACCGTTCAACGTTATGGCTACCGTTTACAGATCGGCCTGTGACCGGCAAAATCCAGCGGAAGATTGCTGTATATATTATATATGACGCTTTATGGCGCTGCTTACGATTGCGCCGGTTGCTAAAAATACCCGACACACACCAGCACTTCCGCTCCCTTGAACTACTTTTCCTCCCAGCTTGTTGCTCTTTTATTGCGGCACAGGTTTTCTCATTAAACCAGCTCCAGTCATCCTGCCACTTCTAACAAACATTTCACGTCTAATTATTAAATTTTCCCTAAAAGTGTAATTATGGAAGCAGAGTCAATTCGGGAAATAAAGAAAGTTACTTTAGATATTACACTGTATTTACTTTCCAAACTATAAATACACGGAAAATGAACTGCAAAAAATTTGCACAAATAATTCAGAAAATAAATGCTTTTATAAAATAATTCATGCACATAGAAAAAATAAATTACTCGTAAAACAATTGCGCAAAAATTTATTGGTGTAACATGAAAAATTTTTTATTGGAATTAAAGTGGATTAAAATAAATTCAGAAAATAAATGAAATTAATTCAAATAAACACTTGGAAAAAAAATCGAAAAGAATTGTACAAAATTCCGTAGTGTTTCAAGTTGAAAGAATGTCGATTAAGCGAGAGTGGACGTTGGAGTGGGGCGGTGGACACGTGCATGAATAAGCAGCCGAGCCGATAATTTAAAGCCCCATCAGCGTCCAGCATTGGAGATTGGCCGATTTGTGATTGCAACGTAATCAGTAATGCCGGGAATAAGTTTTGCTTTAAGGCCGGCGAGTGTGGCTAACCATCCGTAAAAAAGGGGGGCATAAAAACAGAGCAGACGGGATGAATAATTGGGAGCACAGCCAGATTACCACTGCCAACACTAACTTATATAAATGTCCGACGCAGTGGTCAGTGCGGCCATTACTCCGCTTACGTATATGTGCGCGTTCGCGCTGACCGGCACACTATTCCCGATTTTCATCCCGGCATACATGTATACATATATCGATTCAGCGTCGACATTTCCCTAAGCTTCCATAAGACTTGACAACAATATTTAGCCTCCACAATTTTCAATTTTGACAGATAGATAGACACAACTCAACTTGCCCAACCTATCCGGCTGATGACCGACTTTATCTATCCTCAACGACAGATAAATACTCTCTCCTTAATTCCCATTGATTTCCCAACGACCAGTTTTTACACAACTTTTTACGAATCGCCTTCCGCTGTTTCAGCAGTATCTTAAATTAAATTGAATAATTTCTCTACTGGTTATTATGCGGTAATATTTTCTGCGAATTAGATTTTTACAAATCAGTCTAATTTTTCTTCTTTAACAAAATTTAACAAATATTCTGTTGATGTTTATTGTACCTTCCTTGCAAATAATTTTGTAAGGATTTTAAATGTAAATTTTAAATTTTTTAACGTACTCTGTACACAGCATCATCAATTGATTTAACGCAGATGCAATATTTTCTTGGATATTACTTTATTTACGTGCAATGTATTGCTTAATAATGTCAGCAAATAAATAGTCTATTTGCGTAATAAGATACAATTATTTTATATTAGCGTTGGCCTTTTTGCGAAAGGGAAAACACGGCAGCGGCGATTATTGATTTAGCACACCGGTAAATCATCAGTTTGCACGTGTACCGTATAATCGTTGACGGGATTAACACAACCCGCCCCGGTCGGCGATTGTCGCGGTGTAATGAGTGTTATTTTGTTGTCCTTGGGGAGGGCCGCCTGCACAACCTGCACAACATGCAATCGGATCATATACATGCAGCGGGAATGAATGATCCTGATTCCTCAATGGCCGCTAATAAATACGCTGTAAACTGTAATAACGCGCCGGTCAACAATCAGCCGGGTAGGGCGCTGTACAATCTGTAATGCGCGGCGCTAATGAGGCCTAATGCGGCCAACTGCGCCGCTCTTGTCCGCAGCCGGTCAGCAGTTAACACTGCCCCGTGTTTGTACAGCGCTACACGTAATGCGCGTAATAATACCGGCAACAGCTGCACTGAAGCATATTGCTCCCGATCCGCATTCACCCTGGAATAATTATCCCATTCTTCCCCGCACACTATTCCTTATACATGATATTATTGCACATACGTATGCTGGGAAGAAACCGCGCTTTGTTGTAATACGCGGCTACTTGAGCGCACTTCAACCGGCCAACAACGCGATGCAATAGACGAACATGCGTCTGTATTCAAATAAATTATAAAGAAAATATACAGCGCGTTTTGTGTGGTGAGATTCGTGAGAACGAACGCTAATATGTGAAATAAGTCCCGCTGCAGTAGTTTATAGTTTATATATACGACATGTATATATGTAGTTTATATATACAGCATATATACAGATATATGTATACGATATATATACATATATATGTAGTTTATATCTATTTATACAACATATATATATATATACATATATATATATATGTATATATATCAAGGTAAAGATCTATAATACAACGGAAAACCCCGTACGATCTGGTCAGAACAAGCCAAAAAATTAATCGAAAAACTGCTACCGCCATTCGATTCAGCATGTCTGGAAACTGTGTCACATGCATTTTGTTTTGGTAATATCTGCTCCGGCTCCCGTGCACAGACGCCGGTGCCGGTAGAGAAGAAAACTCAAGGTGACCTTGAAAACAATTTCAAAGTCCTGTTGCATGGAGCAAAAAATCAGTAAATTTAAACTGGTACCCTTTTTAGATCAACAAATCAAAAAGGTTTGAACTTTTAATCCTACAAAACTAGAAAAGTCAATTAGCAGTAGCGCAAACGATACTGCAAGTGGATGGCTTCGTTTACAGTTTAAATCGTTTACATTTGAAGGCAGCTGTAAAAGAAACTGACCATAGTACTGTAATCGTTCAAACGGGCTAACCTTTCATTGCAGTCCGAGCAAAACTAAAGTCAGTGATTGATAAATGATAATCAGCATCTGCATTCTGCAGTCCGTAAATTATTTCGTATAATACGGAATAATAGTACGGTATCTACTGTACATTCTAGATCTTTATTACCACAAAAAATAAAAAGGGATTCACGAACCCAGCTTTCACGTATAGAATCAGCAGAAACCATTTCCATAATCTGAATGCCCATACCTATTCCAAAACCCGGCCAGACGGTTTTAGTTTCACAGAGCCAAGCCGTGACCAAACTACCGCTACTATCCAGAGCACACAGCCCGCTAGGTGAACGAGTGACCGAATTACCACTACTATCCAGAGCACGCAGCGCGCTAGGTAACGAGTGACCGAACTACCACTACTATCCAGAGCACACAGCCCGCTAGTTAAACAAGTGACCGAACTACCACTACTATCCAGAGAACACAGACCGCTAGGTGAACGAGTGACCGAATTACCACTACTATCCAGAGCACGCAGCCCGCTATAGGTAAAGAAGTGACCGAACTACCACTACTATCCAGAGAACACAGACCGCTATAGGTAAACGAGTGATCGGACTACCATCAGCATCTATTGCAAGCATCCTTTAGTGGAAATTATTACCTGGTAGACTCGATCAAGGTCGGGAGGGAGAAGTTAACAAAAATTCCCTTCCGAGTGAAAGTGAATGCGTCTGAGTGCACAAAAGCCATAAATTCACTTTTTATTCTATCTGCGTTTTAGCGTATTTTCGGATCATTTTGTTTCGTTGAAGGAATAAGATGTTAACTAAATAGCGGAACGAAATCATTTGAATAAACCGGCCGTAGACTGGAGACCACAAGAAAAGCGGAGGCGAAGCCGAGGCTGTTTCTTGTACGTATATATTATGTAAATGATATTTATATACATATACAGTATATGTAGTTTATATATACAACATATATATATGTATACGATATATATGCATATATATGTAGTTTATATATACGACAGCATGATATCGATAGGAAAGCTGTGATAATGTTATTGTGATCCGTTAGTATCCGGGGACGCTTCAGCGTAATCCCTGCCAATTACGCGCTGATCATTATGTCATTATGCATCCATCAATCTTCACGTTTATATAGCCTATACGCTGAATATAATCCCGCACCGTTAACGCCAACTGCCCTCGACACGGGCCACGTCTCCCGCCCGAATCGCCTCCTCATTTATTTATGCAATTAAATGAACAATATCCGAAACATAATTACATTAAGCGCCGAAACAAGAATATCAAAAACAAAACGTACAAAAATAAATATTAATTGCCGGGGTAATTTGCTTATATAGAAAATCGTTCAGGCCGTAATTGCTATAATAATTGTTTGATTTGTTTCAATAATATTTATTAAAGGGGAATGGACGTTGATGTAGTTGGTCAGCGGTCAAACGGGAAGCAGCGTGGGCTTATGTAAACTGTCGCAGATGGTCAACTGTACTGGCTGTGTTGAAACAATCCGCGGGAGTTTACTTTAGCCGGCGTTCCCAACAGTCGCTACCGTCATGAGAACGGGATACCGCGTGTTAATCAACAGACACCGGCACACCCGGTGACATTTTATTCTAATCAAGCTTGACCTTTAACCAAATACGGCTTAATTAATTTTCCCCTATTTCCGCTAGTAAATTGAAAAATATATATAGAAGAGAAGAAGTAAACAAGCACTGGCGTTGAGCCCTGATATATGCTGGTGCCGGTATAATGCACCAAAATCTGTATAAATTTAAAATAATTTAATATAAATTTAACAATAGTTTTTTATTTTTTAAAAGTTTGTACTTTAATAATAATTAAGTTAAAATTGTATATATGAAAAAAGAAGGTGAGGAGGCCAAGGCGACCGGGACTGGGTTGATGAATGGGCAAACAAACAGTGTAACTGCGCCCTGCCGGTGTTTGTCCTCTACGGGTTTCTCCCATATATGTGCAGCATCAGCGAATCCATCCATCTCCTTTGTCAAGTAGCCTGCCTAGCCCGGCGTCCATCGCAGAGGCAGCTATTCTCCGCCGGTCGTGACAGGAGTCTGTAGTCCGCGTTACAGTGTACAGAGCACACAACTTCAACCGCTTATTGATTGCCCGCTCCGGCAATTCACTCCGCAGTCGCCAGCGCAGGCACAGTGTTTACGTAGGAACGGCTGTATTGGATGACAATCGATGCTTATCAAATTAGAAGTGTATTGAGCACTTATAACATTTTGTCAAGAAGTCCATTATTCATCGACGGCGCTGTACATAGAGAGTAGCGTTGCGCCGGGATGCGAGCGGCTTCCATCCGGGATCCGGCGCGGACCGGCCACGGTCAAGCGCCGCCGGGGTGTTGCTTTAATGCCGGCATTCTGCTGGCGTGTAGCTGCGCATAATCGGGCCTGATCGACGCCCAGCCGCGCTTCCGCTCCCCCGCCACGCCGCCCGGCCTGCGCCAATTAACCGGCTTCGGCCGCTTTCCGCCAGCCAGGGATTTATCCCAAACACAATCGCGCTTTCCAGTCTTTTTACTTAATCCGGTCGGCGCGTGCGCCACTTGGCAGGCTTACGCTGTAGCTTCCTAATATTTTCTACCGGAAAATAATAGTAATATTATTAATAAAGCATCGAAGTATACGCAGTATGCCGCCGCCTGTGATGACCTTTACAAAGCATGTAATTAACACACATTCTAGTTAAGAAAATTGGGGACCGATTGAATTAAACGTTGTGCACGAATATTAAAAAATAGACCAGTAGAATTAGCGCGCGTTTAATTAAAGGGATTTAATGTGTTGCAGAGGAGCGTGAGTCGTTGCCAGTATTAATCTACATTCACGGGGAGTCGTACTCGTGGGGCTCGGGGAACCCGTACGACGGCAGCGTCCTGGCCAGCTACGGCAACATCATCGTCGTCACCCTCAACTACCGGCTCGGGCCGCTCGGTAAGCTGCCACTACCTTCCTCACTTGTACCGAGGAATCTAATCTACATAACAGTACGGCACGCAATTAAGCCGGGTCACGGATCGGCAGCCCCGGCCAGATGGCAGCGCCCCGTCCGGCCGCGTCAGGCCTCATTGGCGCCGATCCGATCTGGCCGCGCTGACCGACCCGGCCGGCCATCTGACGGCCAGCGCGATAAGATTCCCTTGTCGATACGCGTATACATACATTCACGGCCCAATTAGTCCGATTTGTATCATACAATCACGAACGCCAGCTGGCCGCGCTCCCCACGGGATCGCCTTACCTGTCCGGCGAACGTGACCTTTCCAACTACATTAACCGGCATATATGTATCTTTAAGCGGTATAACGTTAGCGTTTAGTGAAACGGTTGTAAAGCATGTCGGAGGCAAGTGGCCGTTGATAATGGCCGGCGTGATGTTGTCATGCCCGACCGGCACATCCAGCGTCATTACGCGCCGGAAGTACAGCGCTTTTACGGCCAACAATTAGCCCCGTGTTCAGGCTGACTTTACGGCCGTTAAGAAGCCGTAACGTCTCCCCGAAGACCCGCGTCACGCAAGCCGGCGTCCGCTTGAATAAACGCTGCTTTACGGAGAGTTGTGCTTAAGCTGATGGCCATCAGGACATTGACAAGCCAACGAGTCAAAACGGGGGAACATGCCGTATTCGAATGGGGAATCGATGGGCTAATGTAGCGGCACGAGCGGGACGAATGTTTGTCTTGCCCAGTGGAAACAGGTCAATAAATGCTCGTCAATTCGATTACCGGCTGCGCGGGCTCGGAGTCCAGACCAGGGCACAGTCACCGACCATCTCGGCCATGAAACACAAGACTCATAAATAAATCATAATATTTACCCGCCTCAATACTCCGCCATGTGTTGTTAACGTTGTACATTGTGATATTGTCTTGACCGGCAGGCTTCCTCACCACCGACGACGGACACGCTCGCGGCAATTACGGCCTCATGGACCAAGTGGCCGCCAGTGAGTAATAACGTCCTACATCTTGGATAAACGTATTTGTGTGTACACGTAATTACCGCCCAACGGAGCGTGAGTAACAATAAGATAAGCCAATTTATTATTATGCTCATCTTCGTACAAGAACTTGCATTTATTTTAATGTATGTGTAGCTACATTACATGTATAAAATGTACTTATATGTATCTGGGTATACAGCATATGTGTATACCTACTATGTATATAGATATCTATATATGCAACATGTTTATATACTCTGTGTATACATACTGTATCTTGTATTTTTATATGTATATATTATATATATAAATATATATCTATATATACTGTATCTTTATATATTCATATATACGTATATATATACGTTATACGTTTATATATTATACGTTTATATACGTTTATACGTTTATATACTAAATATACGTTATACTACTTTGTGCAAATAATATTATTATTCACTACAATCAGGTGCATATGTGTTTGACTGCAGTCCGCTTCGTGGAGGAGAACATTGAGCAGTTCGGCGGGGACGCCGGGAATATCACGCTGCTGGGCCAGGGCAGCGGCGCCGCCTGCGTCAACCTGCTGATGATCTCGCCGGTGGCCACCAACAGCAAGCGCCTCTTCCAGCGCGCCATCCTCCTCAGCGGCTCGGCCCTGGCCCCCCACGCCCTCAGCCACGACCCCCGCAAGTACACCCTGGAGCTGGCGCGGGCGCTGCACTGCCCCACCGGCAACAGCCCCGACCTGGTGCGCTGCCTCAAGACCAAGACGGCTGACGAGCTGGTCAAGGTCCCGCTGGATATCCCCCAGTACGTCCCGTTCCCTTCCGGGATGCGTAGTTGTCTAACCCGATGACCTTTGCAGGTACCTCACCGGCTTCGGGCCGGCCATCGACGGCGTCTTCATCCCCAACCAGCCGCGCCATATCATGCGCAACTACGCCAGCCTCTACCGGAAGTACGGTCTGATGATCGGGCTGACGCGCAGCGAAGCGGCGCCCCTCTTCACCCGCCGCGACCTGGCGTCCGGCTTCGACGAGGCCCGCCAGAACCGCATCCTGCGCTCGCTGGTGCGCAACCTCTTCGCCTACCACCTCGGCGAGGTCTTCATGTCCGTCAAGTTCGAGTACGCCGACTGGGACAAGTCGCCGCGCTCCCTGGCCAACACGCGCGACGCCACGCTGGACGTCCTCAGCGACGCGCTGACCGTGGCGCCCCTCACCGAGGCCGCGCAGCTGCACGCCGGGGCCGTGGCGCAGGAGACCTACATGTTCCTCTTCCAGCACGCTCACCGCGCCGGCGACGAGGACTTCCCGACGACGCTGGACAGTGTCGCCGGGGACGAGCTGCCCTTTCTCTTCGGCGCGCCGCTCCTGCACCACGGCCGTCTCCAGCCGTGGGGCGGCAACTACTCGGCGGCGGACGCCTACGTCAGCGAAGTGCTGATCAACCTCTTGGCCAACTACATCCGCACCGGCGATCCGCGGAAGATGCCGCGCCGGCAGACCATCGGCTTCTCGGACGCCGTCCGGCAGGGCGTCACCTCCGCCAACTGGCCGAAATTCGACGCCGACCGGCAGCGCTACCTGCAGCTGAGCGCCCGCTCCCGCGACGTCCGCAACCACTACCGCGCCCACAAGACGGCCTTCTGGACGGAGCTCATCCCCAAACTGAACACCGGGACGTCGCCGCGCATCAGTCCGGACCACCACGCCTTCTCCGACTTCGACAACATGGACACCTACGACGGCCTGGTGCGGACGCTGGCCTTTCTGACCCTGCCGCCGCCGCCCCTGCCCCCCTCCAGCACCCCGCCGCCCTGGCGGAACAAGACACGCTCCAAGACCACCTCCCAGTCCACCTCCTCCACCGCGCAGAACACCGACGTCCTCGTCACGCCGCTGGAGCCGGAGCCCATGGGCTACAACTCCCCGTCACCCACCACGCTGACCATCATGATTGCCGTTGGCTGCACCATCGTCTTAATCAACATTCTCATCTGTATCGGTACGAGACATATAAGAACATATGCGCATATATAAAAAAATACGCGAAAAACATACATATACGGTTACCTATGCAGTATATATGTACCGGTTCACTAAATAAAATTTGCATACTTATTAATTATCGTTATCTTTATTTATTTCCAATAAATTTTCAAATTTATCATATTTTATTTTTTTATTTATTTATTATAATTTTATATTTATACTAATATTTTAAAAAATGCAGCGATGTTTTTTGTACTCAGGTGTCTGTTACCGAAGCAACCGGAAGAAGTACCTATCGAACCGGCCGCTGCCCGAGAAGCGCAACGGCGTGACCCCCAACCCCGCCGACGCCAAAGCCGAGGAGGCCGACCACGCCGAGACCCTCCTCCCGCCCTCCTCCAGTTCCCACAACAACTACTCGGTGCCGGGAACTCCCCTGCCGGTGATGCACTACCACCCGGGCCGCACCTTCAACACCTTCTCCGACCCGCACTTCCAACTGCCCTTGCACCTCCCGGACGCCCAGAAGCCCCTGCTGCCGGTGGTGGCCGGGCCCCCGGGGGCGCCGCCGCGGTCCGTGCCCCTGCTGGGGTTGGACCACACCCTGCAGCGGCGCAGTCACGCCGAATTGCTCAGGAAGGCCGCCACGCTGCAGCACGCCACGCCCGCGGGCGGCGGCACTGGCGGCGGTGGGGCGCCGGAACAGGACGAGACGGCCGTCTGATCAGGATGATCGGAGCCCTTGTCACAAATCATTAAACGAATGGTCTCAAGTCAGAATTTTTATGAATGCGGATATTAACAGTATGTGTGCTGCGCTTAAAGCTTGCTGTGTGCTGTTTACGGGTGACCTTTTGTCTTTTTCTACAAAGTGGTCGTTTTGTCGTTGCATAAAAATGTAATTATGAAGAAAGCAGGTGCTCGTTCGTTTTTGCATAGAAAACTTACGACGCGGCGTATAAGAGAAGTACTTCCGGTCAGTGGCGCTTGTTGACATTGGACACTGATCGGCACCAGAGCGCGCAAGCGAACTTGCTGTTGCAAAGAGGAATGCATTTTCAGCTGATCTAAAATATTGCCGGAAAACTGAAGAATCGATAACTACGAGTATTAGTGACAACGAAGCGCTTACAGTGCGCAAAAGAATTCAAAGCAAACAGGAAATCCAGATCGCGCAAGGTGTATTGCGGGCTTTATTTGCGGCTGTCTGCATTGCCTGAGGCAAGTATTACACAGCTGGGGTGGCGTGACCACACGAAGCATTAACCAAGTGCGGAAGTCACAAGAGTGTGTGCGGAAATACGAAACACAGATCCCAAAAACTGAAGCGATCTTCTTACGGATAATTTGATAATGTACTGAAACTACACCAGACAGAAATTCGAATATCGTGAAAGAATAGGATGCATCATGCCGATGAAATTTCCAGTTTGCCACAAAGACAACCGGAAGTACCCTCCACGCCACGCTCGGCACGCCCCGCGTCTACGTCACAAAGACTGAGTGTGGTTTGCCACGACCATTTGACGAGAAAACTGAATGCGTCAACAAGTTAATCAAAATGGTTGAGTTCTGAATGTTTTTTTAGAGATTAGTCATTTTTTATCTCTCTTCTTCGGGTTTTTTTCGCCTTCGGGTGTGAACATTTGTGAGTCTTGAGGCAGAAGGTGGCTTGTGTGTATGTGTGGATTAATCCTAAGCTGTACAGCCTCTGCGTCGAAGGAGTTTGGTGTAATTCGAGTTTGACTGCGAAGAACTTATCACTTTTATCGAAACTGACGAAGAATTCTCTCTCCGATTCCTTCCCATCGCAGCGTGACTGTATCGGAGAATCCAGGCACAGCGAGGTACGGTAGATGATAGTAGAGCCGATGCTGAGAAGAGTTATCGTTCTTGAGACGACAACACTGGCAGGTTAGACGTATCGTGCAGGGAGCTGCCAGTTTCAAGTAGCTGGGTAATCTTACACTTCTTACTTTCTGACAGTTTCACGATAGTTTAGGATGTTTCTGAATGTATACAATTTTTCCAGTGTGTAGAACTGACAAAAAGTAGCGTAGTTGGTTGTGTGTGGCGCTACATAAACATGGCAGTTAACTGTTAACACTCGACTGCAGTACTTTCACGTTTCAACATGAATTGATCAGGTAGGGTTATTTTACCAAGTCTCACTGATCACTGAGCCAAATTACGCAGGAGGATCTTGTGCAGTGTGCAGGGGCAGTCGTTGTAGTAACGGCGTTGTGTGTTCTTTCGTCGGTGACTGTGGGGATGTGACGAAGGTAGCGTGAATTGTCAATTGACGTAATAATGCCAATATTGACTGCCTGCACAGCCCCAGTAGCTGGTCTTCTTCGGCGGGACAACGTTCTGACGTTCAACGGTGCGAGCGTGTATTTGTGTGTGCCCTGAAGATTTCAGTAATAATGGGCATAGGGGATTGTCGGTGTGACGTTTATCGTGTTGCTTGTGTAGATCCGTGACTGCTGGACAGTGCGCGACGAGGATTGTGCGAGGCTGGATGGATGGATGTGCCCGTTGAGTAGGCGGCGCGGTGCGTCGGATGCGCGGCCACCCTGCTGGTCGGCCCGGCCGTCCTTGCCACCATGCTGGGGGGCTGGTCGCCCGGCGATGATCCCATCGGGCTGGTCTTGCTACCCTCCGCTGTCGTCCTGACTCATCTGCTCTCCGTGCTCACTATCATCTCCTCTCTGTCCAGAATCTCAGCGTTGTATTCTCCCTGTCCTCGGGCAGCCTCCCGTCACCCTCCTGGACAGCTGCATCTCCGGCCATGCCCGACAAACGGCCCAACTGGCTGCGCTGGCTCCTGGTTAAACTGGTGCGCATCCCGGTCGCGCTCGTGGCGTCCTGACTCTCAACGTGGTTTTGGTGTGATTGTAGGGAGTGGCGAAGGCGGCCCCCAGCGACACCTACCGCACGGTGTACGTCAACCACTTCCAGCGCCACCTCCCGCCCGCTGGGGCCCCGGCCGATCCCAACCAGCACAACCTCCTGCCGCTGCACCAGCAGAAGCCCCTCCCACACCGCCTCTCCTCCGCGTCGGCCGCCGCCCAGGGCAGTCTCTCAAGGGCCAACGCGGCGCTCCCCGCCGCCGAGGAGAAGTACCCCGACAATCGCATCGTCTCCTCCAAGGTGGGCATGCCGTCTGACCGAAATAGCGCTGTATTTTTTATGGCTGGATTTATTCGTTTATGGCACCCTTATCGTTGTGCCCAATTCATGGTGTGGCGCATCTATTGACGATTGTTGTTTGTCTCTGTAGTATACCGCGTGGAATTTCCTGCCCAAGAATCTCTTCGAGCAGTTCCGCCGTATCGCCAACTTCTACTTCCTTTGTGTCGGGATCATTCAGGTATGGCGCGCTCATCTGCATTCAATACTCTTGTCAATTTATTGTTGTACAATCGACAGCTTACGCCTCAGCGATTTTTATTATTAGTATTCTTGCCATTTTTTGTCAACTTGTTATTTATTATCGCTTTTTATTCGATTAACTAATATTGGCCAGCTACAGTTAAAGTACATCTTTTTATGGAGCTATCGCACCAGGCTACTAAACATATTTCCGGTAAATTTTATTTTTTAACATAACGAACACTGTAATATTGTAAAACAGTGTCGGTGAATTTGGATGTTCAAAATACATAAAATAGCTTCGATTTATTATGAGTACAGTTGAGAAGGTCGATGCAAATAAATCAACAAATTTCGATGAAAAAAATCGATCCTCATTGACGCGCGAGGGAAAAAGATTTTGAAAAGCATATACTCTTTGGATAAGGGCTGTATACAGAACTGTATTACCTCTGCAGTGGTTGATTGTGTATTGTATACAGTTGAGCATCGACAGTCCCGTCAGCCCGGTGACGTCCATCGCTCCGTTAATCTTCGTCGTCTCCGTCACAGCCATCAAGCAGGCGTACGAGGACTGGCTGCGGCACAAGGCGGACCTGCAGGTCAACAACCGGTCGGTGCGCGTCTTGAAGGACGGCCAGCTGCAGCGCGTGCAGGCCAAGCACATCCAGGTGGGCGACATCGTCTACGTCGTGGACGAGCACAAGTTCCCGTGCGACCTGGTCATGCTGGCCTCCAGCAACGACGACGGCCGCTGCAGCGTGAGTATCGGACGATTACTCGCTGTATTCGGGCAGTGGTCGACGGGCTGCTGTTTTTGTTAGGTGACGACGGCCAACCTGGACGGCGAGACCAACCTCAAGGTCTTCCGCTGCAGTCCCGCCACGCAGGCGCTGCAGACCGTCGAGGCGCTGTCCGCGCTGCGCGCCACCATCCAGTGCGAGCAGCCCACCACCGACCTGTACCTGTACGCATTAACGGCGCAACCGCCCCGTGTAGTTGATCATTCTTAATCATCTAAAAATTGGAAAATATGCTTTCTTCCTTAAATGTTCGGTTTCTTCATCGTTAATTAAAAAGTGAACCATAAATAGATTTCTTCTCGTGATTTTTGAATAAAACGAAATCCTAATTACGTAAATTAAGTTTACAAATTGCTTCTGGTTTTGAATTTATAATTAATTCTAATTTTACTAAATATAAGAAATAATTATAATTTTACTTAATAAGAGCCAAGGAATTTCTCCGGTTTCTTAATTAGCAAAATTTATAATTTGTGTAAAAAAATTGCGCCTTTGCATTAGTAAATTTGTTATTAATAAATTAATCTTCACTCTTCAGTAAATGAAATTATTTATCAAATTTCTTGGTTCTTGGTTAATGTGTTAATTAACACATAAAATTACAGGATAAATAATTCCTCTTTTTCTGCGTAGATTCCGCGGGCGGCTGCTGATCCACTCGGACCGCGAGCTGAACGCCTCGACGCCGTACATGACCAGTCTGAGCCAGCAGAACCTGCTGCTGAACGGCGCGCGGCTGAAGAACACGCGCTTCGTCTTCGGCTGCGCCGTCTACACCGGCCAGCAGACGAAGATGGCGCTCAACTCCGTCTACACCAGCAAGAACAAGTGGAGCACCATCGAGCGCGGCATGAACGAGTTCCTCGGCTTCTTCTTGTTGCTCTTGCTACTGGAGGTGGCCGTCTGCACCGGGCTCAAGTACTGGCTCACCGCGCAGCCCCGCGGCCATCCCTGGTACTCACCCCTCCCCCAGGATCCCGAGACACGCGTCACGGTACTCAAGAAAAAGACAAATTATCGTCTGAATTTGTTTATTAATTAGGATTGCGTATTTGTTATGGATTTTCGCTGCATGCGGGAAATATACCGGTATTTGTGCGTGTAGGCGAAAGGCGTCATCCAGGACGTGTTCGCCTTCCTGGTGCTCTTCAACTACATCATTCCCATCTCGCTCTACGTCACGCTGGAGCTGCAGAAGTTCCTCGGTGCCAAATTCCTCGTGTGGGACGTGGAGCTCTTCGACAAGGAGCGCAATCTGCCCGCCAAGGTCAACTCCTCCGATCTCAACGAGGAATTAGGACAGGTACGGCGTCCGTCCTTATGGATGAAATTCAAGCAGATCTGAGCCGTTAAGAAATCATTTTGATTTGAAATAGAGTGGAATTCGACAGATAAATCGTTCAAAATTTTCTCTAGCTTTTGGCTTTGTTAAATTGATTTAAATTAATTTTAGCAGACAGTAAATATTAGGAATAATTCTACCGCTTCCGATTGCAAATCTCAACGCTTCGAGAGGACTTTGATTTCATCCCAAAGAAAACTGATTATAATAAGTGAATTTAGGTTATTCTTAGGTTTATTATATTTTCTCTAAGTAAAAACACTCCTCTTTACTTCCGGCTACTTGTGCTCTTTATTTACATTCACAAGAAACAAATACACAACAACAAAGGTTTTAAGAGGCTGTAAAAAGAATATTCATTTAGGAAATTTATCCCTATGACCAAAATTGCTTTTTCGGTTTTCAATTGCGTTGAATTAAATTGTAACTTTTTCTCCTTCGCTTGAAGTAGCTTTGAAATTTAGTTAAACTGGATAATATGTGTCGTCGTTGTACAGGTGGAATATCTGTTCTCCGACAAGACCGGGACGTTGACGGAGAACGACATGATCTTCCGGAAGTGCGCCGTGGGTGAGCGCGTGTTCGGGGACGTGGGCGGCCGGCTGATGGAGGTGTTCGAGGGCAACACGCAGGACTATTTAGTGGACCTGACCGAGCCGGAGCTGCAGCGCTTCATGCTGCTGCTGGTCCTCTGCCACACCGTTGAGGTCAGCCAGGTGCCGCTCCTGCCCACCTCCTCCGAGAACCTCAAGGGCAAGGGCCGGCGCAAAGGCCGCAGCTTCTCCGACGAGTCGATGCGGCTGCGGCACGCCAAGGGCGAGGTGTTCTACGAGGGCGCCAGTCCGGATGAGACGGCGCTGGTGCTGGCCTGCCGGCGCTACGGCGTCGTCTTCAAGGACCACAAGGACGGGCATCACGTCGTCAGCTATTTAGGGGAGGAGAGCCGCTACGAGGTGCTGCGCGTGCTGGAGTTCGACGCGGACAGGAAGCGGATGAGCGTCGTCGTGCGGCTGGACGAGTACCGCGTCGTGCTGCTGGTCAAGGGCGCCGAGACGGCCGTCCTCCCGCGGGTCACCGCCGGGGACGTGGAGCGCATGCAGCGGCATGTCGACGCCTTCGCGCAGGAAGGCCTGCGGACGCTGGTGATGGCCGAGCGGCAGATGGGCAACGAGGAGTGGATCGCCTTCCTCGACGACCTCAACGAAGCCAGCAACCTGTTGGTCGACCGGGAGACGCGCGTCCGCGAGGTGTACGAGGACCTGGAGAGCAATCTGACCCTCCTCGGCGCGTCCGGCGTGGAGGACCGCCTGCAGGACGGGGTGGCGGAGACGCTGGAGGCGCTGCGCGTCGCCGGCATCCGCAGCTGGATCCTCACCGGCGACAAACAGGAGACGGCCGTCAACGTCAGCTACTCGTGCGGCCACTTCAAGAAGAGCATGCTGGAGCTGCATCTGACCAAGTGCGAGGACGTCAGCACGTGCGAGACGCTGCTGCAGACCATGCGGCAGACCATGATCCAGCAGGAGGCCGACCGCGAGAACTGTCTGGTGGTGGACGGCGCCAGTCTCAAGCTGGCCTGGGAGCACCACCGCACGCTGCTGCGCGACGTGGCCATGGGCTGCGTCGCGGTGTTGTGCTGCCGGATGTCGCCGATCCAGAAGGCGCTCATCGTCCGCATGATCAAGGACTCCCCGAAGCATCCCATCACGGCGGCCATCGGCGACGGCGCCAACGACGTCAGCATGATCCAGGAGGCCCATGTGGGGCTGGGCATCTACGGGAAGGAGGGACGGCAGGCGGCGCGGGCCGCTGATTTCTCGTTTGGCAGGTTCCGGATGTTGAGCAAGATCTTTCTGGTGCATGGGCACTGGTACTACCACCGCGTGGCCACGCTGGTCCAATACTTCTTCTACAAGGTAAGCGCTTCTTGATCTACCGTTTCCGACAGTTGTTGATGTGGTTTGTTGCAGAATCTGGCGTTTATCACGTCGCAAGTGTTCTTCGCGTTCTTCTCGGCGTTCTCCGCGCAGACAGTGTTTGACGGGGTTTATCTGACCTTTTACAACATCATCTTCACCTCGGCGCCCATCCTGGCGTTCGGGCTGTTCGAGCAGGATGTCCCGTCGCCACTGCTGCAGGCGCAACCGCATCTCTACAGGTTCGTAACGAAACAGTCGCGAGAATTAAAAATAAATTTATTATTTATTTCTGTTACATTTATTTTTGTATTTTATGTGTATTTTGGTTGACGTGTCAACACGTGTGTTTTAGTCTGAATCGTCGGAACGCGCGGCTGTCGGTGAGGGAGTTCGCCACGTGGAACCTGTTGGGTGTGTGGCACGCCGTGGTCTTCTTCTTCGGCTTCTACTGCTTGGTGTCGCCCAACGGCGTGCTGGACCGCAGCGGCCAGAACTACGACATGTGGACCTTCGGCACGGCCGTCTTCACCACCATCATCCTCGTCGTCAACCTCAAGGTCAGTCGTCATGCCTTTATGAAATGTTCCAGCTGTTATAGCCGGTGCTTTGCAGATTCTCTTATACGCTCGCCACTGGAACGGCTTCCTGCTGGGCGCCGTGCTGATCAGCTTCCTGGCCTTCCTCACGGTGTCGCTGCTGTACAACGCCGCGGTGTGGAAAAAGTAAGTCACCCGGATGGCAAAAAATTCAGATAAAATTAGGTGACGTGTTTTATTGTAACAGCATGGTGAGTCCGGACATGTACTGGGTGTTCTTCGTCGTCTTCGCCAACCCCTCGATGCCGCTGTGCATCCTGCTGCTGGTGGTGGCCGCGCTCCTCCCGGACGTGATCCTGCAGGTGCTGGAGACCAGCCAGCTGCGCTCCGCCTTCCTCAAGCCCTTCCTCGACTGGCGGCCCACCCTGCCCATGGTAAGCACACCGCGTCCCACCTCTTCTGTCTCTCGCCGTCTAATCGAACGTTCATTGATGTATTGGATGAATAATAATAATAATAATGATAATAATAATAATAATAATTGCAGCGCAAATGGAGTCCGCGGTCCTTCTCGCTGGAGGGCGAGATGGAGAAGAACAGCCGCCTGGCCGTGCGCAGCCGCTACCACGGCCCGGCGCTGTCCATGGCCACCACCGCCGACTCGGGCAACTCGGGGACCGTCTCCCTGTCGGCGCTGGGCCAGCAGGCGCGGTATCGCGCGCATTCGCCGTCCCCCGAGCCTCCGGCGGACGACGGGGGGCTGGTGGGGCACCCGCACCCCAGCACCGTCCACTTCCTGCCCCTCGACGCGGCCCCCGCCCCGCGCATCGTCGCCACATGAAAGCGGGGGTTATTAGCGCGTCGTTTCTCGTCTGCACCCCGGTGATGCAAGTGCTGTGATGCCAAAGGAGCCTTCGTTAGCAGAGATGTCAATTATCCTTGTTTGGCTGCCTCGGTGAAGGAGGCAGTTAGTCCCGATGGCGGACGACGGCGTCCGCGTCCTTCCGCACCATTCCCTCCGCGGCGATGGCGGTCCGCGACTGAGTCAGTAATCTTTTCTCTTGTGAATCTGTAATCTGTTGTTTTGTTGTCCAGTGCGCGTTCTTTTATGCCGGCAGCGGCCGGCGCGGGAATCTCTCCGTTGCAGGGCGTCAAATAGATTTTATATTGGGTGTTTTTACTGCGTTTTCTGTGCTCGTGATACACGTGGACCGCAAATGTTTGTAGCCGTGTTTGTGTCGGTACAGCTGCTGTTTTACGCTGAATATTCAACAGTTTAAATCAATAAAAAATCAAATTATATTCTAAATTTATGCAGACTGCCTCGGAGACACGTAGTAATATTTTTATTTACTGAAATGCCGAACGTTCAACACCGGAAGTGTTCCTTTCCGAAAAATGGAAGCCTTTTCTATCCTAAACAGTGGTTAAAACGGTGGGGTTTAGTCCGGCGCTAATCCGGCGAAGTAATTAGACTCTGTTGTTGAAATGCGGCCGCGTAGGTGCGCACAGCGGCAGCGTTGTGCCGGCGGGCGCGTAATCAGGCGCTAATCAGGACGGATTCAACGGCCGGTCTCCTCGCGGGCAGGATCAGCCAGGAAAAAGTGTGTTACGAGGATTTTCGATCGCGCTCGCCTATCAATTCTATAAATGCCGGCTACTACGCGCTGTTTACGGTTTCCATAGAATACTCCACACACCGGCGCCGCTGTCGCGCGGCCTAACGTAAATCGATAAAACGCTAACCGGGAGGAAATCAGCGGCGTTGTAGCGCCAACACAGCGCCGATGCCGGCCGGAGATGGATGCCGAATTAGCGAGCATATAGCCGGCACGGCGCCAGGCCAGTCGCTGTTGTATATATACACACGATGCTGCTGCCCTGATGGGCTGTTGTTACTTGTTCCGCCGCGGACTAGACAAACGTCTGCACTGATCTCACGACGTACTTTCCATGTACGAGCGCGGCACCATTTTATTCTGTTGATGCCAATGGCCCGCTTCGGCTGTATACAGTAGAGAGAGAGCAGTTTCCTTGGCATTTTCATTTTGCTGCATGGCTATTTTCATTTTACGGTGTAGTAGTCGCGGCCGCAGTATGAACGGGGCGCATATATATGTGACCAGCTGAGTGAGTGAGTCGGTTATCGTGAAACATTTGTAGCAGACAGTCATCTGTCGATCGGGCTGTTCGTGTTCCAGCAGCTGCACCACATCCTCTCATCGTCTACACTCGGCTAACATTCAATTTCCCGTCGCCGACTGCAACACATTGCCTGGTATGTAGATCTCTGTAGGGCAAATCGGGATCTGTGCCATCGACGCCGGATAGAATAATGCTCCAGCATCCCGGCTATAATCGGCGATAATCTCTCCGTAATTATAATTATTCCCGTTGCGTGTAATAATCGTTGATTGCCTTGCAGGGTCTTCTTCGGAGCAAGACTTATTTACGAGTTACTGCAGCTGCAAGTTGCATATATTAATCTACATATACCGGCATCGCAAACAGGCCATTTCCTTGAATTTCGCGGTTAGAGAAAATGTCAGCCTCGGAGCATGCAGCGCAGCTGGCAGCCGTTGCTGAAAGTGACCGGCATTTCCAGCTGACAGCTGCCGGCCAGCCGTTCTCAATGGACGCTCAACGGTCAGCTGAGAGAGCCAGCAGCATCAGCGAGCAGAGTAGCGCTGCAGCAAATTCCAGCGTATTCAGCGCGGCGCATGCCGGCCTAGACAGCAGCCTGCATCACAGACGTGCCAGCGCCGATCTGCAGAATCAGATCAGCCTCAGCGCGCCGCCCAGCTTCGCTATCGTTAGCGCCATGTGCGCTTCTCCCTCTGCCGCATCCGTGTCTGCAGTGACAGCCAACAACCGGCTGACCGCAGCCGATCGCGATCGCCCGCTGCACCCACACAGCTTCCCGGAATGCTACCGTCTAAATGTTCATAACACGTTTGTGCCGGCTGACAATCATCAGGAAATTCTTCTAGCAGGTATCGTGCACACTGCATACATTCCATGCCATAAAAATATGAATACGTCTATATATCCGGCATTAGTTTCTTGACAGTTCTACGTATAGTAAAATTTTTCTGACTTTAATAGTCTGTTTACTGCAGAAAATCAGACATTTTCCCCCGTTTTGCCTATAGTATCTATTTTAACTGATTAATTAACGGCATTGCTGATTGCAGAGCATCAGTCTAATACGGATACGCATTACGGCAAAAAGAAACCGGCAGGTAAAACACAGCCGGCAGATGTGCTGAATTGCAGCCAAGTGAAGACGGTCAACAGCGCCGCCGCCGCTAATAACGCTAACGACGACGACACCGGGAAGGCAACAACCGCGGACGCATTGGTTACCGGCAAGTGCAGCAGCAGCAGCGCTGCCGTCGCGGTTAAAGAACGTGGAAATTCTGTTGCTGTTGGAGTTAAGAGGTAAATGCCCCGTAAACACAGTACACACTACGCGCGGTAATTGTACTCACTACTGCTACTACGCGGCCGCCGACGTCAGCCGTCTGCACTTCCAGTAGAATTCACTTCCTTTGCAACCCGAAACCTTAACAGTCTGCTTCTACTCTGATTATTGGTATTGTCGGCTTTTCAATACGCCAGCGCCACAGCACACCGGCACGGAAGCGTATTATTCGGTGCTTCGATTTGTGTCGGCGTAAAATAGTGTTGTGAAACCGGCACGGCCGGTCAGCTGAGCTTGTACCGGCGCAGTGCAGCCTGCGTTTTTAGCGTAGGACGCGACACGCCTATAAACATCCGCGTACTATACACACATCGACTGTATGTACTGTACTGTACTTGCTGCATATTATCATGCACACGTACAGTACGGTATATAACCGTACATCACTAACTAGAACATTTATAGGCATAGCCTTGTAAACGCTGCAGACGATACGAATACAGCAGTATTTCCGCCGATTACTCTACGTTACAAGAACGCATGAGCACGGTTAATACAGACTATAGAGTGTAGCGAGGGTGAGTAGGGCGAGCAAGTTCTTCCGGTCGCCATGACAACGTTCGCTGGCATCGCGCAGCAGAGCAATGGCTGACCGGAGCAAGAAAAAAGCAGACCCCTGGCAAGACAGCAGACACTATGAGACAATCAGGCAAAGTACCTTCAACCAGACCGATCATTTTCCGGCTCCCATCTTGGCCGACAGCTGCTGTCGGGAGCGTTGTCAAGTTCGAGTCGCGCGACCGCGAAGGTTAAAAGCCTCAATCTTTAGTGACTCTTCGCCTTTACTTGACTGTGCAAAATTTTGATTTGTCTTTAAGTATCTTTTTGCTGAAGCGGTACTCGTACGCATCGTTCGGTATACGAGCTTATCATACTCTTTTATTCAGTATTTAAAATATCCGCGGCTGCGGGTGCATACTGATTTAATCATTAACGAAAAAAAAATGTAAAATAATGTAGATCAAAGTTGGAAGCAAATTCTGACGTCAGTGGAAAAGATATTAGTACTGGCTTAATTAATACCAATTATATCCGAACATAGTAATTAAATAATAATTTTAAGGGATGAAATTTCGAAAAGATATTATTATCGCGGCACCGTTGCATCATCCATGGCATCAAGGCGGTCAGTGCATAAATTTGTCTGGCATGCGCTGCCGTCTATGGCGGTACCAAGTACAATTAGGTCAGGCTGCAGGCTACCGCACAGAGGAATGGCAAAAAAATGTGGGTAAAGTAGATAATCGTTAAAAAAAATATTGCGCGTGCGCTTCTGTATTAAGTACTAGCACTGTCATCACTGCTATGCACTCATCCCGGAAACGATTCGAAAACTTAAATGGGAATTCGATGCGTAAGTAAATTAATAAACGGATAATTAATCTCAATAAAATTATGGCTCACACAAAAATAACTGACATGTTCTGTTACAACAGTAAAACGTTTTTGAAGCCTGCATGCCGGTTATTAATAACTTGAATAAACCTATTTTAAATAATATATTTTAGTAAAAGCTAATTTAGTAATAAGTCTTTTTTTAGCCAGTCATAATTTCCAAATTCCGGCTGTTATTATGATCTTGAATTAGGACATAAAACACTTTTGGCTGGGCTGATCGTCGTAGCTGACAATCAGCCAGCTGTTCTGCACTCGTACTCGTACTGCACCAAATCAGCGAGTTTACCAGTTCACCATTTAAATCCACGTACAGTACAAAATGCGCGGCAAAAGTTAAGCGTGGTATTAATGGTAAGTGGAAGGCTAACGAGTAGAGAGACGTGTCGTACAAGTGTGTCAGACAGTGCAGGACGTACGAAGTTTAAGCGGGACGGCCGCAACCGCGCCACCGCGATGCGTCAACAACATGAGAGCATGATAGAGCAGAGTGCACAGTGCATTCACCGATTCACATATTTCGCATATCACTGGGCTGCTGCGCTGCAACAACGGCAAGCAGCTGACTAAAGGCTCGGCAACCATTCACACTGTTCACAATCTGTACGCTAGTGAGTAGCCCGTCATTCAGGCACAGCTGCTCGGCTTGGATTGCGCGCGCGTCTATCGGACGATTTTCTGTCTGAACGGTTGTACTTGCGCGCAGAGAGTTGCACACACACACACTGCGCTGTCTGCTGCCTGTGTCTGTGTGAAGAGATTTGATCGGAGCTTTATAGACGTTGCAGTCGTTGCTCGTTAAGATTTATTCACAGTTCATCTGGCCGCGCGGTCGCTACACGTCAGGAGTATCCTGTCCTCCGCTGATTTTCGTTTATTAGTCGAAATTTGGTCCCCTAGTTTTCTGACCGTAACGTACGCTATCAGGAGGCCATGAACAGCTGCCTGAATAGTGTTGCTAGTAATTTGAAGGGTTTTCACGCCATTGAGTCTGTTGAGGAGAAATATTTACCGTTAGACGATTCCCGCTGTGCCGTTGCAAGTACCTCACGGTAAGTTGAGTCAGCTGGGAAGCCAGACAGAATACTTACAACTTACCTGGTTCGTCGATCATTTTGGAGATCGTATTTTCTTAAACCAGGTCACAAGGTCCTCTCGTGTCCTGTTTTATTATTTTCGTCATTATTATTTATCGGAATGCTTATTATTATCAATAATTTAATATTCCTATTCAAACTGCAGCAGCTAAAACTTCGTTTATTAACGGGGATAATTTACCAGGCTACTGGAAAATATTTTTAATAAATTATAAATATTCAAAATAACGATGCAGTTCTCTGTCCTGTTCGTTCGAATTTCTTATTTCTGTATCGTTTTATTTTGGGAATTTAATTGATTATTGAATATTATTCGCTTCGAAAATGAGGTAATTAAATATGGTTAAAATTTGAACCTGATTTCATACTGTCAATAAACAACTGGAAAAATAAAAATACTTTCTAAATCTTTTTCCGCGGTAATTTTCCGCCATTTTGATTTCCTAAATACATATCGCGTTTTGTGGTTATCTGATGATTCTCACCGTCTGCGTATGTTATTGTTTAGTAAATTTTTTCTGATTTTATTTGGCATTGACCGATTGACGTGTTGGAAAAGTTGGGGCAGTGTGTATGTGTACAAATGTGCAATCTGCTGCGAGCGATGTGTGGGACTGGTATTTATTTGATGGCAGATGGTGTGAACTGGCTGACGCGAGTGTGAGTCAGACCGGCCATGCACAGTGCATGCCCTCATCAGCAGTTTACGCGTACGAGCTAATCGTCAGCTGCCGGCTGCGATATTCAGACGCGTATCAACACGTACGAACATGTTTAAAGCCGTACGGTGCACTGCGGCCTACAAATCCGCCGTCAGCGCACCCGGGCCGTTATCGATGTGAACCATCATGAGTTGGAAAATAGGTCAGGGCCGCAGCGATGCTGGTGGAAATTGTTCAGCTCGCGAGCTGTGTGTTTTTTTCGGCCGGAGCAGACGCGAGTAATGCCGCGGCAGACTGTGTGCCGGCGTAGTTGACGATTTTGCATCCTGTGCTTCGCCGAATTTAATCGTTATTACACCCGTCGCGGCGTACTACGCCAGCTAATTTTCGTGTTGAAACGCGAGAGACTGGCCGTTGTCGCGGCGCCGTTCGCGCCCAGACACGCATGCCTGGCAGTGCAGTGTCGCGTTGAGTGCCGATTATTCCTCCATTTCTTTTTTGAATTCCTACGTTGAGGACCGTTTTGTAGGTGTTGTTTCACGATAGGACTTTACATTCGTTCCGAATATTTTTTTTAGAGGGAGGGGCCTGTTTTGACTTCGTTATTTTCGATATTGTGCCTCTTTTTGTGAACTGTGGCTTTGGCTGATGTTTGGTGTTTGGTTTGGTGCAGGAATAAGCGTCCGACGCCGTCCCTGGACGAATCGATTGCAAGCAAGACGGACATGATGAACTGCGCGGCGTCCTCCGCGTCGTCGGCCTCGGCGTCGCCCGGACCCAGTCTGCCGGTGCCGGAGCAGGACAAGCGTATGCGCCGCGAGATCGCCAACAGCAACGAGCGCCGACGCATGCAGTGCATCAACAACGGCTTCGTCAGTCTCCAGAACATCCTCCCCAAGAACTACATGAAACGCGGCGAGAAGATGAGCAAGGTATGAGTAATCGACGTCATCGAACAGCTGTTCCAGTCAGCTGTTTATTTTTACACAAATTATTACTCATTGAATTACAGTATGATAGTATTTTTTTATTTTCGGTAATTCGGTTTTTGACTACGGTTGTTATTTGTTGCAGGCGGCCATCCTGCAGAGCACGGTGGACTACATCACCAAGCTGGTGACGGACAATCAGAAGCTGCAGAGCAAGAACGACGTCCTGGCGCAGAAACTGAACAGCGCCCGTCTCGACAGCGGCGGAGGTGAGTTATAATTAATTCCAATTGACTACAATGTAAACTAAATTACGTTCTAATAATTTCATTATAAATTGCATTTTAAATCGAGCGACTGGATTAATTGGTGATTTTGTTTGCAGAATCGAACGACGAAGGCATCTCGGTGTCGGAGGACCGCTGCGTCAGCACCACGGAGGCCTCCAGCACCGCCGGCGGCACGGCGCTGCAGTGGCGCGCCAAATGGGAGCAGGAGCACTATCTGTGCACGCAGGCCTACGAGGACATTCGCCGCTTGCTGGCGCAGATGGAGTACTGCCCGGCCGGCTGCGCCAAGCACATTCCCACCGCCCAGCACCAGCCACAACAGCCGCCGAATATGGTGCAGCTGCGCCACGACACCGCCGCCGCGACCGCCCCCGGGGCCGGCGATCTGCAGCTGCCCAGTCTGCCGGTGGCCGTGCCGGTGGAGGACTATCTGATGGCCGTCAAGAACGTCACGGTGCCGCTGGCCATGCCGCTCCTCGTCACCGCCAACGAGATGGACAAGATGGCCGCGTCGCGCGTCATCAAGGTGGACACGTACTCGCAGTTCCCGGAGCCGCCGGCGCCCGGGAGTCCCGGGGCGGCGGTGGCCACGGAGGGGGTCAAGCGCCGGGTGGAGTCGCGGCGCAAGAGCAGTCTGCGCTGTCCCTGCGGATCCTCCACGTGCAACGTCCTGGTATGTACTCAGGTAGGCGTGAAGCTGCCGTAAACTTCAGTTAAGTAAACATTAATTATAATACTAATAATGATTAGTAAGTAATTAGTAATGATTGGTAATTTTTTATTTAATTAATATTTTCTTTCATTTTTGTTAATTTTGTTAGTAATTTATTTGAATACGCGGATTAGTTGAAAAATATCTAAGAACAGCAGAAATAATTAAAAATTTCAACGTTGTCACGCGAAAGTCTCTTCGACTTACCATTAATAATGATTTGTATTTATTTTGTTTTTTCTTTTATTTGTCTTCGTTGATTTGTATTACGATTTTAATCCTTTACAACAGTTAAAATGGTAAAAATTCTAACGTGGTGTTGTTGATTGGCAGGCGGAACGGGACGCTATGGGACGGCGGCAGAACCTGACGGGCTTCGACCTGCTGTTCGAGGCCATCACCTACTCGGAGCTGAACGCGCAGTGGGACTGCGGCCGCAGCGACTCGGGCTGCAGCGACGAGACGGTGCGCTCCGCCGAGCCGCCCAAGAAGCGCGCGCGCCACACCAAGAACAGCGAGCACCGCGCCTCCTAAACACACGCGGCCGCTCCCTTCCTGTGCAGCGGACGAACGTACCTACTTATCCTGGCAATTTGAGCGCGGGAACCGGAGGGATAATCCTGCAGCGACGCGGAGAACGCGGCGCCATTTGCTCAGCTTGTACTATATGCTCCTTGGTTCTTCTCTCTCTTTCCCGCGCTTTTCTCTTCATATCCATTCATTAATCATGCCGAAGACGGCCAGCGTCCGCCCTGGCAGTTTCGTGGGCCGCGCGCTATGCCAAAGATGAATCTCCTGCTGCTGCTTCCTTCCTGTTTTTCCCGCGCGGACGATCGGCGGTGTTTTCGACGTGTGTTTTTGCAGCCCAGCATGAAGCAACGTTGTCAGTGCGGCGAGGTTTTTTCTATTATTTATTGGATGCCTCTAATTTATTCTTTTTTTGTACCGAATTTTTTTGGCCGGCTGTTTTCAGTCGGGCGCGCGCAATCCAGAGAATTGGCGCGCATTTTGCACGTTTCCTTACACAATATGTTGAGCATGCGATAGCGATGTTGCGATGTTTGGTGTTTGTTTGTGAGTGGGTACGAGTTTAGCGTTTGCGGCTGTTTTTGGACGATGTTTTCTTGAATTTGCACTTTGCTAGGGCAGCGTGGTTTTGTTTTCTAATTCCTGTGCGGTGTCTGCAGCTGGCGGCGTTGTCGTTCAAGTGCGCATAATAAATTCTCTTGTTTCTTTTTCTAACGGGAATTATTCTGTTGGTTGCCGGCGTAAATTAACTACAGGGGTGCTACGCCAAGTTCGGGCAGTTGCGTAAAATAAATTAAAAATATTCCCGTACGCCATTTTGTTTTCGTTTTTTCACTTTTCTAGTGTAACTTTTTCTTGCGAATCTAACGATGTCTAATTTTTAATCATTCGACTAGACAGTAAGGGGCCAGGCGGAATATACATAAGAGGCGGGGGTGAAGGTAGTTTTTCGGGGGCTTATAACTGGACCGATTCAAAATGTCCCAACAAATATTCTTGCTCGAGCCATTTTAAAAACTATTGAGTAACGCAGAAGGTGTCGTTCAAGGGTCGGCAATGGGGACTTGTGCCATCAGTGCTCGAGGTGACCTCGGAACAAGATGCATTTCCCATAGACTTGTATGTTAAAAACTACCTACAGGGGAATGCGGTTGCCTAGAGCACCGATCCCATTAGGGAACATTTTATTGTTTAAACTGAAGGTAGGGAAGGACCCTTAGAAAATACAGCTCACACCTCACAGTTCTCAATGTCCACCAATTTTTAAATTTTTGTTGAAGGAACATGATTATTTCGTTCTAAGCAGTGCGATTTTTGCACAAAAAATGAAATTAGAAATTCGGCTCGCATTCCTTGTACATCAGCTTTTTGCATAGAAACAAAATTACCTAAGGTGGTCCAGGATAAGAACTATCTTGCAAGAATTAATTAAAAATATTAGACTTAACTGGTAGAAGCAGAGGAATTTTTGTAACTGCCCGAACTTGGCGTAGCACCCCTGTAATTGCAGTTCTATCACGAAAAATTAAGCGCTATTTGAAAATGCATTCTGCCAGTTCAGTAACGAATACGAGTTGTGATTTTTTGACAACCGGAAAGGCTATTTCCGTTTGGTTGCGTGCTTATCTTCTGACCGGATGTCGTGGCTGAAAAAAAAACAACATTTAAGAAAAACTACGGTACATTTCAGAAAAAAAAAACCACACAGATATTAGGAAGATGAAATTGCGGTGTAAAGGAAACGACGCGGTACATGGTACCAGATTCGTATGCATGCACGAAAACTGACGTTTGCGCACTCCCAAACACTTTTTGCTTTGTTTCATTACATTCTGAAGCCATATGATTTGTACACATAGGCGTGAAAACCGTTTGTGCGTGCTACATCCGGTTCGGGAGTTATGGCTGGAAGAAAATTACAAAAAGTTTAAACGCATTCAGGTGTACCAAAAGTCTCAATATGGGCCGATCTACTCGTACTTTAAATTTTACTCGTACATGTAGACGTACGCATGCATGAAGATCGTTTTTTCACCGAACCACGGTTTTGGCATTTTGACTACATGTATAACTCCCGAACCGGATGTTGCGCGCACAAACGGTTTTCACGCCTATGTACCGAATTTTTTGAATAGGAACAGTATAGGAACAGTATAGGAATCTTCTGGTACAGTATAGGAATCTTCTGGCTCTAGAATGTTATAAAAAGGGCAAAACAACTGTTTGGGTGTGCGCAAAAGCTACAGTTTTCATGTATGTATACTGTTTTCAGATTTGCATGGTATGATGTACCGCGTCACTTCCCTTAAGGAAGCGGAAGTTGCTCCAACTGCAAATCCGGCTGGATCAGCCGTCCACACACAACTTCTTCCCGGAATGATGCGAATTCGGACGCCGGTTACACGATGGCGCCGCGCACACTGTCTGCCAAGAAAGCGATACATTACTTAAAATTAACCGTTGGCTAATCTTTTTGCCGGTCGGGAAAGCAAGTTGCGCAGTACATGGAGATCCGGCAATTTCTGCGCGTCATTAGCTGTGGGATACTTCGAGTATACAGTTATACAGTACCTATTCATATATTATCCACGATTCCACCGACAGAAATTCGGCGTTACTTGTGTATACAGCGAATTAAAGCTACAATCGGCTTGACCTTTACCGACAGTACTGTTGCAGCGTACGCGACTGACCCAGACGACCGCAGCGCAGACCCCGAGCAGCTATAGTCGACGAATTCTCCTGGGGCCAGCCCACCGCGGTCGTCTGGGTTAGTCTGCGGACGACCGTTGCGACAGCTTTTTTAACTGGGAGATGGAAGCGTTCAACACGAACGCATAAGCACGTCCGGTAGGCAGCTGGAACCGCTGTCGCTGTTTCACCGCACTGACAATGGCCGCGCCGCTTTAGTTAATGGACCGCGCCGCGCTTCCCCTTCTTACGTGAGTCCGCGTGCAGTGCGCATTACGTACGTTGGTTCAGGTACTTCCCATATCAGCGATTCGTCCATCGATGGATGTAGTACCTTCGCGCGGAAGCGAGGATTGTGGCCGGATAGTGGATGATCTCCAACGTTTAGGTGTCTACGGTACATGATTAAGTGTCACATGGTTCTCCGCCCTTCCCGTGGATATCCTGGTGCCGGATACGCGCGACGGGGTTAGTTCGCGGATCGATGTGGCCGCCTCGATCGATCGCCCGGGTAGCACAATTACCGGTAGGCGCTAATTAGACAACGGTATGGCTACCGGTGGCATTCACCAGTTTAATTAACTATGTCGCTGAGCGGCTATACCGTGGTCACGTGGTGCAGGACCATGTCGTTGGGCGTGCATTTACCCGCGAGATCGACTGGATCGCAGCACAATGACCCCGCAGACCGGTCGTGCGTGCTCGTGATAAGAAAGTACAGGCACACACTGTAAACGACGCGGTTGCTTTGATGCCGCCCAAAGGTCACCACTCCTGTTTTACGAACCGCCTTCATTTATCACTGCGCATACAGCTTCGTCGTATGTGCTACAGACAGGTAAAACTATAGAAGTACTCGTACTGCACGAGATTTGCATACACAAGTGACCTTTGTATAATTTTATGGGCGGCTGTTCACACCGGGAATTATTATTTATTAAGTGACAAACAAACTTTGAAAATCGGTTAATAATCTGGTGTTGAACTGTGCGATTGGAAAACGTCTAGTCTGTACTTGCGCGACGCCTTAATTTGTAAGAGAAATGGTTTTCTAAGAGTGAAGCGTCCAGCTTCCGGTCGCGGTGATCATCGCCGCGCAAGTAGCGGCGTTCAGTGGTAAATGGTCCACTAAAAAACCGTGGCAGAAGCGGGTGTGAAGCCGTGTATATCGCTTGAAACACATTGGAGATAGAAACTTCGATTTTGACGTGCATAGTTAAGGGAAGGGACCCAGAACATGGTGATGGTACCAAATTCGTGTACATGTACGAAACCTCTCCTTTCGCGCACTCCCACACCTTCATGCTTTGCTTTATAGCGTTCTGCAGCCAGATAATTTGTGTATTGTAACTGGCGTAAAAGCCGCTTGTACGCGCACCATCTGGTTCGGGAGTTATGGCTGTAAGAAAATTTCAAAAAGTTTGAATGCCTGCAGGTGTACGTACCAAAAGGATGGAACGATTTCATTATGGAACGATCTTCCTTAAATTTTGCGTATAAATACAGTGACTAATACACATATGTACGGAGATTATCATTACACGGATTCGAGCAGCACTACTTTTTCCAAATTCTAAAATAATTTTTTAAAATTGAAAATTTACTATTATTGAAAATTGAATTCGAAAATTTGATATGATAAACTGGTGGAACTGTGGTTCCATGTAAAAACGAATCTTCCCGTTTATGTACAAAATGTCAAGCAGATCGGTCCATGATGACACTTTTGGTACACCTGAATCATGAATGCACCTAAACCTTTTTGGAATTTCCTTACAGTCATAACTCCCGAACCGGGTGTTGCGCATAAAAACGGTTTTCACGCCAGTGTGTACAAATCACCTGGCTACAGAATGTCATAAAGCAAAGCAAAAAGGCGTTTAGGAATGCCCGAAAGCGAAATTGTTCATTCATGACGTACATGAACTTGGTACCATGTACCGAGCCACTTCCCTTAAGGGAAGTGTGCCGGTATATTGCATCAGTTCGTATACGTGTACGAAAACCTTCGCTTTCGCGCACTCACACTTTTTGGCGCTGCTTTATGACATTCTATAGGCAAATGATTCCCGTCAGACATTTCGATAACTGTTATCTTAGTGCCCGAATGCCCGTTCTCTCAACAAATATATTTATTTTGTATTATGTAAAAGCGAGCTTCGTTCAGCAAACACGATCAAATGAAGAACATGAATATATGTATTTGTTAACTTATTCTCGTATGCGTTTGGGCAGAGTCTGCAATCTGGCCAAAAATGCGTAATCGGTGGCGGTGCGGTTAAAGCAAGAGTTTCACAGGCCTAGGGCCGCCAGCCGCCCCCTTCCAGGCGGTAGTCAGCACCGCCAGAACCGCCTCCATCCGGCGACAACAAATCACCCCCAACTGGACAGTGGAGAAGAAGTATTTCGTATTGTTCCTGAATAAGCCCTATTGATGCCCCAACCGGAAACGGGAATTTTGTCGCACGCCCAAATCTATATTGTGTATTTCTGACCAGCTCGTAGCGAGCCTCGAGATTTTGCCAGACCGCTCCAAAAACTGCGATGGCTGATGATCGGTGTTGATCGGTGTTGATGATGGCTGATGATCGGTGTTATGGTGTGTCTGCTCGATCGCTTTCGTTTCCGCTGCAAGGTGGCTGTGCTGTTACCTCGCTGCCTGTTTATATTGGCAGCGCAGCAGGGCGCCGAGTGCGTTGCAAATTGTAATGGGGGATCGGATTGGCGCGATGTGGAGCTGATGCTAAAATTAGCAGCATCGCTATCGGATGCAGGTAGGCGTCAAGATCACTTGGCGCTCTGGCATGAATCATGGCGCCTGCAACGCCGATCACATCGCTCTCATGCACACACACCGCACACAGCCGATCCCAGTCATCGTGCGGAACGGTAAGCGTCAACCAGCCTCATCATCGGCCGCGGCGATCGCTGATTGGCACGGGCCAGGTGAGTCACCGCCTCCTTCAGGCAGCCGCTACAGATACATAGCTGCAGCTAGGTGCACCAATACGCTATCGCTCCGCGCCATCTCGCTCTTAATTAAACCTAAACAAGAAACACCAGCACCGCGGATATCCGAAAGCCAGAGCATTTTTATGGCTTTACTCTAGGTACAGACTACAGAGTAGAGTGCCTTCCTTCTCTGCTCTTGCTCATTAAACGCATTCATTAGTCATTAGCTGCAGCGCGTATAAACGGAATTAATTTTAGCCCGTGATCATCGCGATGACGCGTTCACCTTGCATACCGCGGTGGTGTGTAGTGCAGATCGGCATGCCAGTTAACGCGGTGAGGATGCCTGTTCCAGATCGGTGATGGAGATAAGCAGGCTCAATCAAAACTCCTGCGCCCGGCGCTGCAGAATATAGATAACCTGCCATCTGACCGTAGAAAGCACAAGCACATATCGCACGTACTGCAAAGTAGTCAACATGTTGTACACGGTGCAGGTTGAACGTGCTGACACCAATCGCGACATTCCAGCATATCGCTCTTCCTTCCCGCGCCATAATAGCAAACCTATACTAGTACCTCTAGTGGAAATGTGGTGCCGGTCATGTAAATGTAAATGATCAACACATGTGTGCTGCACTCGGTCGCGCATGACTAAGCCGCTTTTGTGGGGCCATCAAGAGAACAAGCGCTCACCTTGTCAATTATGGACTTTTAACTTGCACAGTTGGTGTTGATGTGAGTGTGGGCCACCATTATGGGCTGCAGCGGTTGACTCACTGGTGAGCGCTTTTTGTGGAATGCGCGTAAGTACCGAGTGTTGCGATCGATCGGCAACGGCAGCAACCTTTATTTATCATGATCTGAACCGTACCTTTACGTGCCTGTGTAGCTTTGTATATGCAGGAGAAAAACGGAAATTGCTTCACCAGTCCTCAACACAACAACCTCACCTACATTGCCACACGCGCACAACTTTCAAGGTAATGGACGTGAGTAAGACGGCTGCCTGTTATTTTACGCATGTTAGCGCAGTTCGACTACCTATTTTCCCGCTGTCTTACAAGACTGTATTCCACTTTCCGTACCAAACGTAGGTTGCCGTAAAAACAGTGTTTTTTTCGTAGCTAATGCTGTTTCCAGTAACTAGGTATTCTTCGCAATTCCCGCTCCAAATAAGTCACCGGAAACACACGCACACGTCAGACCCTGCCCAACTATATGGCTTCTCGCCTTTTCCTCATAGCTTTTGGGAAACTCACAAAACGATTATGCCGCATCCGAGAGGATCATCCCATCACCGGGTAAGAAATTACTTATACCGCTTCAAAACCTGTTGCTTTTTAATCCTACAAATATTCTGATTATAAATTTTACCTGTAAAGGAGCAGACAGAGTATTTAGAGAAAGGATGTATAGTATTTCTACTATTAATTATCAGGTAGTAAAGTATCCTTATACGGCGTTAGATTTGATGCAGAAACAAAAACATTTTAAACATGTTGTGCTTGTACAGGAGTGTATATGGCTTTAGTGGTAGTGCCCTGTACATGGCACATTATTGATTATGATAGAATCCGCTCATGGCATATTATGAGATCCCGATCACATATGCGCCAAATGCAGCTGTGCTTGTCACCTGTTTTCGACAGGTGACGGGTGACGTACGAAATTATTAATACCAGTAGGTGCGTAATATCCAGACATCCATCGACGCCGGTACACCCGATGAATAATTATACTAACGAATAGAGATAAATGTATTCTACTGGAAATTTTACCAGCTATGTACCGGTAATTTAATTACAGAGCGCTTACACTCGTTTACGTTCATTTATTTTAATAACTGCACTTGTTTCATCTCCTTGATTTCTATCTGTCTAAAAAACACACAGTAAAAAATATGTAATAGTGAATTTTAATATATTTTTGTTGTTCACTGTTTTTAATAAACTGAATTTGAATTACGATTAGTAAGCGCAGCTACGTATGTGCCTACGAGTACCTGTGCGAGGTAGAAAAACAGTTGGCTAAGATAAAGATTAATTAGGTGATGTTTGATGCGATAAGGGGTTAAACTGGCTGACCGTTGTCCCGCCGAGAAACCTGAATGTACTCGTAACCTAATCACATAGTACCACCTGACTGTTTCACCGTATGGAACTATTAGCAGCAATCGAACGATAATCAACAGCGGGCGATCGACTTTATTCACCGGTATGCAGTTCGATATTGTTTACTTACTGTACATTTATATTTTCGTTTACTGAGATGGCAAAACTCTCGTTACGACATCGCAGATAAAAAAGCCCTGGATACATTTTTATATATTCATTTAAAATTTCAACTTCGCCTCGGTGAAATAGTTAGCGTGGATTGATGCACCAGCCTGGACCGGTCAACCGTAGCTGTAGTCATTGCATTAATAGTGTTCAGTATCGCTTCCCCAACCCGTGACCTCGCGCCGTGGCGCGTCGGCCACATAATTGCCACGGGGTCCCAGACCTCGCGGTGCACGCGCTGGACTCGTTCCCTTCAGGATTGCGGTTGCCCCGACGGGTATCCTTCACCGGGAAAACGCCGTCGAGACAGTTTACGGTGACGAGAATAAAGCCTGCGCTCGAGAGTGTCAAACCGGCCGGCTGGCCTGACCGCCCGCACCACGTATCGCGGTGGGCGGTGGCAACATCTGTAGGTACCTTGTATACACAACGTTAGCCGGAACGGTTGGTGCGCTATCGATCGATGGGTGAAAGTGAAAATGCGCAGCGCAACACATGTACACCGCCGCTACCCATCGTGTTATTTGTTCCCGTTCGCGCGGCTCTCATGATTCCCATACGTGGCCATGCCAATCTATTGATTAGGCATCCTCCCTACGTGCAATCGTTCGTTAGACCATCGTTTGCACTAACGCCGGCGCCAGATTTTATTTCCTTCTGCATGTGACTCTACGCCTGTTTCTTGCCTGCCGAGTCATCGTGGTACCTTGTGCAGAAAACAACCCTACCCACGTTGACATTAATAAGCCGAAAGGTTTATACGGACCCGCATCGCGCATCACCTTGTCAGCAGCGCCATTCGTGCAGCGTGACATACGGCATGTGTGTCTGACGTCAGTGGCAATTGCATTTGTATCAATCTGATCTGGTTTCCGGTCGATATCCTGTGCCGTTAATGCTGTACGGCAGCCTCGCCGTTTAGCGCTAGCACTATAATTATGCCCGCCCCTTCGGCGGCGCACGGGCTCGTGCGGATACGGCGCCCGCCCTGCGGAGTGGGTCAACGGGATGTCGTGTAAATGCCCTCACCTACGCACGTAAGCACCTACGCTGCAAAACGTAGCATTTTCTTTAAAACTGAACCTATAAGGTTACCGGCAAAATCAGGGCGTGGTTAGATGGGAACTGCTGCCGGCAGACGTGTACTGCCGGCAGCAGTCTGTACACTCTCATTTATGTTTATGCTCATAATTATGAAGGCGTCTATAACGCGCTGGTAATATCGATTGGCTGTGACTTATCGGCTGCAGGAGAGCGATACTGCGCTGCTTGTTAAAAGTACAAGACAGTTACTGCGATCCTCCGCTACTTGTAGAGAGATATTTGCAGCATGTATCTATCTGTATCTTCGGCGGAAAGTAGGGCGCTCAGCGCTCCCCCGCAACAAAGGAGCCGGTCGATACACGTTGGCAGTATCTTTCATAACGACGTCGTCCTCCCTGCGCATTTCTTTGATGGATTGCCGGGAAATTACTCGATCGCATCTGACATAATCAGGCTGATATCGGGACGCGGGAAACACGCACAAACACAATTTCCAGCACAGTATTCCCGCAAAACGTTAGCCGTTAGGTAACCTTTTACGCCGAAAGCGCGTTTTTACGCATTTTCAGTGACGAAAGAACGGGTAGAAAGGTGAATCAAGCATTGTGTCATTTTGGAATTCTGAGTAATGCAAAATACACCAGATTACTCAAAATGGTGGCGCTCGGTCTATACAAGACGCGCTCGCCTCGGTTCGCTCGCTCACTGGCATCCGGTGGAAATATGCGGCGCGATGCCTGCGTCTACGTATAGGCAAACGGCAAAGGCAATCCCTCCCCGTTGACCTGTATCAACATGCGCCCACGACAGATACAGCACACGCAGTAGCATCCACATTTAATTCCTATCAGCACTCCTGTCCGGTTAGCAATCGATAGCATTAGCTGCAGCGCGCTCCCTCATGGGCTGCCGATGCTGCGGATGCAGATGCTGATCACGGATGCTGCGATGAGTGTAGTGAAGCGCACTAACAGCGCGGTCACGTTGCGTACGGCTACGGTATAACCCAATCCGGCCGGTATGAGAGAGTGCGGCACAGTTTAAACGAGCCAGCGGATCAGGCGGATGCAGGATGCCAGTGATATCGGCATCGCACGTACGACGATTGTACAGTTGTACTACGGTCCGTAGCCATCGTAATAAACACTATCACAGGAGCATCATTCCCATACTGTACATATGCGACGAGGCTGTACGGGGCCAAGTATGATTAATAATGGTGTCATGCGCAGCGCCCGTACTGGCCGGTCGACAGGCAGAGCGCTACGTGTCCTCCGCGGTGCACGTAAACCTTAACGACAGCCGCGCCGGTTGGCCTGACTCAGGGCAAGGAGCGCGCTACGTCTGCCGCACGGATCGGGTAGGAATCCAATCGCATCACTCTCTGCCTGCATCACAGGCTGCAGCATCCTTTGCGTTCTTTGTGCTTTTATTCCGGCGACCACGCGCACACGTCGACTGCTGGCTCAGCGCGGAGAATGTGATGCACAGCTAGGTCGCAAATGCGAATACCAGCAGCCTCCATTTGATGAGTTGATCACAGACGTAACAAGGCCGCGGCAGGCCAGGCAATGCGCTGTACACTACATTTACATGCCGTAAACCTTCGCCAGCATTTCTTTAAAGCAGCCGTGTTTACTATGGTATTACAGTTCGACAGTTAATGTTGACTGCTGATTAGCTCAGGTAACCAGTCAGTCACCTGTACCTGGTTGACAGGGTCGTTAGTTGGTTTAGATTGGCGACATTAGCGTATGGTTGACAAGCGGACTGAATTTCGCAGGTAGACCGCACACCTGAGGGAGCAATAAGCGTTTCGCGGCAATACACGATGGACTCGCCACCGACCAGTGCGCTTTCTGCAGCGGAGAAGTGCCCAGTGGACGATGTACCTGGGCGGACGGATACCAACGACGAAGGAGAAGGTGCGGCCGCGGATGAGCGACTTTACGACAGCCGGAGCGGCCGTGCAGCTACACCGGGCGACAGCGATACTTTACCGATAGCGACAGGTGAGTCGACAGGTATATAATGCGCGGCGTTGTCGCCGTATAATCGATTGCCGATTGTGAGCCAATCAAATCATGCCGTCACCTAGAGTAGTACGTGTATACCGGTTTTACCGCTTACCGGTGCGGTGATTGCATTGACGCACACAGTGAGGTGTACACTGTACACTGAATTGTGCGCCTCATAGGATTCTTGACAAATTATCCCGCCTTTGCCGGCACAATATTATTTTTTCATTAAAGCGGCGAGATGGTTGATTAGATGATTTCGATCATTAGAGATACGGTAATCACTAGCCATGTAATTAGTTAATGCCTCATCTGACTGTCCAAACTCCAACTTGAAAAGTAGCCAGAATCCTGGGCGCGTTGAATCTATGGAAACAGAATCTTGATTCGTGTGGTGGCCAACTTGTGTGCATTCGATTCCTGTACACCGTGTTGTGCCTGTACGTAATTATATTCCCACTAGTTTACGCCAGAGGTCTTGCTGCCACTGATTACCGTATTAATCAAAACGTATCTGTGCCCGTAAGTCATATCGTCGTTTTCTTTTGCCAGCGACATGCTTATTCGTCATCCGTATTGAATCGAATCACTCCTGTTAGCGCTATCATATCTTCCTTTATTTGTATTTACCGGTTAGATAATAGATACTACTTTCTACGAGAATATTTATAAAGGTGGCAGGTAAAAGTTAAAGTTTACATGTTGTACGTATATAAAATTATTTGCCATAATTATACATGTATCACCTGGATACGGTTATTCTGCCAGTTTTGCGCTACAGATTACAACATTCGGTTTCTTTCGTCTCAGCGGCCAGCACCCATTTTGTCTGACAATCCTAGAATATTACGTGCCTATAGGTCCTTTTACGGCAGGGACGTAGGTGCGACGCGCAGTACCGTAAAATGGCACTTGCTAATGGATGTTCAGCCGCAAGTATTAATTTTGCTGTTTGCGTCAACCTGGGCGCACATCGTCGGTCGTCCTCGCATAAGATTGGCCTATACCGGATGCCGCGGAAAAAGCCTGCAGGCCACGGATGGTGCTGGAAGTTAGGTGTGCGCCTGCGTTGTATACTTGTAGTGGAGGTGTACATTACGCGTCGTCCTGGTTGGTTGAGTCAGCTGCATCCAGCAGAGTGAACGACGCTACAACAACGTCGAAGCGGCGGCGCTGCGCGGCGCGGCTGATTGCCAATCCTGGCTGGCCCGTGTACAGTATGTAAATGTAATCATTCCTCTTCCGCCAGCGAAACCTCGCAACTCACGCCACCACTACAGAACACACGGCAACGGTGCAGACAAATCTCCACTCGGCTGATTGTCAGCGCAAACGAGGCCAGCGCCGCAGTAAGCCGTGTTGTTACAGCACCACCACTGGCACTGCATCTGAATGGAGAATATGAGCGGGGATGCGGGGATGACAGTGCTGGCCGCGGCGTATAATAATTATTGTTATACTTGTACTTGTATCGATCGATTATCTGGGCCATTTTACTATTTTCACTTTGCATAGTGGCTCAGGTCAAATCAGCTCACAGCGGAGAGAGAGAGAGAGAGAGACGCGTCACGCGGGTAGACGCAGCGCAGTGTATAAAGTAATTAATACGGCCGAGTGACTGAGCAGACAGAGCCATAGAGACAGAGACGAGAGAGAAGCTGGCAGAAGCAGTGAAACAGACGAGAGAGAGGCGTGGCTTGACTGGCCTGGTCAGCGGATATATCCGCAGCGCTGCAGTGAGATGGCCTGCATACAGTCGCATAGGTGCACGATCGATCTTGCAGACAGCGAGGCAAGGTTGAACTGGCCAGTGCATTTCATTGCGGTATGCGGTCAACAACTGGCACACACTCCACACATGCGCAACGCCGACAGATGGGCGATTTATATCGGGATCACGGCGTCGGGACAGGGCTGCATCCCAGTGCTCAGTGTGTAGGTGAGAAATTAAAGGGAGAGCACGGGACGGGCATTAATGGCACTCGCTGGCTGTCACTCGCACACATATGGGCACAGGCCGAGCGGGGATAGGAGCAGAAGGGACGGGAATAGGCATGCATAAGCACACGTGCGCTGCACACAGCTCCCGGCACTTGTGCGTTCAGGATAGCCAGACAATCTGCGATTCGTTTGCTCAACAACAAGCCCCACTTGTAGGACAGCATCAGATAGATAATTATCATGGCCAAATCATCCAGTTTGTCCTGGACTTTTATCGGTTAATGCGCGTATTTGTCTCCCGCACTAGCTAAGTAGACTTGGCTTCTTTTTCTCATGAGCTCCACAATTTCGCTGGTTATGTTGTTCGATACAACGGACCTGTAGTTCGATGAGTCAGGATTACGTGTTTCTCTGAGATCGTTGGATGTTGTTGTTGATAATCAGAGTAAGTGTTGTCATGTTGTTACGCTCCGGGATCTATGTATTTGGTTTAATTGCCACCACTTCCTTCTTTCTTCCCATTTGGCATAACTGCTGTGTAAATTTATTTTGGTAGCAGCCGTCTCGGTCGCAGCAGCACATTACTTGTACACGGTTCTTTAGAATTTACACCAAAATAATTTTTTTATCAGTGTTCTGAAACGAGCGTACGTAAAACCGGTCGCCAGTCAGTTGCATGTACTCTGCATGTAAAGTTGTACATTGTACCTGCAACTGGAAGTCATGACTCGTCACCGTACTAAAAATTTATTATTAAACAGCAAAATTACATTTTTTTGCTGTTTATTGTGTACAAGTATCGGTACTTCTGCGCATATTATATGCAGAGTACACCGACGTATTCTGTACATACCTGTTTATATATACTTCTAACGATAAGTTCTATATGTGACTTGTCCGGCATTCGACAAATCGACAACAATAAACAATTTTATTTAGTCAGTGCTGTTGTTATTTTAATGATCTGGTATTACTCGTATAAATTTTTTGTAAAAGGTACAGCCGGTAACGAAAACTATCAGAATTGTATGTAAATTACTGTCGTTCTGTGCAGTATGAAATTTGTTATCGGATACGTAAAAGTATAAATGTAGAAATTAGTGGAAATATTGTTGACTGACCTAAGGGATTAAAACCGGACAGCAGTTGGTGGGAGAAACTGCACTTGGCGCTTGCATAATTACGGCAGTAGCCGACAGGATAGGATAGCAGCCTGCGCTGTTTATCGTGACTGTGCGCTAATAGCGACGCCGCATTGCAGAGGAGAAGGGCGAGCAGGCAGCTGACCGCCCGCACAGCCTAACACCATCCAGCCATCTGTCCCCAGGTGCGCCAGGTCAGCCCCTCCCACCGGGCGGCGACGCTGTGGAGCGGGCGCTGCCGGCCATGCCGTCGCCCGACGTCGCCTCCGACCCGCCGGAAACGATGCCCGAGCGGTATACGGCAGTACGCGAGAGCAGTGTGGACGCTGCCGATATGCCTACCGCCCGGGAAACCGTCGTGGAAGGGGATACGGAGCAGTTGGCCAACGCACCGGCGTCACCCAGCACTTCCAGTACAGCTAAAGGTCACGACGAAGACGCGCATAGAGAAGCGGCCGTGAATTCCATACAGGTTGGTAACTGCTGCTCGCTTCCGGTTAGACTTGAAATTCAAACAGTTCTCAGACGTTTTTGAAATCAAATCAAATTTCACGTTTAAGAAATGGATCATTTTGCAGAAGTTCGCTGATGCCGGGATGGGCGGTGATGTATCCAACGAGTAAGTGTTGATTTTGACGCCGATCTATACTGACCGGAAGTTTATCGGTGACCTTTGAAATGGGCACAGATTGCGGCGGTTCCAGTGCGAGTACGCCAACTGCGGGAAGAAGTTCAAGTTCAAGCACCACCTGAAGGAGCACACGCGCATCCACACCGGCGAGAAGCCGTACAAGTGCAAGAGCTGCGGCAAGGAGTTCTCGCACTCCGGCTCCTACAGCTCCCACATGTCCAGCAAGAAGTGCATGCTCTCGGGAACCGTGTCCACCGGCAGCGGCCTCCTCCCGCTGCGCAACCCGGACGAGCCGCCGTCTTCCTCCTCCGGCGGCGCCTCCAGCTCCTCCCGCGGCCGCCGCGGCCCCGCTGACCGCGCGACGGGCACCACCGGCGACCCGGCCACCGCCGGCGGCGTCTTCCTGCACCAGAACGCGCCCACCATGGTCCCGGTGATGTCTGGCGGGGCCGGGCACTTCCCCGGCCTCAACCTCAGCATCGCCGACAACTTCCTCTCCCGCATCTACCCGCAGCACTTCACCTTCCCGGGGTTCTTCGTCCCACCGCCCAACACCACCGGCGCCCCGCCCACCTCCAACGGTCCCACCTTCATGTCGCAGCTGGGGCTCAACGGGCCGCCGGCGCTGCCGATGTACGCCGGGGTGATGCCCCCGCAGCTGTGGTCCACCTCCGCGTCGCAGTTCCCACACCTCCCGCACTCGGGCGGCGTTCTCACCACCACCAGCGTCCTCAACGAGCGCAACCGCGGACCCGGGAAGGAGGAGCCGAAGGACACGGACGAGCCGAAGGATACCCGGCGAGGGTCCGCGCGCGCACCCTCGTCGACCTTTGACACCACGCCGGTGGCCGCGCATCAACCGGCGCGCAGTAAACCCGACCGGCAGCCGATGCGCTACCCGACCTCCGCGCACACGTTCCACCGGGCGCGTTCCACCGGCAACCGCCCGCGGGAGTCCAGCCCGGGACTGGCGTTCCCCGCGGCGTACCGGCACTCCCCGGACGCCGGGGCGTACGACAGCGAGCCGGAGGAGGAGCAGCGCGCGGCGAATTCCCGGCACCGCTCGGAGTCGGTGGAGGACGAGGAGTACATGGACAGCACGGACGGCAACGGAGACAGCGGCGACGTGGACCGGCGCGGCGGGGACGCCGACGCGCACCACGGACTGGGCGGCGGCAACACCGCCACACTGCGGGTGCGCTCATTAATCTCCGACAGCAACTTCCGGCTGCTCAAGTCCTTCTACGATCTCAACCCGTGGCCGAAGAAACCCGATCTCGCCAGTCTGGCCGATCGCTGCCGGTTGAAGCGGCGCGTCGTGCAGGTAACGCACACCAACCAACAACTGACGAGAAAAGCGCTGTCTTATTCCCGCTTGTGCTTATCCTTGTAGGTGTGGTTTCAGAACATGCGCGCCCGCAATCGCAAACTCGGACGCCAGCTGATGGGCGGGCACCGACCGGCCGCCGGCAGCATGGCACCCGCCACGTCGCACGAAGCGGTGACCTTCAGCGGCGCCCTTCCGGTGCGCTTTCCCGCCCGGTTGATGGCCTCCGCGGGGGAGCCGGTCCGGAAGCCCGCCGCCCTCAACGGCGACGACGACTCCCCGCTGGATCTATCGATGAAACTGTCCACCGGCGGTGGCCACCACGACACCACCAACGGACGCCGCGCCGCCCACCCAGAGGACGACGACGAAGCGGGCGATGGTATGGACGACGGGCAGGCGCTGAATCTCAGCATCAAACCGCTCCCGTTGCGCCACGACGCCCCCTCCATGCTGAACCTCCGGGAGTGCCTGGCCATGGCGCGCCCGGGGCGTCTTCGCGGCCGGGGACGGACCACCGGGCGCCCCTCGTGGGCGGGGCGGAAGGGCGCCCTCCTGCGCTCCCCCACGATGGCCCTCCCCGAGTACGACAACTGCGACCTGCGAGCGGCCAGCGCCGAGTCCGACAACGAAGCCCCGCCGCCGCGGGACGTGGAGGCGGAGCGCGGGATGCTGCACGGGATGGTGGAGCACAGCTCGACGTCCTCGGAGTCCCCGTCCTCCGTGCACTCCTCAACGGGCTCCTACTACGGGGGCGGCGCGCATCCCCTGGAAGCGGAGGCGGACGCTCCGGTCAACGCGACGGGCGCCAGTCGCCGGAAGGCCTTCCCCAGCCGGCTGCAGGTGCGCAGTGCTTACCGCCCCCATCCCTACCGCCCGGAAGCGGCCGGCAGTCCGCCGACTGGGGGGCGGGGCGGCTCCTTCTGGAAAGTCGGGCGCCCCGAGAAAAACCAGCACGGTGCCGGGGAGGCCGGGAACGGCGGGGGACTGTCTGCGGCGTTGAACAGCCAGCTGAACGCCGTGGGCATGTATTCCTGCGACCAGTGCCGGAAGATGTTCAGCAAGCAGAGCTCACTGGCGCGCCATAAATACGAGCATTCCGGTGAGTCTTTTTAATACATTTCCAAGATTACTGTACGTATAACCCTGATTCGTAACGACAGGTCAGCGGCCGCACAAATGCGAATTCTGTCATAAATCCTTCAAGCACAAACACCACCTGACGGAGCACAAACGCCTGCACACCGGCGAGAAGCCCTTCCAGTGCAAGAAGTGCCTGAAGCGCTTCAGCCACTCGGGCTCCTACAGGTAAGCCAACACCGCCGTACTTCCGGTCATTCTTTTATAGTGCTAAGTGACCCTTTCTCCTCCGCAGCCAGCACATGTCGCACCGCTACAAATACTGCCAGCCCTACGCCGCCGAAGCGGCGCACGGCGCCCACGCCCTGCAGCGCCACCTGGGCGGGGGGGCCGGCGAGGAGCGGCCGGGCGACGGTGAGGAGGAGGAGCTGGAGGGGATGATGGACGCCGACGCCCTGGAAGCCGAGGGCGATGGCGACGGCGACGGCGAGCCGGAGGAGATGGAGAGCGACGAGGCCGAGCGCGGCGGCTTCCTCACGCAGCAGCGGCCGCACGGCATGCGGCCGGCGCCGGCCGAGCAGCCGGCGGGCGTAGCGACATGAACCATCCGGAAGATACTACCCAGCGTTATATATTATCCGTGGTGATTGGTGATTTTTGCTTGTCGGTGCCCAGTATTTTTCTGTTGTGTGCAGTCCATGCTATTCTACCGAAGCTATCTAGTCCGCTTGGAGCGATCCGTCAGCGGCCGCTCGAAGTCGTTGTTTATCGCAACTTATTAGCCAATCCCGCGTCACACACCACCAACGTGGCCATATATATTCGCACCAATATTGACCAGACAGTGTCCGGCATCCATGACCTTTCCATAACTGACCGCGCTGGTGAAGCGTTCATATCATCGGTGCTTACTGCTAATTTGTACGCGTTTGCGCTGCAACCGGTCATGTCAACGTGTGCCAGCGTTAGCGTTGGATACCGGCATCGATTCGCGCGCCTCTTAACTCACACCACGATCTCTCTCTTCTTGCTACTCTAATTCCGCCAACGGAAAACGGCTGACTCATCGACACCCGCACATTGACCGGTCCGTTGCGGAATCAGGACGTTCTTGTTTGTGCCGAAGTGCGGCCCGCTGTTGACCGCACTTCCTTCTGTATATTCAGCCGCTGACCTTTCCCGCATTGGGATTACGGATGGGAAACGGGGAGGCAGCGACCAGTGTGAACATGTGCAGCAATCTCTGGCGAGCAATACTCTTGTCGATGATGTTCCTATATAATATAGTACTCTGAATTAGATTTTTTTGTTTTCTTATAGTATGCAGCTTTGCCCAAGTGTTCTCGTTAGTTGGTTTCTCTCTGGTGGCCCTCCGCGTCGGCCCGGCCTGTCTGTCATTGCGTCTGTTTCCCGTGTTTTGGTTTGGTTCGGTGACCGGCGCGGAAAGACACCGACGCGATCTGAGCCGAGCTTCCGGTTGAATTCTGATTTGTACTCGATTTGCCGAATTGTACATGTGCCGTTGTTCGTGCAGCTTTACTTTGTTGAGCGCAACATTGTTAATAAATTAACGTGCAAATTGTCAAGAAGAAAAACCGATAATCGATTCTGGCGTAAGATTTATTAAATTAACAGCAATCCCAGCCTGACTGTTAGCAGAACACAGAAGACAACCGTAGATTAAAAACAAACGTTCAGCGGCGACGAGAAAGCACGCCGCTGCAGCTGGCAACACAAGAACGCGCCTAATCTACAGTAATCAATATTCTACAGATTTCCTGAATATTCTACAGATTAAATTGGATATCCAACGCTCAACATGGGGCGCATTAATAATAAACATTAAAGGGCTTTAGACGATTTATTTACTAGAAACTAATACAGAAACACACAACATTCTAATAAGTCCAACCCGATCCGCGACCGTATCACAAAACCATCCCATTCCCTGCTCGCAAATCGCCATAAGGGCGGCGGCGCCCGGGGGCGGTGGGCATGCCGCCGTGCCAGTTTAGGCGATGTAGTTGTACAGATCGCGGTTCTCCTCGTCGCGCTTCATGTACTCCTTCTGGATGAGGATCTCGATGCACTTCTAACCAACCACCACAAACAGCTCCAATTAATATCGAGCATTATTTTTTCAACTGATTAATAAATCGCTATTCAGTTACCAACTGATTATCCACCAACTTGATAATAATTAAAAGTAAAGAGCTGATTAACTGGAAGGATTAACTGGGTACCTTGATGAGGGGCACGGTGGGCTTGAAGCGGGAGGCCAGCATGGCTAGGGTCTCGCCGATGAGCTGCTGGTGCTTGAGGCTCTTGCGCATCTTCATGATGCGCACCACGCTGGCCTGGATCAGCAGCTTGCGGTCCTCCTCGATGACGCGCGCCGTGTTCTCCTCCTCCTGCTTCTGCTCCGCGCGGATCGGCATGTTCAGGTTGATCTTCAGCTTCTTACTACACACCAATCATTTTCCTAATAAATCTGCTATTGGTATGATTAATCAGTTGTTTGGCTATTTTATTGGGATTATTTTCTGGTGCGAGTGTACCTCTTGAAGCCGAGATTGAGGCGCAGCACGGTGCCGGGCTCCAGATCCTTCTCCTCGACCTCGGCGCCCGCCCCCGCCCCGGCGGCCTCCCCGAGCCCCGGCTCCTCCGAGACGCTGGCCCGCGGCGCCGTGGGACTGTCGTCGGTGGTTAGGATGCGGCTCTTGACCAGCGCGACGAGGATCTGCGCCAGCAGCGCCGCCTCGCAGTTGACCAGCTGCGCCATCTGTCCCAGGGAGCAGGCGTCCGTGTCGTTGAAGAGCAGCAGCACGGCGGCCTGGTAGGTGGACACCTGCAGGATGTAGCGGTTGCGGAAGCAGTTGGCGCTCAGCTCGCACCGCGACATGTTGTACAGCCACGTCAGCTTGCGGCCGCTGTACTTCCCGTGGTAGAACTCCCGGAACACCGTCACCGGCCGCTCCAGCTGCAAGCACAACCGCAATAATAATCACTCATGATTAACGATCATTTCACTGATTTATTCTTCATGTTCTCATTCAATAATTTAAATTTAACACCTTAATTAAATTTAACACTAACTTATCAGTTCAGTTAATGGTTATTTATGATGAGAAAAATATTTTCGATGCAAATCAAACCGGTTTAAACCATAATTTTTCATCAGTGGCGTTAACGCAGTCCAGCAACTCTTACTTACTTTATGTGCCACAATTCTACGATAATTTCTTGACACAATACTGGCGTAAGTTTGTAGTACTGCAACGTAACAGTCGGGCGATGACCATGCGATGATAACCAGCTAACACTGCTTCCAAACGTGACACAAAAACAACTGCGCAACGATCTTCAACCAAACTAGACTTTGTCTACTTTATCATAATTAACAATGAATTAACCAAATATTTACCAGCATGAGAGCCGAAAATATATTAAAAAAATGTTTAATTACTGGCGAATAGAATAATTGCTGATGGGTTAGTGTACTGTACCTCGGTGGGGAGGGTGAGGGCGGTGCGCTCGCTGAAGGGCCAGGCGCCGGTGCTGAGGATCTGCACGGTGAACTCCAGGTCCTTGCTGGACAGGAGGGGCGGGGCCTCCGTCCCGCTGCCGGTCGCGGTCCCGGCGGGGGTGTGGCGCTCCAGGTACTGCTTGAACTGCTCGTTGAGGTCCTTGCTCAGACCCATGTCCTGGAACATGCGCTGCAGCTTGGACGTGTACTCGAACCCGCACACCGCCTGTTCGACACAAACAGCGCCGTTTATCTATGATGCGGAGGGACACACCGCAAGTAAAGGGGCCACCTTCAGCTTGGATATCATGGCGGCCTCGAAGTCGTCGCTGGCCGAGAGGCCCGTGACCAGCCGTTTGGCCAGCATCTTGCCGTAGAACTTCTGGAACACGTCCTTCTCGTCCACGTACCGGAAGATGATCATCACGCGGTTCAGCGACTCGTCCAGCTCCGCATCGTCCGGATTCTTCTGACTGCAAAGGCACGAAATAAATTCATTCAGAAAACATCAGATAATTCTAATGAATTATGCAGGTAAAAGTCATTAATAATTTCATCCGCATGTTAGACAATCCGTAAGCGCGAGCGCTGCGCACCTCTTCTTCAGTAGCGCATCACAGTAGCGGGCCAACAACTCCGGCACTTTGGAGGAACTCTTGGCGGCGGCGGTCACCTCGTTATTGTTCACCAGTGTGCTGAAAGCCTGCACACACACATTTCTTCGTTAAAATCTTTCTATAATTTGAAATTATTATAATATCCCATTTTTTTGGAGTATTTCTAATGTTTTCTTGGTGACTTCCGTCTAACTGTTCAATCGTAAATTTTTAACTGTTTTCTGGTTAATTAATCCTGTATAATGTTGGTATTTTCCAGTATTTATTACTGTAAAGGTTTTTGGTTAATTTTGGGAAATTTTTGAGACTTATGTTCAGGTAATTTTCTGTGATAAAGGCTGATGATCGTACGTAGCGATGCGGACCCGAGAGAGCACGTACCCGGTCCATGGCAATGGAGAAGCCGAGGTCGCTCTTGAAGGCGCCCTGGATGAGCTTGAGACTGCGGTAGTACACGTCCAAGATGGTCAGGACGAAGGCGCGCGGATCGCCGACCAGCTGGTCGACGTTGCGCGCCACGGCGGCGGCGCCGTGGCTCTTGATGTGCGTCTCCACCAGCCGGTGCAGCTCCTCCACCAGGCTCGGCACGCGGCTGATCAGGCTGTACATGGCCGCCAACTCTACACCGCACGACACCGCAAAATTACATTAATTATTATTAATTCGTTAAAAAAATATATCTTGATGATAATACATATATTATCGAAAATTTAAATAAAAAGCATTTCTTTATTAATTAAAATAAATTTTACTAATGATTGATTGATTAGAACTACTCAATACTCAATAATTATTTAAGTAAAACTGAATGGATGGATTTTTAATTAGAAATAAATGGATTATAATTACTGGACCGATCAACCGATTAAATGGGTATTTTGCAATGGAAGCACTAACATACCGTCAATCTTGTCCTGCGTTAGGAGCACGATGAACTCGGCGTGGAAGGCCTCGGTGTGGCGGATGATGAGCACGTCCTCCAGCACCTTCTTCAGCGCCGGCGCCGTCGACTCGTGCAGATAATTCACCGAGCGCTCCTCCTCCTCGATCAGTCGACTCTGCACCTGCACACCAAACAATCATCATTCAAAAACGAATGAAAAATCATATAATAAAACTTCACGCCATCCGCCAAACCGAAACAGAACTGATACCTTCTTGATGTAGTCGTTGACGGAGTTGTTGCGGAGGAAGGTGGCGCTCTCCTGGACGTAGTAGGCCGCCGTCTCCTCCAGGAAGTGCCCCTCGAAGGCCGAACTGTACACCTCCAGCCCGGCCCGCCGCGCCTCCTTCTCGCCCTTGCGGTTGGCCTCCTCCTGCGCGTCCGACGTCACGCCCAGCTCCACTGCCACACGCAGCACGTGATCAACAATCATTCATCCGGAAATTAAGCGCAATTGCATTCATTTACCGAAATTATCGATGATTTCCCGCAGTAACTGGCTGTTAATTGACTCGCCGTTGCGATCGGCGTTGATCAGATCCAGCACCGCGCGCGACAACTACAGCAGATGAACAGAATTAATAAACAACACAATAAATAACAAATAAAATGACAATTACCAGATAAACAATAAATAACTTATTAAACTGATAAATAAATGAATAAAGCTCGGTATGATAAAATATATTCGAAAAATAAAACATAACACACATATAAATGATAAATAAATTATGGAAAATTTCCATGAAAAAACACTTATACTGCAAAGAAATGCTGTCGCTTACCTGCTGTTCAATGGGCGTGAAGACATACTCCCTCCACTGCACCAGACACATCTGCACACGCAGCCAACATAGAGTTAAGTGTTCCGATTGCAGAGTGAATACAAACGGCAATAAATTCCCATACCCCGTAAATGGTGTAGACGTCCTTGTTGCGGCCCTCGTCGTTCTCGCGCTTGACCCAGTGCCGGTTGAGGTAGTCGCAGATGCCGTTGCACACCTGGCTGGAGAAGCGGAAGTCCTTCCATTTGGCGCAGTACACGCCCAGCAGGCTGTCGCCGTGGTATCCCTTGATTTGCTGCACAAACCACAAACAATTTCAACACAATAATTCAATTTAAAAATACAAAAAAAATAAATTAACTTGTAGGAAAAATAAATAAAAAATACTCACTTTATTCTGCATGAAAGCGTACGGTCGACAGCGTCGTATAAGCACGAAAGAGCACAAACAAACACATAAATAAACACTAGGAGATTTTCTTAAAAATAAATACACAGGCTTTAAATTAGATAAATTAAAAATACTTTACTTGGAAATGTTACTGACCGTCAGCACGCCGTGGAGGTGGTCGACGATGTAGTCGCGCAGTTTCTTGTACAGCTCCATGCCCACCCAGGAGGCCTGCGTGGAGGGCGACGCGGAGGAGTTGGCCTTGGGCTTCTTGGTGGGGGCGCGGGAGTTCAAGGAGACGGTGGGATGGGCGGGACCGGGGCCGGCCGAGGCGTCGTTCTCGTCGGTGGCCGCCGGGATGGAGATGCAGTAGCCGTACACGTGTCTGCAACACACACAGTCACATCAACACAGTCCGAGATAAAAGGGGCGCCGGGGGGCACTGACGAGTAGTGGAGCATGTAGGCGGCGCGGTTCATGCCCTTGAGGTGGAAGACGGAGAGCAGGCCGGGCTTTAATCCCTTCCACAGCTCCTCCAGCGTCACTTTGCGGTTCATCCCCGACGCGTGGCGGACGGGGGGACCACCGGGGCCACCGCCCGTCCCGGGGGACCCCGACCAGCCGTCGGCCACGGCGCCGTTGAGGGAGCCGGCGCCGTGCGGCTGCAGGCGCTGTCCGCTCATTTCTGACCAAGAGACCAAGGGAATAGAACTTGCGGGCAAGGAGGGGGACGCAATCCCTGCGACCTTTTCTTCCCACAGAACCTGCAAAGTGTAAGCACGTTTATCACTCGTTTAAGCACGTACACTCCTTAAAGCTGATTTTACTATCAAGTAATTTGTTTAGTTTCATTCTCATTTTTACAGTTTAACCACAGCTTTTCAAACGCTCATTTAAGATGATTGTATCAACATTCTATGGCGATTTTTTTGTTTATTTTGGATTTAAACACACACACTCATTTTTAAAAAGAACACTTAATTTTCTCTTGATTTGCAGGTTTCAGTTATTTAATTTAAAATTCAGTTATTAAAAGTTAAAACACTCATCCAGTCATCCCAATTGGTTTTAATATGACTCTTTTAAATTTTAATCTGGATTTCCATTAATTTTAGTCTGGTAAGAGCTATTCCACTGCAGAACATCAACAGCCATCAGGAACTCTTTGACAAAGTCACAAATATCCATAAAGTATACGTACTGAAGAAGAAACCATAAAACGATAGTCAGAATCTTCTTACACAATTGATCAGAATCCTGTCTGCAGCTTACGCTCTTACGGTCTCACCTCAGGAATCCAGTCACAAGGCAGCTTTCCACTCGATCAACACGTCCCACACACTGCCATCGCAACGAGATTACACGGCCGATTCAGCAAGAATCAAATGACAGTACAGCACACCTCACAGAACTCCAAGACTGCAATTAACCGTGGCACTGGCGATTCCTTATCGCAGTCTGCAAGACAGCAAGAGAAAGACCTGTAGGTAGGGTAGACAGACTGACTGCTGGAGAATGGAGATCGATCGATGCAGATTGTTATGATTAGCACTTTATCAGCAGCATGTGCTGTGCAGCGCACCCAACCACGCATCCACTCAGAAAAGCTACCACACGAACCAGCATAATCACCATTTCAGCCATCCATCCCGGGGAGAAGCAATTAGGATGACTAATGAGGGGAAAGGAGGAGAGGAGCACCGCGAGGCTCAACGCATGCTCCAACACGATCTGCAAGCAAGCCAACTTCTCACACTGACGGACTGCTTCCAATCAGTTCCCCAACAGTATCCCCAAAGAATCTCGTACCAATGGTTACTGAAATCTACTGACTTAAATAAATGTACTTGCTAATTTTCGAATTGTAGGATAAGATTGTAAAAACCAAGCAGCTGACAGCAGCGACATGACTCTCGCACTTTTGCGTGAAAACTTTCATGCAGGAAAAAAGCTGTGAACAGCATACGTGCTTTATCGTAACGGGCATCGACCTCTGCGCGTGCGCGCTACGCTCTGCGCAGCTCCCATACGTCGGACGTACGCTTTGCGTGCCTGCGCAGCGTATTAGAGCTTCCGGTGCGTGACGCCGTTGCCACCACCCGGTGTGGCAGTGAGATTCGCGTTTGATTTGGTGCAAAGGGAAAAATCCCATTGTTTACATAGAGAAATTGGATTTTTGAATTTTTTGTTGGGAATTACCGTACCGGAATCATATTTTGAAGCATAAAGTGGTATTTGATTCCCTCGACAACAATAAGAATTGGGCGACGGTCCGGCCGTTTAGGTGGAGTGCGCGTCCCGGCGCCTCAACACCGAGTACAACGCAATGTCATTCATCGATCACCGCCACCGCAGTCTTGTGTTCTAATTGCTCTGATTATAGTATAATTATGGAAAGCAGACAAGTCGGAAATGCATTCCTCGGGTACGTGCCAGTTCTGAGTTCGCTGTTAAGTGCTGAACGAAGTCGCAACGGATATGCGCGTCACTGCCAACAGTACGACGCAGCAGTCGCAGCTTTAGCCGTCCACTGCCAGGCCCCGGCATTAATACGAGGTAACATCTGCACATGTTACGGTACCGGTACCTGCCAGCCTGCCGCTTTGTAGAACGTCAACATTGTCCGCAGTGCCGCACCCCTCCAGCGTGACAGTGGCCCGCCACACTAGCCATGCAACACACAGCCCTACACGCGCCCCACCCGAATCCCCGATAGCTTCAAACTATATAGAGCCCGCCCGGCCAGCCTCTGAGCCAGTTTTTTCCCCAGAGTTACAGATCCATTTTGTCGGCTTCCCTTACCTGTGTATCAGGTTAAATGCTTCTAGTGGACGAGAGGCGGTCCACCTTGGACACCTGTTGTATCTCCTGATTGCTAATGTAATATGCTCTGCTTTGGTTCCTTAAATTCTTGGGCCTATCCAACTGTCAGCTCCAGGAATAGACCAAGTATAAAGCAGGTCGTCAGGGACAACCATTTCGAAAAAGGTCACGCCAGTGCAGCTTTTACATTAGGTTAAAATTCGATAACTACGCAAATAAGGATGCAATTATGTAAACTTGAAATGTGTAGATGAATGTTCTACTTTCTAGCGCTGCAGACTACAACCACCCCTTCAGACTTTTATTTAGCTGCGTTTTAGATTGTGTTTTATTTTGCATAATTTTTGGGCAAATGTAAAATTGAGCTGGTGACCTTTGCGGTGGAATTTCACCTGCCGGTGCACGCTTTAATGGCCGCTGCAGTGGAGCGGGCGGTCACTGCATTCTGATGTTGTCCTTTTCGACAGCGGAACAGATCAGAATGATCGAAGTTCTCAATATCACCGGCACTTTCAAAGCAACTTGAATTACGTATGTCGTATATTAAATATCCGGTCTTCGAAAGTAATTCGCAAATAATTCTCCGCTGTCAAGTACTGTTGTGCGCAGTACGGTATATGCTGAGCGGAATGTTATCAGTACCTTGCAGCGCAGAGAAAAATCCAGTTGAATTTATCTGGAGCTATTTTGGGGAGCAAATATTACTTCCACATGACCAAATGCGGCATCGATCGAGCCGCGTCGTACATACTGTATCTGTGCACGGAACTTACCTGCTTTTTCCTCTCTTTACCGGCACGGTGCAGCATCCACTCGACTTCCGGTGGCCACCGGCATCCTGCCTGCACAAATTATGTCAGATACGTACATTCGTTGGGCTGAATGTACCTGCGCTTTGCTGACCACGCTTCAGCCGCATGTAACCAAACACCGGCTATAATCATCGCCCAATGAACAAGCGGAAGCCGGGCTAATTATAGCAGCAAGCGGCTAACAGCGTCAATTAACGCGCGTAGTGTCCCTTTTCTACCTGACGATTAGCGCTTCGCCTTTTTTTTCCGCACGCCGCGTTATTGCCGTGGTCTAAGGATTTGTGCATCTTGCTGGGACACTTGTTCGCCTCGCCTCTCCCTAATTATCGGATTCCGTGGAATAAATAACTAACAACAATGTCGGACGAAGAAGGTGGATGGCTCGAGTAAGTGGCGATCGGCACCGTTGAACAACGGCACCGCATTATTAACTTCTTAAAATAATTAACTGTATAATTATCAATAACGAAATGAACCCATTCAAGCGCCAAACTTTTTTTTCAACTTTCGAACGGCATTGTACACACTGTAAAGTATAAGTGCATATGTACATGTTTTGCAAACAATACAATCTTCTTATAATATATTATATATGTTTATGTACGTATTATATAACGTAATTATTATGCATGTTTTATATGTACTGTATTTACATACATCAGATAATAAGCAGAATTAAAAGTAAAAGATGCAGTACATGTAAAAGAAATCTGAATACTGGAATTATTGGAATTGATACTGGTCATATAGATATTACCCAAACCGAAAGAGCGCTGTACTGTAAATGCAGTTAATTTTCTGTGCGACGATCGACTTGCATTAGCAGTCAGTTTGGATTAAAGCTAATTTTCCTTCATGCAGTTCCTGGTATACTGTATCTAAGTTGATGAGCTGTTTGTTTTTGCAGCGATACCGAAGACACCCAAGAGTAAGTGAAACTTCTTCGTGTATATGTACGATTCACCCGTAATGACTTTATTCTGTATACGTTTATAAAATGTACAATTGCATAACCAACCTGCATCGTCCCACGTGGAGTAGATCTTGGTCTAAACTGTAGCTTAACTGTTTTGCAGGAACAGGTTAGTCGCGCGTGCGCCGAGAAGTGCATCAGCAGCCTGGTGTATCTGTACATGCACCGGATGTGGATAAACTCACGTCGCGATCGGATTAGGTGGTTATGTAACGACGGTGTGACCTTTGCATTTACAGGGAAGAGTCTCGCGCCCGGCCCATCAAGTGAGTATTGTACACGTCTGTAGCTAAAGTTTCTTTAATTGTTATGAACAACTTGTTGCTGGCCTAAGGTCACATAGCATTTAACGCAGAGTACCGATACATGTACCGAATATTTATATGTATGTTAGCTACATCAAGTATAGATATATAACATAACAACATTGTTGCAATGGTGGACGTGAATATAATTTGTTGTTGGTATATAATATTGTTGCAATGGTGGACGTGAATATAATTTGTGGATAATAATTAAAAGTGCACGGTTTGTCGATCGGACAGGAAAGAGGAGCCGGAAGTGGTGAAGACGGAGGCGCAGCTGCTGATCGAGGCCAAGCAGAAGAAGGCCGAGGAGGAGGATGCCGAGCGGATCCGCGAGATTGAGGAGCAGCGGCGCATTCAGCGCGAGAAGGAGGACGAGGATCTGCGCAAGCTCAAGGAGAAACAGGCACGGCTTTATATAAACACAGCCAGGCGTTTTCTCCGATCCGCACAGTATCCTTATTTTGTTGGCTCGTTGAACAGGCAGCGCGCAAGAAGGAGCGCGAGCTGGAAGAGCAGAAACTAGAGGAGCAGAAGCGCAAGATGGAGGAGCAACGCCGACAGGAAGAGGTACGTGCGTAATTATAAAGGTCATCGCTTACGAAGGACCGTCATCGCGCATTATTGACATCGATCCTGGAAAGAAATTTTATCGCGCGGTATCGGTCGGTTGCAGGAAGCCCGCAAGCTGCAGAAGGAGGAGGAGAAGCGGCGCAAGCAGGAGGCCGAGGAGCGCAAGAAGGCGGCGCAGGAGGCCGCGCTCGTGGGTGGCCGCAACTTCGTCATCGAGAAGGCGCAGAGCGGCGAGAGCACCATGGACAAGGTACTGGGTTAAAATACAATTTTGATGTCTCCTTGACGTGATATAATGCCGGTTGTGGATGTATTTGACAGTTCATGAACATCTCCAAAGCCAAGACGGAGATGTCGCTGAACACCAGCGAACTGGCCTCACTGAAGGAGCGCACCATCAGCGACCGCGTCAAGCCGCTCTCCGTCGGCGACATGGACTACGCGGCGCTCAAGGCCAAGGCCGAGGAGCTCTGGAAGGCCATCGTCAACCTCGAGACCCTCAAGTACGACCTCGTCGAGCGCGCCAAACGCCAGGACTACGATGTACGTAGTCTTTACTTGATGACCTTTATTGGCTACAGCCTTTTGAAAGCGCGGATACACTACTTCATAGTTAAAATTTAAACATTAAAAATGCAACCAGAGTACATATATGGTATATAATTATAATTATGTATGTCTGCATATGCCTGCATACATGTATATCTGCATATATGTATATCTGTATATCTATATCTGCCTGCATGTACATCTGTACATCTGTATATCTATATATATCTGCATATAAATATGTTTATTTTATGTGCATATATCTATATATCCGCACATACATATGCATAATGTGCATATATAGATATATCCGCATATACATATAGTATGTACAATATATCTGCATGTACTCGTACATATGCATATCTGCCTTCTCACAGGTTAAAAGGTTACGTACTAAAAACATGTACGTACAGCATCAGCGTTTTTTTAACAACAGCAAGACTAAAAACGCTGCTTGGGATAAACAGTAGAACGCGCTCTCCAGTTAAACCCCGAACTTTGCGAGTATTATACTACGGTGACCTTTGGTTGGTTGTGCAGTTGAAGGAGCTGAACGAGCGGCAGCGCCAGATCAACTCGAAGAAGTACGCCGCCCAGGGCCTGGACCCGTCGGCGTGCGCCTCGCGCTACCCGCCGAAGGTGCAGCTGGTCAGCAAGTACGAGCGGCGCATCGACCGGCGCACGTTCGCCGAGAAGAAGTCCCTGTACGAGAACGAGCGCCGCGCCGACGGCGGCGCCACCGACCTCCACAAGCCGGCCGCCAAGAAGCGCGACGGCTGGGTCAAGGACAAGAAGGCCGCCAGCGGCGACGTCGACGAGGAGGAGGGCGAGGGCGAGGCCGTCGAGGCGCAGGAAGAGGAGGAGGAGTCACCCTGGTAGCTACGCCCCGCTCCCGCGTCATCCATTAACCGGGCAACTTTTTTTCTGTGGATTGCCGTCATCTTGTTGTATCATGAAAGCCGACAGTGTGCCATGACGCCTTTATCGCAGTGTCTTTTAACAAAGGTCACATAACTGTTATCTAATTACAATTTATTCAGACTGAAGACCTGCAATATGTACGATGGATGCAAACAACAATAAAACAAAGCGACGATTCCCTATGACGTCCCTACAGTCTCCACCTAATGCAGAATATTCTATCTGTAGTATTTTTGAATAAAACGTAGCAACCTTGATTTTAGCAAAAATCACAATTTAACCAGTCGCAACTACATTAATACATAATACGAAACATTACAGTAAAATGCAATCGGTGCTTGCACACTATGGTAAGCTGGTTAGCTCAGACTCGTGGCATGGTACACCGATCAGTCTAAAGACTGTACAGTCAACACACTCCGTCAATACACAGCCATCGTTTTTCGTGCTGGTCTGATGTCGACGGTGATATCATGATTATGAGTGCAGTTTATTGATTTATTGACTGCCACTGCCAGTCTCCTGGAGAAAACCGTCCAAGTCCTTCGCTAAATTTGTCATTTTATGAAAAGCGGCGAGATGGAGCGGAATCCGCGGCGCAGCCATTCCTCTGCGGACAGCCGCAGCGGCGCGGTTTCATCTTCAACGGGAGACGCAGGTACTGTGAGTAGAGCCAGCGCTGCCAAAGAGACGGCCGCTAAGAGCAGCCAGCTGGCAGCGTCCGCGAAAGAGCCGTCGGCCGAGTTGGCCGGCGAGGACATTTATCAAGCGGAAGGCATCATCGGCAAGCAGGTGCGCCGCGGCGGCCAGATCTTCTACCGCGTCAAGTGGCTGGGCTACCCCGTGTCGCAGTCGACGTGGGAGCCCCTGGAGAACATCGGGCACTGCTTCGAATTCATCGACGCCTATGAGCGCCGCACGGCCGCCGCGAAGCCCCGGCGCCGCCGTCGTCCGCGCGACGATGAGGAGGAATCCAGCAGCGAGGCGGAGGAGGACAGCGCCGAGGAGGTCCCCCGGCCGCGCTCGGCGGGACGCGCCCGGGGCTCCCGACGACCCCCGCCCCCGGCCCTCTCCCCGGGAATTCAGTCCCCAGAGCGGGAGGACACCTTCGGCGCCCCCGCCGCTCCCAAGACCCCCGCCAAACGCCCCCGCGTCCTCTCCTCGTCCTCCTCCGCGGAGGGATCCCCGCCGCCAAAGAGCTCCGCACCCCCGGCGGCGGAGCCGCGGGAGACCAATGGGGAAACCCCGGAAGCAACAAACAGCAGCGAAAGGGACACGTCCCCGTCGGCCAAGCGCCCCCTGAAGACGGAGCGCTCCGTCAGCCTGGGGCCGGAACGGGGGTGGCCCGCGGAAAACCCCAACAGCGAACGGGACGCTTCTCCACCGGCCAAGCGCACCGTGAAGGCGGAGCGTTCCGTCAGCGCCGCAAAGAGCGTGGGGACCCTCCCGGAACGGCTGCCGTGGCCGGAGATGGTCGCCGGGCCCAGCGGCAGCGGGAAGCCTCCCACTCCGACCCCGGAGCCGGCCCCGGTGGTGGCGGTGCGCGAGGTGTGCTGCGGCGCGGATCTGGACGATCACTTCGTCTACTGGCGGCCCTTTCCGTCCGCCGCCCCTCCCGAGGCCCCCGCCTCCTCGGAAAACGAGGTAAGTCCGCCCTCGCTCCCCTTTCCGGAACCCCCGGCCTAATTGTCCACCTCCCGACAGGCATCGCGCAGCAGCCGCCTGGACAGCCAGGCCGCCGACCTCCGGCAGTGGCAGTCGCGGGCGGTGGCCGTCGTCGGCATCCAGTTCGCCGCCGCCGGCGCCGGTCTGGAGCCGGCCGTCGACCGGGCCTTCGTCCACTTCCGGGCGGCGGCGGACGGCGTCCCTCCGGCCTCCGCCAAGGATTTCCTGCAGGCGTTTCCGCTGGCGCTGGTGCGGCAGTATCTGCCGGAGAAACTGCTCTTGTACTACCAGAGCTGCGCGTCTTTCTCGCCGCGACGTTCCCGTGAAGCCGGTGAATCCAGTCCGTTGTAGACACAGCATTCGTCATACAGTTATATATACGCGTTCTGTTGTTTTAATTTTGCATGGTGAGTAGAGCGGTGCTTTCGTTGTATACCGAGTGATACAGCTCGATTCCGAATTTCCGGTTTAAGAAAATCAACCAGTACGGTGTGGACAATTTTCTTGGCATGCTATTCATTTTTATAAGTTTAAGTTTTGCATTCTGTTCCTCTCGCTTTTCTTGTTGGTTACAAACTACAATAATACCGTGTCGAGTATTATTTATACATATATGTAATGTAGATTTTGTATGTATTTATTTATGATATTGGTTTGCGCTACGATTCTTTTGGCAAGCGGAGAAATTCAGCGCGGAATTTCTTCTTGGAATTGTTGCCAGTTTTATAGAGCTAGAAAAAGTTTTTGCAGGTTTATTACTTGGTTAGTGGTGATGATAGAATCAAAAATGCCGTCGTCAGTAGAATATTTTTGAGAATAAATGGACGAATGTTTTGTCAATAAAAAAGTAATAGCCGGTATCGCCCTGATGTATGTAATTGATAAATTTAATAGCCAAACTGCTGCGGACACGCGTGAATGTGATCACATTCGACGGAACGAAAAAGCACAAGCGCTCGAACAAACAAAAAACTTTACAAAAAGAAAATCAGCCATCGGGTTGCCAACACACTAACATTAAGCTCAATCTAGAAGATCCTCTGCGGAATATTATAAACTTTGCCGAAATGAATAAGAGCTCTGCAGCAGACTTTGACAGTTAGCGGCTGACTGACATTTAGCAGGAGGTGACAACTGAAAAGGGATAAATTACGATATGCAAGGCTTAACGGCGGCAGATTAAGGAAAACAAAACACACTATACTACTGACTGGAATCATAAGAAACAGATCAAGCAGACACGCACAAACGACGCCGACAGATTAATCAACGCTCCACTGGACGATCCTTCTTCCTCAGTCCACCTTGATGCTCCCGTACACCTTCCGCACGAACCAGTACGACGCTGCAAAATCCACAACGAAATATTTCAAATCTTACCTTAATAAACTAACGTTGACATCCATTTTTTATTTAAAAAAAATAACGAAAATAATTTTTTTATGATTATTTATTAACTGTTCAATCAATTGGAGTATGTACTTTTCAATTTTTGAAAGAGTTTCAAATATTTGTTAATATACCACCGTTCCGTGTCAAAGCCAAAAAATTAATAAAATTCATTTTAACACAGTTTCTTCTCAAAAATAATGTATTTCCAATATATGTTATTAGCTGAAATTTCCGCCAATTTGCTGTGCCATCCAATATATTAAAACACATAATTCGATAAGTGTTAAGTGTTACCAAAGAAACCCAATGATTTTAACGGCCACTGTACTACGAATTTCACCGTTTACTTAATTAATTAAGGGAATAACCGGTGAATAAATTCGGTTGAAATTGATTTGTCAAATAATGTTTTGCTGCACAACTGACCGAGAAAGCCGATGGTGCCGGTGAGGAGCCAGAGCAGAAAGACGATGATGAGGGTGTAGCCAAAGTAGACAAACCCGCTGGCCGCGCCCGTCATGTCCAGCTTGGTGGCGTAGTAGTGCACGCAGTAAATAGCCAGATATCCCGCCGTCATGCCGCTGGTTAAAAAGGAGCGCCACCACCAGCGGTAGTCCTCCGAGCACAGGTGGAAGTAGGCCAGCAGGATGGCCGTCTCCGAGCAGGTCACCAGCAGGATGAGGAACACCAGGAATAGAAACCCGAACATGTAGTACGTCTGGTCCGCCCTAAACACACCAATCCCTTATTCCTCCATTCACAACAGGAAGAAGGTTAAAATTCGGTGCTTACCAGATGCTGTTAAGGATGAAATACAGCTGGATGAAGATGCAGCCGAAGGGTAATATCCCGCCCATCAGGATGCCGGGCAGGGGGCGGGTGTAGCAGGTCTGGTCGGGGATTTGGCGCGGAATCTGTCATTAACACGATTCGTCATTACAATATCTGTGAAATGTCAGCATTGGCGCATTTTTGTACCTGGTTGACGCGGACGGGATTCTCCAAAGGCTGGATCAAAGCAGAACCGTTAGCTAAATTGTCGAGATTAAGAAGTGTGATGTACAGGACATACCCGGCGTTTAAATCCGAAGTAAGCTCCCAAGAAGGTCAGGGGAACGGACACGCCGAACCACAGGCCCAACAGGGCCAGCAGCGTCGTGAAGGGGACCGCCGCTGAGGAGCCTTCCGCCAGCAGGACGATGTTCAGGACGAAGAAGATGCCGAAGACAACCCTGCCATTATTTATTTTTTTCGTAATTATTTATTCTTATTTCCATCTCTTAAAACCTTAAAACAGAGAAGCTTTCCAAGGCTACCGACATTTTTTCAAATTTATTTCGTTTAATTTTCATTTAAAAACTGTGCTTAAATAATAGTGTTTATTGGGCAATAGCCGCCATAACAACAAAAGTGCTAGCGCGGGCACACTACTTTACAGTTAAAATTTAAAAATTAAAAAAAAACAACCAAAATCTCTATCCGCCCGCGGGTTAAAAGGCAACGTACTGAACACAGCAGTAGCATTTTGATTTCCCTTAATGACAGCCAAACTAAAACGTTGCTTCATAAAAGCATGTGCTTAAATTAATTTAAGCATCTGCAAATTCCTTTTTGAAAATTAATAAGTTTAAAAAACAATTTTTCAATTTATTTTAGAGGTACAGTTTTTCGCCATTATAAAGAAATTTCCTTGTTAGAGTTAAAAAAGTTTAAGAATGCGCAATTAACAATGGTGAAAAAAAACATTTATAATTTTTTTAGCCGCTTGGAACGGCTAATAAGTATTAAGTGCTCACCCGGGACAGAGGAGCGCGGTGAGGAGGACGTTGGCCTTCCAGCGATCGCCGCCCAGCATCTTGTACAACCGCGACGACACGTATCCCGCCACGGTGCCCAGGCAGACGTAGAGGAAGAGCGCGCAGGTCATCAGCGCGCCCCGGTTGGCCGGGGAGAGGAAGCCCATGCAGGCGAAGACCAGCGTGATGAGCGTCATCACCAGCACCTGACTGCCCGAGCCCACCAGCACCGACAGGATCATGCCCTTGTGCGGGGCGCGGAACACGTCGCCGTGGATCAGCTTCCACCCGTACTCCTCCTGCGCGTCGTCCTGTTGACAGACAATCACAGTGAAGGATAGACTGTCAAGGAAATTAAAGTGGAATAAAGTGGACGAACGCTGTTCTCCAGCTGGTTGTAGCGGGCAATGTCGCGGCGCAGTGTGCGTAAAAGGATGAGGGCGATCATCCCGGTGAGGAAGAGGACGATGACCAGCGAGTTGAGGATGCTGAACCACTGGATTTTCGACTGCGGCTGGCTGTCCAGAATGTAGTCCTAACAGAAAAAGACGACGTTTATTGTATAAAACATCAGAAAATCCAAATAAAAATACACAAATTTAAATCAAAATAGTAAAAATAAATTAACTGAACATAAAAACATAAAATATAAATCAAATTCCAAATAATCAAAACAAACTCAGAACCAATCACAATCCAATTAGTACAACCTAAACCAAAAGAAATCTACGAATTAAAAATCCAATTAAAATTTAAATTACCAGTGAAATTGGTAAAATCAAATCTCATAAATGAACCAAAAAGTCGGTGTTCTCACCCAGCGACTGGACCACTTGATGTTGTCCTCCTTGACGAAGCGCACCGAGTAGGTGTACGTCAGGTTGAAGACGCCGGCCTTCTCCGGCTTCTCGTCGGCCGGCAGCGCCAGCGGCGGAAGGAGTCGCAGGTGGGGCTGTCTCTGAAAGTCGCCTACAAACACGAACAGCATGTTCAATATTTATTCTGTACGGCGCAGAAAGTCGGTGGTACATACTCCGTGGTCGAAGCTGCGGGGTTTGATGTCGATGCGCACGATGCGGGCGCGGGTGGCCTCGGTGTCCGCATCGTCCACGCGGTGGTAGTGCACCACCAAATCCACATGGTTGTAGATGTAGAAGCCCTCTTTCCGCCGCGCCACCTAACAAACCAACACATTCCTGTCGTTAATTTCAATTTACTTTAATTTCCGCCTCTTTAAATAACTTAATTGTGTTTAATTTCAAATTATTTCAATTAATTTAGCAAATTTACTGAACGCACCTCGTCCTGGATGGGGCAAGGGAATTTCTGCTGGCCCTCCTGCGTGATATAGCAGCCCATGGGGAAGCCGATGGAGCAGTACTGCTCCGGACTGGAGACGGCCGTGCCGTCGGCGGCGGTGGCCTGCACCTGGTAGCACCAGGTGATGGGCATGTTGTCCAGCATCCAGTGGTGCTGGTAGTTGAGATTGATGCCGGCGCGCAGTTTGCGCACCTTCTCCAGCTGATCCTGATTGCTGAGGTCGTAGCTGCGCGAGCACACCTCCACGCAGCCGCTCTTGTCCTCGTTGAAGGTCAGCACGTAGGGCGACGGCCGCAGACGGTCCCCGAAGACCACCTGGCCCAGATTCTCCACCGGACTGTTGCTGTATTCGTCCTTGTCGTCCACCTTGCAGAAGTCAAAGTAGTGGTACTCGTAGGGGATGGTGGCGTGCTCCGAGTTCAGCCGGTTGACGAACACCGCCAGCTGGTCCTGCCAAAAGTACAAACAAACACTAATTACAGTTTCTGACATGTGCTACATTCAGTGAAGAAATCACAGTTTCAAAACGTTTCGCATTCCAAGCTTCAGACAAACCATCTCAGAGATGAAAATAACACTTCTCCAAAATTATTACTAGTATTCAATTAATTTTAGATGGAGAAACTGATCAAATTAAACGCTAATTAGAACAGCTTAAAATAAATATACCATTAAACTGGCATTAATTACACTGGATATGTAATTATTTATTAATATTATTTCATTCAAATTCGGTGTTTATTATGAGAAACGTTTGGCAAAAGGAAACTGGAAAAATCAAGTTAGCCAATTTCAAATTGTACTTTATTCCCATATCAGTTTCAAGCTATTTTAAAACGGGCCAAATCTGTAGAGAATTTGCAGCACGCTGGAGCGCGTCTTACGGAGTTGGGAGTGCAGCCCTGCTGTCCCGCGTCGATGGCCTTCTTGTTGCAGTAGTCGACGGGCGCCAGACCCGGCAGGTAGAAGCCCTGCACAGCGGACAGGCTGAGCACGGCCAGTGCACTGCGCAACCAGCGCGCCTTCCCCATCCTGACTTAATTCAAGTCCCAGTAGCTGCACCAATCAAGTATCAACAAACCACGCGACGTCCAACGCAAAATCCCCCTTTCCAATATTCTCCGCAAAGGCGATCTATCAAACGCCAATAATTAATCCTGGACCACAAGCAGTCAATTATAATTCAAGTACATCCTAAGAATCGTAACAATTACGACACAATATCAGCCCTGGATAAAACACGTTCAAGCACAGGCTTGAACAAACTTAGCTGCTTTCCCTATCCATCAACACATGCTATTCACTGCTCAGATAAGTACTTGTCAGATCATTGTAATCCTTTTAGCAACACATCGGGACGAGAATGTTCCTAGCCTGATGAATATGAATATTCATAAGGTCTCCGCCACGTTATTGCATGCAGCATTCACCTGTCCCCAGCTTGACTCACTTGTCAGCCCCAAGTCGCGCTTATCTTATCACTCACCTCTCTCCCGTATGACTTCACCCCCACCAAAACGGACGCCTGTCTCCGATTCCTCCGTCTCTTGATTAATCCGTGATATTTTCAAACAGACTCCACAAATTATCCAACGGGAGAAGACGACGAGAAGTCAATTTTTCTGTTTTTAAAATACGCTGCTGAAGGCAAAAGACACACGTTACACGGGTCGCTGTCGCTGACAACGTAAGCATACGACTCGCAGAAATTAGCCTAAGGGAAGAGCAGGTGAGCGGCGCCGTGGTGGCGGTTGGCCGGCGCGACTGGCCTTTTCCAGTTTAAAATGTGGGCCACTGATCTCGCCACACGCCACACGGCCACCACCGTCGTCAAGCAAGTTGCAACATGTTCAACTTCAGAAGCGAGAAAGTTTTCAATTTCCACGGTGTTGTTTACCTTGGCGCGTCAGACGATGATTCAGCCTGTTGTTACTTTTTTCTCCACAAATATTTGCTGATAATGCTGCGTTTACATTCTTTCCTACTACTGTTTTCTGTGGAGCTCCCCAGTTAGTCAGTTTTTGCGTTTTGGCTGGTGTAAGTCTAGACGTGCAAACGACGAGTGCTTCGTTCTTTTTCCTTGTGAATCTTGTCGTTTAGACAACGTTCTGTTTCATGGACTTGTCATCATCCCGGTCCGTTTGTAAGTGTTTTTTACAGCAGTTTTGCGGCGTTTGTCCTTGACTGGGTTCTTGCTTCTGGCAAGTGCGCTTCGCGCAAAATCATCTGTACGAGTGAGGTGAACTTACTCGTTGCTGTAGGAATCTGTGATTGGAAAATTCCACATTGCGAGTGACGAGAGCCGAGTTTATTCCGATAGTCGACGTATCCCTTGGCCTTGCGATGGGCACCGCGACGTTTGTATGGTTATTATGCGCGGCCGTGTGTTGGCGATGCAGCAGCGTCGCCAGTTTGAATCCCGTCCGCGAAGCCAGCACCTGGACGCGTCTGGATGTTGAAGCACCAGTGCATCGCGTGCGCCGCGCCTCGGCCACCTGGACGCCCACCTCGCCCCCCTCTACGGCGCCCCACCACCTCCGGAAAGGCGCCCTGGCCGCGGTGGACCGGAACAGTGAGGAGGAGTTGTTGGCGCGGCAGAACGGGGCCTTCAAGTCCACCCAACATCCGTTCAACTCCAGCCTGGTCGCGTCGCTGGTCACCACGGTATGTGGGTCGTTTTTAAAAAAATACTGGTATTTTTCTTCAAAAAAGCGGTGAGAATTATTGAGGATAAAAAGTCACTAAACGGACTGATTTGTAATGAATGTACAGGTTTTTTTAGTCTTCATTTGGGAATGGATTCCCTTACTTACGCTCTCTGTTTTACTTTGTAACGGACGGGTTAGACTGTACATAGGGTCAGTGCATTGTAGATTCCATAAAATCCCAATGAGAAAAGTTTTCCCTGGTGAAATTGGGCTTTGTCAATAACCGATCTTTTTCGCTGTGGAAGTAGTTTGAACAATTTGACCCATGTGCAAGTACTCTGTATGGTTGTATCTTAACTTGCTGCAGATACATAATTGTAGATACAGTTTTGTTAAATAGCCATTACTTTGCATTTGACTTTAGTCACTTTACACGTAATAAAATTACTAATTCTGACACTCAGTTATAAATACAAGATGAATCGCTGATCGCAGTTCTAGAAACGCGCTTTTTGCAACTGGCGACGAGTTTTTAGTCGATGGATTTTGTTTAAATTTGTCATAAGTAATAACTATACGTAGTACTAATTAGTTTATAATTAGAACAATATTGGACGCTATTATAACGCGCCGTGCCCACTCTTGCAGTTCGACACGACGGACAGCAACGACCAGCTGTTCCTGCACATGGCCGGCCAGGGCAGCGGCCTGCTCTTCGCCTTCACGCGCATGAACAACTACAGCCTGCCCCACACCAGCCACCTCTACGTCTCCACCGACGCCGGCCGCACCTTCCGCGACCTGGCCGACCAGATGCGCCGGCCGGACAACACCCCGGCCAAGCTCTTCGCCGCCGTCAAGACGGCGTCCTCGCCCCTCCACGTAAGCGCCTCTTCACCTCCTGTTGCTTAAATTCACCGTTATTCGCTTTTAGTACGTCTTCACGGATGTGGAGGTCAAACCGAGCGTCATCTTCACCAGCAGCGACGCCTGCGCCAGCTTCTCCCGCTGGAGCGTTCCCTTTATCCCCAGCGTCCTGCAGATCGACCCCCGGGAGGCGCGGGTGCTGGTGGCGCTGGACGAGAAGGACACGCAGCGGCGGTTGTGGATCTCCCGCGATTTCGGCATGCAGTGGAGCATCCTCGAGCGGTTTGTCCACACTTTCACGTTCGTCAAGGAGCACGAGCCCAACGCCACGAAAAGTACACTGAATTTTTGCTTTTCCAGTTTCCGGTCAGCAGATATTATAGCGCCTTATTTGCAGTTTACAGCCTGTATGTTCAGCGAATGCGCCCGGATAAGCTGTTTGATATTGTCCGCTTTTCCGGCTACGCAGCGGCGACGCCGCTCACTGAGGCCGTTATCGACGGAATCGAGGAGTTCGAAGCGCAGGGAGATTATCTCTTCGCCACCAAAGCGATTAAGGTATTCATTTTATTTCGTAATAGATTAACGAATAATTTGGGCTATTTTTTGTTCATTTATTCTTGTATCTCTAGTTGAAAACGGGGAAAAGTACGATAGCGTTGTGGTTTGCGTACAAACGGCAGAGCTTCCTGCAGGCTGATTTCCTCACGGAAGAATCCATCATTGTAAGTGGGACTGGAATTCAAAATCTTTGAACATTTTCCTGAGATGGTGCTATATAAAACGGACTGGAAAACCGAAAACGAATTTACTTTATCGTATTTTGTTGAGCAAATTTTTCAGAAAACATTCTGCTGTTACTGCATTGTGAAAAATATTAGGAATAACGTAGTGCGATGGCTTCCGTTTCATGAATTTCTAAGCAAATCATACTGTACGGCACTGACATTTCAATTGGCCAAGCTGTTGTAGCAGTAATAGTTTTTGATTTTTTCTGCATTTGCCAAGATTAATGAATATGTGTTATGATTTTTATGATTATTTGAAGAATGAGTTTTCCTTTAGTTTTAATTTTGTAGTGACTTGATTTGGTGAAATGTGGATGGTTGAGGATTTGGCTGTAGTTAGAGTTTTACTGGTACATGCTGACATATTTGCTCGTAAGCGCAGACGTGAAAATGAGCATTTTATTGCGGCAGGACTTCCACGTGGTGAACGTGGTGGAGGCGCAGATCGTGGTGGCGGTGACGCTGGCCAGCAACGACACGCACCTCTACTTCTCCGTGCCGGCCACCAACAAATTTGTGCGCTCCCTGGACAGCGTGCTCTTCTACCATCCCGATCCCAGCATCGGCCGCTTCTCCAGTATGAAGTAAGAAACGGCTCTGTAATAAGAGTACAATGAAATTATTGTATTTCTCTATTTTTTGCTTATTTCAATAAATTTACGGTGTATTTATTTTTCCTGTTTGATAATTAATAACTGGACCGTGTTGGTTTTCATTTCAATGCAGTGCCGTTTTTATTCGGCATTGAATTGAAGTCTTCGTTTTAGACACGACTGTTTTTATTTATTGCAAATGTTATTTTATTGCATATTTTAATTATTTTAAATGTATGTTTTTATTTATCAAAAATTGTAGAATGTATGAAATTATTGCGTGTTATTCAGGGAAATCTGGCAGCAGTCGGCGTCCTTCGCGGAAGTACACCCCGTCAAGGGCCTGCGCGGCGTCTACATCGCCAGCCAGCTGGTCTCCGACATCCGCCGCCACATGGGCGACTCGGTGAGCCGGCTGACCAAGGACAACGGCGCCACCTGGCAGACCCTCCCCCCTCCGCGCCTAGACTACCACGGCCACCCCTTCGACTGCAGCCGCAGCCCCGCCGCCCCCTGCTCCGTCAACTTCATGCAGAAGTACCCCGTCTTCTCCCCGGCCTACACCCAGGGCCTCTACTCCGCCGCCAGCGCCCCCGGATTATTGATCGGCGGGGGCAGTGTCGGGGAGACGGTGACCAGCGGCGAGATGGGGGTCTTCGTCAGCAGCAACGGCGGACTGCGGTGGCGGGAGGCGCTGCGCGGGGTGTTCCGCGTGGCGGTGGGCGACCATGGGAATGTGCTGGTGGCGGTGAGTATCAGCTGGACGAAGGAGGTGCTGGTGTCGTGGAACGAGGGGGTCTCCTGGGACAGTGTGGAGTTCGCGAAGGAGCGGATGCGGGTCATCTCGGTGATGAGTGAGCCCGGGGAGAAGGCGGCCGTGTTCACGCTCTTTGGCACGCTGAAGGAGAACACCACGGTGCTGCACCAGTGGAAGATTATCCGCCTCAATCTGGCGCCGCTGTTCAACGGTGGGAACACGTTTAATTGAACCGATTTTAACAATTTATTTGAATTTTTAAAATGTTTCATAATGTATTTTCAGTTTATTTTGCTTTGTTGCGAATTTTAATTATAATTTCCTACCGAAAAATATTATAATTAAACACAAAAATACATCAATACATTCGAATAAATGAAAGAAAAAAAAACAAATCAGTAACTGAAAGTACCTACGTGTAATTGAATAAGCAGTGCCGTAAACTTTGTGAGATTGAAAAACTGCGTGCAATCGACACTGTACTACGTATTTTTCAGTTTTCTTGTAAGGTAAAAATTAATGATGTTTGTAAAGTTGATTTATAAGTTGGGGACAAAATTCGAAACGCTCATCTTATTTTACGTATTTAAATACATAAGCGAAGAAATTTACATCATACATTTATGAAAATTATAAATATTTAATGTAGTAAAAAATAGTGAAAATACACATTGATGAATTAGCTTGTTATCGTGGGTACTTGTTATCAACAGAGATTTGTGCTTTCTACAGAGACAATGTGCACGGCGAAGGATATGAAGGAGTGGTACTTTGAGGACGCCATCCCGGGCCAGTTCTGCGTGATGGGCAGCCGCATTCGCTACGAAAAGAAGCGGCCGGCCGCCAAGTGCCTGCTAGGACGGGATTTCCGGCGTGATATCAAGCTGGACAACTGCACGTGTCAGCAGCACGATTTCGACTGGTAAGCCGTCCGTGTTTTATGAAATCCGTGCGGTGGTTGATGATGGATGGGTGTAGTGATTTCGGGTACACGCGGACGACCTCCAAGGGCCAGCTGGGCTTCACCTGCACGAAGAGCGGCGAGGGGGAGGCGGCGCTGCCGGCGGTGTGTGCGGTGGGGCAGCTGCAGCAGCGTACGCGGGGATTCAGGAAGATCCCGCTGGATTCCTGCGTGGACGGATTGAGTCGCCGGTTGGGGCCGCTGCACGTGCCCTGTCCGTGGCCCGGTCAGTCAAGTACATTTTTACTATTATTTTTATTCTTTATATTATTTTTATTTAAATTTATTTTACTGATTTTTTTGTTTGGCTGTCTTTACTTAATTTTTTTATGAGATCTGACACAAAAAATGTAATGTGGTTTGCAGCTAGCGACAGCTTCCTTCTCGTGGCCGATTCCAAATCGGTGCGGCGATTTAATCTGCTGGTCAAACAGCCGGAGGAGGTGCAGCTGGCCGGTGTGCTGGAGACGGGCGGACATACTGTGATTAGCGCCGACTACGACCACTCCACGCGCTGTCTGTACTGGGCGCACGTCGCTCCCGGCAAGATCATGGTACGTTCTGTGTGCTCCGTTAAACAGCCAATACTCTGTCAAGAAAAATAAGCAGATTTATCTGCTGTTAAGCAACTCAAAATTTTAACAGAATACGTCAATATGGGTATCGTAGTATTGTGCTAAATGGATCGATAAATAAACAAATAATGTATAAATAAATGGGTAAATACGAGTAAACAAAATGATAGATATCCTTTTGAATAAATAAGCAAATAAATATTTCCATAATGCTGTGAATGTGGCACTTGTGCAGCGGATGTGCTTCAACGGCACCGTCAACCGGACGAGCCTGATCACCAAGAACCTGGAGAAGCCCGTCGCGCTGGCCCTGGACACCAGCAGCCGCACGTTGTATTGGCTGGACACCCAGCGCAGCGCCATCGAAGCCATCCACACCGACAAATCCGGCGCGGACCGCATGCGCCGCGCCATCATCCACAACCACACCTCCCTGGCCGGCGCCACGGACCTCGTGGTCCACCCCGCCAGCGGGCACATTTTCTGGTGCAACCCCTCCAAAAAATCCGGGGGACTCTTCCGGGCGCTGTCCGACGGGACGGATATCCAGCGCTACCCGGGGGACATCTTCCCGGTCAGTCTCGCCGTGGACGCGCGACGCAACTCCGTAATCTTCGTCTCCTGGGGCGACGCCAATATCCGGGAGGTGGGCGTGGAGAATTTCGGGAAGCGGGAGGATGTGACGGTGCTGTACCGGGGCGCGGCCACGCTGACGCCGACGCTGGTGGCGGTGTTCAAGGATTTGGTGTTCTTTGCGTTGCCGGCGAAGCAATCCTTGGCGATGGTGCAGCGCGCGGTGCTGCGCGCCGGGATCATCCGCAATTACACCGCGGTGGACGCGGACACCAATTTAATCCGGGTTTTTACTTCGGAGCCGGTGAATCTCCGGAATCAGTGCGGCGGATGTCCTGGGTTGTGCGTGGCCATGCCGAATAACACCGCCAAGTGCCTGTGCCCGGATGCGACGCGGACGGTCGGAAGTGATTGCTTGTGTGCGGATAATAGTAGTTTGGCGGCCAAGGGGACGTGTTTCGATGCGAACAGTCAGCGCTGCGGGAGCGGGCAGTTCCAGTGCAGTGACCCGGAGGACGGCCAGCATGTGGCGTGTATTCCGCGGGTGTGGCGCTGTGACGGGGAGGATGACTGCGGGAATAACCGGGATGAGGAGGAGTGCGACGGGGTGGAGCAGGAGATGGAGTGCGAGGCCGGGCAGGTAATCAGACTTTCAGGATTTCTACTTTCAAACCTCAAAATCTCCTTTGTTGTTCGCGGGATTAAAAAAATTATTTTTTGAATACAGTAATTTAGATAATTTTAAGCGAATCAAATTATGGAAACGAATTAAGATGGGACGAAAGGTGTTTACCGAAACATGTAGAAATCAACGAGAAATATTCTTTTTTTACCGATGATCGCCCGAAATCCAAAAACAAACGTGTTCGAAAAAAATAGTATAACATAAATTAAAGTTTCATGGAAATAATTCCCAGTTTCAGTCGGAAATTTTTTAGGTTTACCATTTTTAGCGCTTGAAATCTGGCGTTTTGGAAGAGTACAAAAAATAAAAAAATGCTACATTAAATGTCAAAATTTATTTGGAGTAAATGGCATTTTAAATAATTTGTCAAAGTGTTTAACAGTTTGCATATGTGCTACCGTAGGTGCGGTGTAGTGACGGAATGTGTATCCACAAGAGCTGGGTGTGCGACGGCGACAACGACTGCGTGGAGGGCTCGGACGAGCGCAACTGCAGCGGCCACAGCTCGGCGGTGTGCAAGACGCCGGGCAGTTTCCGCTGCCAGGACAGCGGGCGCTGCGTGCCGGCGGGCTGGAGATGCGACGGCGAGGACGACTGCGCCGACGGGAGCGACGAGTGGGACTGCGAGGTGGAGCCCGGGAACAGCACGCTGCACTGCAAGGACGGTGAGTTCGCCTGCACCCGCGACGGCACCTGCATCTCCAGCACCTTCCAGTGCGACGGCGAGAACGACTGCCCCGACGGCAGCGACGAGGTACCGCTCATCGATGGCTGCAGTTATTCGCGGCACATTTTTTTTTACACCAGTTTGGAACGTCAGATCAGTTTCGTTTCGCCATCAAGTAGACCTTCGCATTATGTTTTCCGGTGACTACAATTTGCTATTAGGCTTCCAGATTTAAGTAAATATTTCCGATTTTCCAAATTCAAATGGTTTCCAACTGCGAATGTAATTCAATTTGAAAAACGTTTTTCCGGTGACTACAATTTGTTCTAAATTTAATTGCCTTCTAAGTGCCTTCTAAATTTAATTTAAAATTCTTTATTTGAAAAATTCAAAAGGAGGGTTCAAACTGCCAATTTGATTTGAAAAATGGAATCTTTTCTTTACACACCTTAGAAAGAGTTGTAACTTGCATGTGAGAACCTGTGACATGGTCGCATGCCCCTTGGGTTCAAGCCATCACACTACAATAACGTCTTGATTCTACAGTATGTTTTTGTCAGGCAATATCTTTGCAAATCAGTATGAGTGCATATCGGTATTCGGCTGCGGTCAGTTGAACTGTTTATAAGCGAAAAATAATGACGGAATTGAAGGAAGATTTAGGTGATACAGAAATGCCTGCTGACATAGTTCAAGAAAACCTAAGATTTATGGATTTCCACCCCGACCGGTTAGCATGCATTTTCGGTTCGGTTTGCAGAATGACTGCCACAATCGCAGCTGTTTGCCACTGCAGTTCCGCTGCGCCAACAGCAAGTGCATCTACGAGACGTGGCGCTGCGACGGGATGAGCGACTGCCTGGACGGCAGCGACGAGGCCAACTGCAGCTCGGAGTTGGACCACTCCAAGGTGGACGCCGGCGCGTCGTTTAACTGCGCCGACGTGGACATGTTCAACTGCAGTGGATCCACGCCGCAGTGCGTGCCCCTCAACTGGAAGTGCGACGGCGCCGAGGACTGCAGCAACGGCATGGATGAGCGCGGCTGCCAGGGCCTGTTTCCGGCAATGGTAAGGCTGCAGTTTTGACCGTTTTTCATATGATTCTTGTTGAAGTGCAATGTACCATTCAAGTGATTTAACAAGTTTGTATTTTATTTTCCCAATATTTTTTCTGTATAAGCGGCATTTAATAAAAATTTTATTAAATATTTAATAATAACCGTTACTGACAACTGGATCGTTATTTCAATAGTTATTTCGTTTATTTATGTCTTCTTAGACCGGAATTTAATCTGATAAGCGTCACCAGTAAAAGTAAGTACAAGTATATAAATAATAATCAAACACAGATTAAATTGTTCATGCCAGACTGGTTCCAGTTTTCGCAGCCCGTTTAGTTTAAAAAAATGTCCGCTAAATTTTATTTTTTGAATTTTGAATTTAATTTTTTCTCTGTCATGTTTTTCAAGTTTTGCGATTTTTGTAAAGGTTATTATTACTGCTGATATTTCCAACTGGTTTTTCATTTCTTTGTTTTGATTTATCAATGAAATGTGTGTGCTACATTTGAGACAAGATTTGCACCGCAGGCGACGGAGTGCCCGGTGGATGCCGTTCTGTGCGTCTCCTCGGGCGTGTGCCTGAACGCCAGCGCCCGCTGCGACGGCGTGGAGCAGTGCCGCGACGGGGAGGACGAGGCGCAGTGCGCCTGCGCCACGGACGCGGAGGAGTTCGACTGCGGCGCCGACACCGGCCACCAGTGCATCGCCGAGAGCTGGGTGTGCGACGGCGACTGGGACTGCCCGGACGGGGCCGACGAGGCCGTGGAGCTGTGCCGCGGACGGAGGGTGCAGTGCGCCGCCAACGAGTTCCGCTGCCGCTTCGCCGCCGGCTGCGTGGACCAGGACAAGGTGTGCGACGGGAAGGCGGACTGCGCGGATGGGTCGGACGAGACGGCGTGCATGACGCTGCCCGGGGGGATGGGGGTGTGTGCCCCGGAGACCCCGCTGGCCTGCTGGGACGGCGTGCAGTGTGTCACCATGGAGGCGCGCTGCAACGGGGTGGGTGCCTGATTTTACTGCAATTTGCCCGTTATTTTCCATTAATTTTCCCAGTTTTTAATTTTTCAGTTTTGGTCTTGTTCTGGCATTTTCAGTTTTACATTTATTTCTAGTTCGTTTCTTTTTCCCCAGATTTTTAGTTTTTATTACATTGTAAATTTTTATAAAGTGCTAGTTTGTAATTAAATTTTTTCTTATGTTTCAGTTGCTAATTTTCGGTTGAATTTTAATTGATTCCGGTAATTTTGTTACCTTCTCATTCAGCTTCCGTTCAATTCTCATGAACAAATTTTAAAATTTTTCAAAAAATTATATCTCTTGCAACCGTTTCGCTTATTTTACAACGTTTAGACTTTTTTATTGGGAATCATGGATTTATTTGCACTTAGATGAACGAGTCATAGGCCACCACACTACAATTTTTCTTGCGTTAGCAAGTATGTTACCGAGCGATTTATAGAAAATCGATATTTGTTTCAAACAGGCCATCAGGATTTATCCATTTATTTTTTATTTTGTCTGGGTTTGTTGCTTTTAGTTGTTTGAAAATTTATCTCTTATTTTGCCGGACTTTTTCTGGCATTTTGAGTTGGACTGTTTTTTTGAGCTTTTTAAATTTTAGTGTTACATCCTTTTTCGGATTTGTTTTTGACTTTTATCTTCAAAAATTGCTATTAAACCAGAGTTTTCCGATTTTGATTTTCGATTTCGGAAAATTGATATTGTATTTTGTCAGGTTTTGCCTTCAAAAAATGTGAATATTTCTTGTCAGTTTTGATAATCATTGACCTTTGAATTGGAATTAACTTAGGTTTTTATTTTTTTTTTATTTATTCTGTCTGGGTGTTTGTTCTGATGTATTGAATGGCTTGCAGAGAGAAGACTGCAACGACGGATCGGATGAGCAAGGCTGCCACAGCCTCCCCGACAAACAGAAGCCGCTGCGCCTCCTAGAGGTGGCGCGCGACAACGTGACGGCCTCGGCGGCGTACCTGTGGTGGGAGTGGGACGGGGCCGCCCGCAGCGCCACGCAGTACGTGCTCAGCGTGCTGGGCGAGGGACACTCGCCCCTCAACTACACCATCGCCGACCAGCCGCGCCGCCAGTCGAAACTGGTGGAGAATCTGACGCCCTACACGAAGTACCGCGCGGCTATTTATTCCCTGAAGAAGAAGGCCGTCGCCCTCCGCACCGTCACCTTTATCACCAAAATGACCAGTAAGAAAATGACCAAAATTGATAAAAATATACGATGGAAAATTCTGCGAGTTTTCTTGACTGAATCCACCAGAAATTGATTGGAAGTAAAATATCCGTATAAATTGAAAAATTATAATATAATCTTTTTTTCCACAAATCTTGTTGTTAATCATCAGTTAAATCATGCTAATTCAGACTACTGAGTATAGATATTTTCTGACGTATTTTTAAACTTTTTCCACAGCGTTCCATCAGTTTTTTGTTAAATTCCTTGAGCTTTTCCTCGTAAACTAACACAACAGTTCAAAAGTGTACCCGGCAACACACTTGTTAATCAACAAATATTGTAGTGTGATGGCTGAAGCTCGATGGTAAACTCTCCTACTATGCGGTTTCTTTTGTGTGTAAATTACGCGAAGCGGATATAAAACTAGTGTTTTTTTAATCAGATTTAAAAATGAGCTTAATAAGGCAATCATACGAGCTCATTATGAAAATAATGTTTCCATGTGAAATCACTTCAAACAAACAAAGATTTTTATTATTGAAAGTGTGATTTCAACCATAGTCTCTAGCAGCAGAAGAATAAACAACAAGAAGTAAACAGTGAACAAATCAAGAAACTTTCTAACAGAATGAAATATGTAGAGCAGTAAGAAGTTATATAAAATTAAACAAATAAATAAAAACATCAATTTCCTGTGAAATAAATCAGTAAATGTTGATAATAAGATACATAAGTAATGCGTTGTTGCAGAACCGAGTGCGGTGCGCAACGTGCATGTCAACCAGTTCGGCGCGGACCAATTATCCCTGCGCATCAGCTGGGACGCCCCGCTGCATCCCAACGGACAGATCCGCAAATACCGCATCACTTTATCCACCTCCGGACCGCCGCCCGCGGTGGCCACGCAGAGCGTCTCCGGCAGTGAGTTCTCTTCGATATTCTACCATCCCACGCTCCACCGCGTGTACAACGTGTCCGTCCAAGCGGTGGTGGGCAGTCCGCTGGTGCCCAATTTATTCGAGAGTGACCCCTCCGTCCCGGTCAGCCATTTGGTCAGCGGGGAGGCCCTGACCGTCCCGGTGCGCAATTTATCGGCGTCCAGCAACAAAACCTGTGTAGCGCTGCAGTGGAGCCCGCCGCTGACGGGCGCCGTGGCCGGTTACCGGATTAAATATCGCGTTTTGGATGTGGAGAAGTCCGTGGAGTGTGGGGCGACGCAGTGGGCGGGGTGCGGGTTCGCGCCCGGGACGCTGTACCGGTTGTTCATCGCGGCGTTTAATAAAATCGGGGAGGTGACGGTTGTCGGTCCGGCGGCGGAGATGGATGTGACGACCAAGGGGAAGCTGGTGCGACCGCCCTGGGAGCTTCAGGCCGCGCGCGGCAAGGTGAGCTGGGTGGTTTAATTTTTATCCCAGAAAATTGAACCACAAAGTACTGGCAATTTTCCAGATTCCTACAAACAATTCCTTGTAAAAAGCGTATTAGAGTAAGATAATATTGACACAAAGTAACGTAGTTGCACTGCTCGGTGCTAGCTAAAGGCTTAAATTGCTTAGTAGTCGGTTGTAGCTCTTGCTTGTAATGTAGCTTCGGAAGCGGAAACTGATCAGTGAAATGCATTTATGTCTGCATTTCGTAGTGGGGCGTCCAATTTGTTAATTAAATTAGTATAACAAATAAATTAATATTGAAATAAAGCAATATTGTTGTAAAATAATGCTAAAATTTAGGTATCCCTGGAGCGGGTGACAGTCAGCTGGAAGTGGGCCCTGGAGGAGGCGGTGGAAGGGATGGAGGCGGGGCAAGCGGTGTTCGGTGTGTACCTGGGCAGCAATCTGCAGGAGAACGTGTTGCGCGGACCGCAACTGAATGTCACCGGGAAGCGGGAGGCGGTATTGAAGGAGGTGGACCCCTGCCGGGACTACGTGCTGCAGGTGCGCGTGCTGGGCCCGGGGCTGCACACGGCCTTCAGCCCGGCGCTGCTGCTGCCGGCCAGTCGCAATGTCGCGCAGTATGTCAGCAATCTCAAGGTGGCCAAACTTGGTAAGTTTAAATTGATCAAGTCAGAATAAATTACCGGGAAAAATAATTGTATGCGCGGGCCAGATGACCGGAAGCACGTGAACGTGTCGTGGACGTGCGGCTGCGGCGGGGACACGGCGCCGGTGAACGCGTCGTACCTGATCCAGCTGACCAACTACTCCGTCCCCGAGGGATCCGCTGGCTACGAGGAGACCATCGAGGTGCCCTTCGCCGCCGCCGCCAACCGCAGCCAGCGCATCCGCGTCCGCATGGGCGCGCGCTATGCCGTAAAGGTCATCCCCAACGCTCAGCGCCCCTATTCCAGCAACCCGGTATGTCTCTGTTAATCACTTGACGCACGAAACCTAATAAAACAGAAGATAACCTAAGGAAATCTAAGAAAACCTGAGAAAACATAAGAAAAACGTTGGTTTGCAGGTTCTGTTCACATCAGCGACCTACGCCACGCCCGAGCAGGTGTACGCCGCCCGCCTGCCCAACGGCTCCATTTTACTGACCTGGCAGCCGCCCAAGAGCGTGAAGAAGGAGGGGCAGTTAGTGCGCTACCGGGTGGCGGTCAGCGGGGCGCCCATCGACAAGCCGGGCGAGGACGCCGCCAACGTCATGCACTACGACGCCGACAACAGTTCACTGCTGCTGCACTTGCCGGATGTCGTCGGGTTTTACAATTTCCGGGTGGCCGTCGCTGATGGCGAGGGGAACGTCGGGGATTACTCCAGTAATATCGCCGTGGCGGCGGTTATCGCTGGAGCGATGGATAACGGTGAGGGTGTTTATTTTTATATTGCTACTTGCGGAGCGGATGCTGATGGGTTCGCCTGCTCTTGTACCGTAATAATAATAATAATAATAATATTAATAATAAAACAGGTGCGCAAGGAAGCGAGGATACCTCCGACTCGGCCGGTCTCCTGGCTGGGTTGGTCGTGCTCCTGCTGCTGATCGCCGCGGTGGTGGCCGTCGTGGTGGTGAGGTGGCGACGGCAGCGTCGTCGCTCCAAGGAAATGCGTTCACATTTGTCCAGCCACTTCCGCAATGCGCCCTACGGATTGGAATCTCGTAAGTGATGCACAAATATTTCCAAAAATTAAATTAAACAAGGTAAAGAAAATTTGATTGCATTATGTTCCAGGCCTAGAACAAATTTTACGAAATTCAAATGAATTGTAATTACCTTTTAAATTACATTATCTGTAGTAGAATAAAGTGAGAAAACCACGTTAAAATTAAAATTGCCGGTGGAGAAATGTGAATTGTGCAATAAAATGGAAGTGAATCAGTTGCTGACGGTGTTGTTGTGTGTGCAGTGGAGCTGGACGACGAGGAGGACATGCCGGTGTTCCGCAACTTCGCCGACGACGAACCGCTGGTGGCCAACGCGTCCTAGACTCTTTTAAAGAGCCGCGCTGTGTGTCAACCGATCAGCTTGGTTTTCCTCGGCCAGCTCGCCCATTCTCCCTGATCTCACGGCCCTCCTGCTTGCGCAGGTCCGTTGGATCGCCGACCAATCCACCTTGTCCGTCTCGGTGTCCATTAAGAATCACTTTCTACTTTTTGTTGTGGTGTTTCTGTTGTTTTGTTGTCGTGATGGTGACGGTGTTGTTTGTGCTGGCAGCTGTTTACGGCGCTCGGGTGGCGACCGCTTCCCGGCGCGGATAACTGGTAATCATGACGCTCAATTTGACTGTTTTAATTTCGGCCGGTCGCTGTTGTTTCATTTTGTGTGTTTGCCAGTTGTGATCTGTGCTACTATTTTTTGGCTCAGAATATTTGTGATGATTTCTAATGAATTAATTTCCTTCCACTGAGAACAGCCGGTAGAGTGTACAGAGTGTACAAATACACTTGGCTCTCTTCTGCCGAATGAATAAATAATGCGCTCTCGCCGGGCCAACTACGGTCAGTTTCTTTGTTTTGGGCTGTGCAATTACAAGGCTTACACCGTGGAATAACAGATACTGTATCAAGTTAAATTTCGCCACTTCACAAACTAAAAAACTTAGCAAAAAGTACACGGAGAAAGGACTTTCGAAGAGACAAATCGAAAGTTCGAAACTATAGTAGGCGCTGAACGGCGTCTTCCGCACCCAGGCGGAGGGCAGCAGCTGAGACGTAAAACTAAAGCACCCTGCAGTCCTGCACGACAAAGTAAAGCAAAATTCAATAAAACAAAGTACTGAAACCAGGAGAGCATTGACAATTTGACACTGTCAGTTTGAGTTATTTGACAGTGTTTTTGTTCTAGCTTTTTGCGTGCTCCTGGACGAACTGTACATCTTCGCTCTTCAGCTGTTCGATCCGTCACTTGTCAGGAGCTGAAGGTTTAATATTTTCTTGAAACATGCATCTATTCGCCGGCAGTTATCGCTGCGCCGTTGTGTACGATATGCACCAGTGGAACGCGGTGGATGTGCTGATCAACGGAGCGCTGCAGCGCGGCGTCGTCATCGGCCTGGCATCTGGCGACAACGCCAACCAGGGCCTACTCATCGACTTCGACTGTCCACAGCGGCAGGGCGAATTCGGCGCGTACGGCAGCATCTTCAGCGACCCGTACCTGCTCCCCGCGTCCTGGGACGCGTGGCAGGAGGCTGCGTGGGCGCGGAGCCATCCTCTGCAAGCGCTGCTGCGCGTCGGTCATGGTCGCGCCTGGACATGGTGTCCGGTCAAATTAGCCCTCCCAGAGATTGCCAAGGCGTGCAAAGAGTCAGGCAGCGATTTTGATTGTGGTGTGGTGGAGGTGCAGTGGGGCGATGCGCGTGATTCCGCTGCGTCAGATCCGCGAGGTACCTTCCCCTGAAGATCTGCAGCAGCGCCGTCTGGGACCGGAGTATTTCGTCAGCCGAGAACGCCGTCTACCCAAGGGATACTGGACGGCGCCCCCGGAGGCGACGCGACTGCTGTGGCAGGAGCTCAGCCGCGAGTTTCAAGCCTGCTGCACTGCTGCACGTACTGACAGCTTTGCGTACTTTCAGCGCCGCGATGGGCTTGCTATTTCCCTTGACAGATTGGTAAGCTGGTTGTTACAGGTTGCAGAATGTTTCTCTTCGAAGTGATACATAAGTTGTTATTTTTCTTTTCGATATACACACCAACGAGCACCACTGAAGCAAGAATTTTTATATGTCCCAATTAACATGAGAAGGGATTGTGCACATACACTCATAGGCCATAGCATTATCACGCGTAATCTCCAGACTTAAATGTTGAAACAAAAGCAAGTGGAATAACTCTCGCCTGTTCTGATAAACAGTTTCTTAACAATGAATCTCCTTTAACAAACACAACTGCGACATCACAATAAGTGCCATTTTTTTTCTCAATTAGCAACAACTGCAGTCTGCAAACTTAGAGTAAAATTAGTGATTGTGGTGTTAGTACTGTAAATAACTGCTATAGCCTATAACTAATCAAGCGGGCGAGCGTTTTAAAATAACTGATACCTTTTGAAATTCGAAGGAACCAAGTTTTGACATCGAACATCACGCGTCTGTGGCGCCCGGCGAGAGCGATGGACGCCCAGAAGAAGGAGAATCGACCGGCCATCGTTTCGCTCCCTCTTTGAGAAGAGTCAAAGCTCGGTCCACCGACGAGCATCGAACGGGCCGCGGCCTTCCCTTGGCACGCGAACTATTGGCGGAGATCTTCCAGTCACTGGACAACATCGAGCGGGTCCGCAAGCGGCGCGTCTGCCGCCTGTGGGAGGCGATGCTGGATTCGAATGCGATCGGCAAGCACCTGTGGATCTCCTGCCGACATCCCTTCCACAGGTACCGCAGTGAGGAGGCCGAGCAGTTCCTGCTGGCGGCATGTATGCTCAAGTGCGTCATATCCGCCACGGACACCATCATCCTGGAGGATTCATCCGAGTTATGTTCTTGGTCGCGGGGCGTGTACGAAGTGGTCCTGATCTTGCTGCAGCAGCGCCGCATTAAGACGCTGGTCTTCTCCCGGTGTGATTTCAGTGATTACGATTACGAGCTGCGCCATTACATGAGGTTGATCAATCACCGGTGGTCTGAGCTGGAAGCCAGCTGCCGTGTGGTGGTGTGGCGCGATTGCGAGTGGTCGCTGCCGGAGACCAGCGCCCTCGTGGCCTTTGCCAAGTTCTGTCTGCGGGATGCAGCCGCGCAACGGCTGCTACAGTTGTGGGATGTCCATGAAAGGTCACTAGTGGAGAGAGAGCTGGTGGATCTGCCGAGACTCGCTGAGTGGGTGGCGTGTTGTGTCCGCACAAAGGATACTAACAAGTGCGAAGGAATAATATCGGTATGAGCCTGCAGGCTAAAGCCGCATTATGCAACGCATTCTGCTTTTGCCTGAAAGCCGCTGTTTTTCTTGGTGTTTAGGTTTTGAACGAGTTTATGGGTGCTGATCCACGAACGGCACAGTGCAGTGCTCATCAAAAATGGACGACGGAGAATTTGGCCAACTTGAATGTGTTCCGGCTGACAAAGTTGGCGCAAGTTGCCTTGTACGGCCGAATTGGCGATAGCATGTGAAAGAATGATTTATTCAGCAAAAGCCAATGCACATACAACAATGCTTGCGCTGGCCACTAATTAAAACGAGTTTCAACGATACGATACGAGTTTCAACACTGAAAAAACAACCAAAATCGTTATTGAGCCGGTTGTCTTTCTCTACGGCGATACTTAAAAATTCAACATGATTTTTGTGCAACTGTGGTGCTTTTTCTGATTCCAGCACACTACCTATGGTACCGTATTACAGTAATAGTGTTTTTCTTGGCTGAAGAAATACGGCCTGACTGCAGACAAATGAGAAATAACGGTATCACAGTGCTAAATTGTATAGTTGTGGCGAAATGGTTGACAGATACGGTCATCATGGCCTTTGCTGTAAGAAAAGTGCAGGACGGATGCGGCGCCACAGCGCGCTTTACAACATAGTTCAGCGGGCTTGCGGATCTGCTAAAATATCGGCTATCTTGGAACCTCCCGGACTTGATAGAGAAACTGGAAAACGACCAGATGGCATGACTATGTATCCTTGGCAATATGGAAAACCTTTAGTGTGGGATGTCACTGTAGCAGACACGCGAGCGGCAACATATATCGGCCAGACTTCTGACAACCCTGGCGCCGCTGCGGAAGCCGCTGAAATTCGAAAACTGGGAAAATATGAGAAGTTGAGGGATCGATACATTGTCCAGCCTTTTGCTTTCGAAACTATGGGACGCTGTGGACCAAGTACCAGTGGTTTTATTTCGGATTTGACCAAACGTATTCGGGAGCAGACTGGAGAAAGCCGTACGAAACAGTTTTTGTTGCAGCGTTGCAGTTTAGAAATACAACGGGGCACTGCTGCTTTTGTTCTTGGTACAGTTGAGTGCAGTCGCAATCTTGATGAACTGTTTTTGGTTTTCTAATTTACTGTGTATTGAAAATGCTTGTGCAATGAAGTAAAACGCCAATTGTACAGTACGTAGTTTGGCTGATCGATTATTCCGCGTTATATTTCGCAAATTTGCTATGTATCTACTGGACAAGTATTAAAGTGCGAGACTCAACTTACTTATATGGCTCGATTAAAACCGTATCAGAACAACAACAGAACCAAACAGGCAAACAGTTCGCACCGTACTCAGAGGTGGATCTCCTGCTCCTGTAATAAAAGGAGAAAATGGATGCAGTGCTGACATCTGGCTACAAGCATGGCTGAGGCATCATGGATTGTGGATTTTGACTGTTTTATTGCCACTTGAGTTTAATGGAGCTGAACGAAGACATGAGAACATGCCGGTGTTCCGCAATTTTGCGGACGATGAACGCTTGGTGGTTAACGTGTCATAGATTCTGCGAGCAGACACTCTTCACTGCAACCGATCCGCTTAGTCTCTGCTTGTCCCTCGTTGTGGACCTGTGGTGTTCTTGCCGGTTTTTGAGTCAGTTTTCGGAAAAACAAATCAAGCAGCCAAACACAACAAAAATAAGTAAGTACCGTAGTTACGAACAGGGTAGTAGGTGGCTAGGCGCTGAGCGGCGCCTCTCGCACCCAGGGGCAACAGTAGTTGAAAGGTCGTCATTGACACTTCGGTCAAATTCAGCGCTTGTGATTTTACAAACATTTAATTGTAATTTCATCATCCGTTCTTGGTTCGATCCGCCGGTTGATTGATTGATTGTTTATTGGGTAGCCAAGCCGGGTACAATTCGGCGCTATCAGTCTATCACATATCCTTATTTACGAAGACTTCTCCCTGCAACATGCACCTCTTCGCCATTCGCCACTCATTACAGTGGCACTGTGTATGAAGTGTGCCAGTGGAACGGCATGGATGTGTTGATCAACGGGACGCTGCAACACGGCGTCGTCATCGGTCTCGCGTCAGCGGACGACGCGCAGCAGGGTCTGCTGGTGGACTTTGACTGTCCGCAGCGTCACTGTGAGTTGGTGGAGTACGGGAACCTCTTCAGCTGTCCGTCGGTCGCCGTCGCATCGTGGGACGCATGGAAGGACCGGGCCTGGGCGGAGACCCATCCGCTGCAAGCCTTGTTACGCGTCGGTCCAGCTCGTGCGTGGACGATCCAACTCGTTCTGCCAGGAAGGACATTCCAATACGGCCGGATCGTACTGCAGCGATATGGAGTGTGTACTGGTTGAGGTGCAGTTGGGCGATGCGCTGATAAAAGAGATCGTCCCCGTCCAGCAGATCCGCAGTGTACCGTCGGCGGATGAACTGCAGCAGTGCCGCCTGGCTCCTGGCTACTTCATCAGCCGCGAATGCAGGCTGCCCAGGCGCTACTGGTCGGTACCCAATGTGGCCGATGGGCTGCTGTGGCAGCAGTTGAGCCGCGACTGTAGTGCTGGCTGCATTGCCGTTCGACAAAGTAGGTTATTGTTGTATTTCCAACGGAACGATGGACTCCCTATGGCACCCGATGATTTTGTAAGTCCTTAGTCGTAATGGGTTTACTAAGATTGTGTAAATACTAAATAGTCGTCATGCGACGCACGCACTTTCAGAAAATTTTTTGCGAAGATCAGCGCAATTGTAACCTGAATGTATCCCATTATGTATCCTATGTTCAAATTTTTCTGTCTTAGCTCAAAAGGAGGCGTTGCCTCGACTGATAAGTGGTACAGCCCCGCAATGGCTCTTCGTGGGTTATGGTGATGGCTATTTATTGCCTCTTAGGAACTTTTACCATTCGTTTGTTTTTTGTGCGTTTCTCTTTTGCCATTTACCGGAGGAATAATGTCACTATTCGTGTGTCCCATATTTAGCGTGTGGCTAACAGTTCTGACGGCCAATGTCAAAACGGCGGCGGAATTTTCTGCCGGCGGAAATTCTCGTGGTCAAACTGCCGGCGGAATTTTTGTAACTTTTTAATTTATTATAACCCTCTTTATCGGGTCGCATGCATGTACAGTCTTGCTGCTTCGGCAGTCTGCACAGAACGCGCGAACAAGTTCAAGAGAATACCTGAGCCGCGCAAAAGAGACAAACGGCCAATGTCAAAACGGCGGCGGAATTTTCTGCCGGCGGAAATTTTGTGTTTTTTGGTGTCGGTTTTCTTTTTATTTTGGCTTCTCAGTTAAAAGGCGTGTACCGGGTACTAGCCAGTAGCCACTCCTACTTAGTCCATTTTCGGAAAAACCACTTCACAAACCAGTAAACTTGCCAAAACCATGGAGAAAATTTTGCGGAAAAACAAAATTGGTAGTAGGCGCTTGTAGCCGGCAGATATATTGGCCTGTTTCCTGTTGGCGAGCCCGGCAGGAAAGTGGATTTTCTCCCATAAATCTGCCGAACTGCTCCCACAATTCTGCCGACCCGACCTATGCATTGTCTATGGGATCTCCAATATATCAGCCGAACCGGCGCAACAGTGAAATTTGATACTTTTGCTGAGTGCGAGCTGGCAGATGCACGCCCGGGCTGCGTCATATACACATACAGCCGACTAAGCATATTGTACCGCCACTAAACAGGCAGAGAAGCCCGCGCTTTCTCTTGCGCCGTGTCTAATCCTTGCAGGAGAGGACATCATCGCAAAACAAAATTAATTGATGAGTATATTTATATTTTTCCAAATAACTATTCTTCTAACGCATACAAACTGTGAATGCTGTACAATGTACATTTCCCTTAGACAACTTTACAGAACTTAAAAACTATCAAGCATTTAGTTCCGCAACAGTCACTGTACAAACCAGTTTGGTATGCCTTTATATGCACTGATGAAACTGTAAACGAAATGACAAAGGTTATTGAAACGCCATAAGTACTTTAAGTTTTTCAACACATAGGCAACATGAACATATTTGCAGTTAAATTGGCGAAGTCATGGAAAATTTGGGCACCCAAAATTTAAAAAATATTTTACATACAACGACCAATATATTTGCCGAACTGCACCCACATTTCTGCCGACCCAACGCTATGCATTGTCTATAGGAACTCCAATATATCAGCCGAACCGGCACAATAACAGCGAAATTTGACATTCTGCGTAGCGTTAGCCCAACCGGGCTGCAGCATCAGATGCAGCTTCCTAGGGACTGTACCGACACCGAAATTAGAGAAGCGTTTTCTCTTTATTAATGCAGTGCATAATTTTTTACAAATGAACGCTACAATTGCCTGTGCTGACTGTTTTTACTGGCACCGGGCAACTGGCATCCATACTGATCGTTGTAAACCGTAATTAATTGTTTTCAAAGCACTTAGATGTTATCTTTTATCTGCAAAATTTTATTTCATTCCATTGTGGAGGCTGCGTTTATTATCTGCTATCCTTTGAGAATTGTACCATTGCATCCGTTTACAGTGTTGTTTTTTTTCAAATTCGCTAAGTAATACACTGCTCATAGTTAGTGCTGTTGACAAATAAACAGTTCCAAGTACTGTACTGTTTCTGCACCCACAGAGGACACACACGAATTTCTATTTTCCATCTGAGCTGATCTTAGAAGGTCATACATGTTGCACGACTGAAAAAAAGTATCGGAAGAAGAACTTTCCACTACTTCCTTAAATTTTGCGGCTGCAAAGGCTGCATCCAAACTTTTCTTTTTTTGCACGGCGTTCTGGAATGCAGCTAGTGTGAAACGTTTGGATCGGGCAATTTTTATATCGGCATTTGATCACTTTCTTAGCGGAAGTTGGTGCAGGCAATCTGCAGCTGCATATGATTGGAAACCGATGGGTAAATCGTTGGGGATCGTCGCATGCCTCCAATAAATTTGTCTGGACTTCGGTGCAAGGGAACGGCGCCATGAACTTGTTCACGACACAGTTGTGAAGGTGCTGACGCATCTATGCGAAGAGAGCATAATAAATAAAATGCTTTTAGGGGCGCTTAGTTCAGTTTTTGATTTGAAAAACCTTGTATGCTAAATTTTTATCTCAGCAGAACGGCTGACTGGAAATAGGCCTCTAAAATTTTGCAAGTTCGGAAACAGTACAAGGAGCGTTCAAAAAATAATTCGGCATTTTTGTGTACCGGCAATCTGGCATGACAGGCGTTAGTTATATAAACCAGAAAAGCAATGTTTGGATACGCTTTCCAAAAAAAGTTTCGTGTTTGGTAAGCGAGTGTATTAACGAAGTTCCGAATAGTTACCTCATCCTTTTCGAACACGATTTTGCTCAGGTCCTGTTCGTAACAAACAGATGTGGCAGAAGCCACTGCGTAGAGTCCACAATCGATATGA